GACAGTTGGTTTTCCTTTCAGTTATGGTTCAATTGACCTATCTCTTTATTATTAACTCTTATGTAGGTAGGATAAGTAGCACCTTCCGGAATACGTAAAGGGGGGTTTTACAAATTTGGTAAACCTAAATTTCGTAACAAGTTCCTGGCGTTGTTGCTGGGGATTGAAATTAAATTATTGTTCTTATTTAATTACATTGTTACTTGTTTTAATTTGTTTAGTTTTTAATTTTTGTTTTTGTTTTTATTTCTTGCTAGTTCGTTAACGGATGTTATTCGTGCAATCTTGAGATTATACCCTACAATCCTAAGATTGAAAAGACATTCCGAAACCTACTCAAGGAAAAAACGAAGCAAGAAGCACCAACAAAAGAGATGGCACTTGTCGTCGGTGATGATGATGACACCAAGGGCACTCAAGGATTTTTAAGTCCCTACAATTGATGCAGTCCCATCCTGCATAGTCCGACCCACCATAACAGCCAATCATTTTGAATTGAGGCTGGCTTTCGTCCAGATGTTACCCTCTTTCTACGGCCTGTTTACTGAAGACCTACACATCCACAATTTCTTGAAAATCTGTGACATATTCCAGATTAATGAGATCAATGATGAGGCTATAAGACTGAGGTTATTTCTGTTCTCACTGAAGGATAAGGCGAAGGCGTGGCTAATCTCTTTACCACTGGCCTCCATCACTACGTGGCAAATAAATTCCTTAAAAAAATTCTTTCTACCTGCTAAGACAGCAAAGCTCAGAAAGGAAATCATGACTTTTTGTCAATTAGATAGTGCGACATTTTTTGAATCATGGGAAAGATTCAAGGACTTACTACTCAAATGACCTCATCATGGTATGCCTGAATGGATGCAATTGCAAACTTTCTATCAAGGGTTAAATCCGACAAGCCAAGCAATGATCAATGGGGAACTAACAGAGGGCAACCAAAACGTGCTGGAGTGCATGAAATTGAGGCTTTGATTGCTATGGCTGCACAAATTTCAAATTTAAATAAAAAATTGATAATTTAATGTCAATTAATTCTATGCAATCTACTAATGCAATTTGTGGAATTTGTGCAGATTTACACTCTACTGGCAACTGTCCAATGATTGAACGATTCCCAGCATGCATGCAAGAGCAACTCAGTCAAGTACATGCTTTCAACAATCAGAGGAATAACTCATATTCCAATACATACAATCCAGGGTGACGACAACACCCCAATTTCCAATGGAGAATGTTCAGAACACGCCTAGGCCGCCACCTGCCCAATCCCAACCAACAGAGAAAAAACCTGAGGTAGAGGATTTAATTGCTCAGCCTGCCCAACAAACTAATAATTTTATGCCGCCACCCAAACAACTTTGCAGAATAACCAAGCTTCTATTCAAAAGTTGGAAGTTCAACTGGAGAAAATGGCCAATGCTCTCAACGCGGGGGAAAAAGGTGTACTCCCAAGTCAAACTGAGGTGAATCTGAAAAATCAAGTACGTTCAGGAATGGGAGATAAGTGGAATCGGAACTCGAGAAGAACATTCCTGAAAATGCCCAAAATTCCAAAATTGCCATTGGATCCGCTGAAAGTTCTAAAATCACACCTATTGCTGCACCTAAGCTTTTTCCCGAGCCAGTGAAAGGTTATGTACCACCAATTCCGTTCCCACGGCGTCTCAAGAAGGATAAGAAAGAAAATCAATTTTCTGACGTTCTTGATTTATTTAAGAATGTTCATATTAATATTCGCTTACTTGATGCAGTAAAACAAATTCCGAGCTGTTTGGGCCTAAGAAATTCCACACGCCAGTCCATTTCTCACAAAGAGGCCCACAAAACAGAAAAACAGAAGATTGGGCCTTGACTTCGGAAAGCGGCCCAATCAACATTAGAGGCCCACGTCTTTTTGAAAGATAGCAGAGTTTTAAAGAAAAATAAAAATAAAAGATCGAAGTACCAATTAAATTTATAAAAAGAATTGGATTTGGCTCAGCTTCTAAATTCTCACCATTGATCTCGAAACCCATAGTGCAATCAGTAGATCTTTTGGAAAATCTATTCTCAAATAAGCCCACGTGACTACCTGACTTTGAAAAAGTCAAAAATCTCAACTATCACAGATGAGCTGGCAGAGAGTTAATGAAGGCAGGAATAAAAGGAAGACTTTTATGAAATATTTCCAGCTAAAAATATCAAAATCCTTTTCTATATTTAGAAAAATTCTGCAGGAGTCATTTCCAAGGGATAGGCAGACTATATTTTCTAAAGAGATAAGTATGGAGCAGGGAGTTGTTCACCAGGAAAATCACACTAACCATCATGGCAGACTGCATTCTTACAAAGGGCAGTTAAAAGATTAAAAAGGGATTAGGTTTTCTTTCAGGAAAAACGGGGAAATAATCACCATAAAAGCTGACTGTTGATGGCTTTTATGCTAGAATAGATAAAATTTCCCTTTTTTCTGGGCATTTAAAATATAATAAAAGATCTTTCTTTTAAATCTGCCGCCCATTATTAAAAGATTAGAAGCACCACTCCAAACATTTTCTATAAATATGAGAGGAGGTGAACAGGTCAAGAGACAGACAACCAAAAAATCAATCAAGACAACAACTCTCAAAGTCATAACTAACAAACTAAAAACGATCAATTGATCTCAAAAGCCTTCAAACACTGAAGCAACCAAAGCTCATTGAGCCAGAAGAAACAAGTAAGTTATAATTCAAAATCTCTTATTTCAATTCAGTTCAAGGAAATAGTTACACAAAGCGAAATTTCTCTCGTTACAAATTTGGTTCAGCATAAGCCAAGTCAAGCAGAGTCCAGGTTTTTACAAATATGAAAACCTCAACAAATTTATGGAGAGCCCTGATCAAGCATAACAGGTACCATAGTGCAGTTCCAGCCCAGTAAACATCAAACCCAGCCACTTCTGCCCCTTTCAAACTAAAGAGGCTCCAATTCTGCCCATTCAAAAAGCTTTCCGAGTCTTGAAAAAGGTTAAAGCTCTGCCAAACTCGAATGTTGGTATCGATTTACAGCTAAAACTTGACATGTACGAAATTCGTACGAACTAGCTTCTTTGACCAATTGATTTCGGATCAAACCCAAAACTTGTGTAACTTTGTAATATAGCTGGAGGAGTCATTTGGTGAGCTTTTAGTGAAATCCAATCACTAAAACTATGCAATGTTCCAACCACTCCATTTACAGTACGAATTTCGTACGAACTTGAAGTGACTAACTTCTTTAACCAAGTTTTTGGATCGAGCCCAAAACTTGGATAACTTCATAATATAATAGGAGGAGACATTTGGTTAGTTTTTTGTGAAATCCAATCACTAAAACTATGCACTGTTCCAACCACTCTGTTTACAGTACAAACTTCGTACGAACTTGAAGTGTCCAATTTCTTTGACCAATTGATTTCGGATCGCCCAAAACATGGGCAACATCATATTGTAATTGGATGAAGTCTTTTGGTGAGTTTTTAGTGAAATCCAATCACTAAAACTATGCAATGTTCCAACTACTCCATTTACGGCATGAACTTTAAGTGTCTAATTTCTTTGACCAATTGAACCCAAAACTTGGGCAACGTCATAATATGATTGGATGAGTCATTTGGTGAAATCCAATCACTAAAACTATGCAATGTTTCAACCACTCTATTTACAGTACGAACTTGAAGTGTCCAATTTCTTTGACCAATTGATTTTGGATTGATCTCAAAACGTGGATAACATCATAATATAATAGGAGGAAGTCATTTGATGAGTTTTTAGTGAAATCCAATCACTAAAACTATGCAATGTTCCAACCACTCCATTTACAGCTCGAACTTCATACAAACGTGAAGTGTCCAATTGATTTCGGATCGAACTCAAAACTTGGGCAACATCATAATTTGGTGGGATGAGTCATTTGGTGGATTTTGAGTAAAATCCAATTACTAAAACTATGCAATGTTTCAACCACTCCATTTACGGTACGAACTTTGTACGAACTTGAAGTGTCCAATATTTTTTACCAATTGATTTCGGATTGAACTCAAAACATGGATAACATCATAATATAATGGGAGGGTTCATTTGGTGAGTTTTTAGTGAAATTCAATCACTAAAACTGTACAATGTTCCAACCATTACATTTACAGTATGAACTTGAAGTGTCCAATTTTTTTGACCAATTGATTTCAGATCGAGCCCAAAACGTGGGCAACATCGTAATATAATGGGAGTCATTTGGTGAGTTTTTAGTGAAATCCAATTACTAAAACTTTGCAACATTCCAACCACTCCATTTACAGTATGAACTTCGTACAAACTTGAAGTGTCCAATTTCTTTGACTGATTGATTTCTGATTGAACCCAAAACTTGTTGGAATACCACAAGACTTATTTAGATTATTATAGTCTTAATTGAATACTACAAGAATTTGTTATCCCAAAATAGTCTTTTAAAATCTCAATTGAATACATCCTCTAATTTATAATTTTCCAGCCTTTTCTTTTGGACCAAAATGCCTCTCAACATCTAACATCCTTTACTCTAATTTAACAAAAATCTGAAATTTGGTTAAATTGAAACCACGGGGGTAAAAATGATGAAATTGAAACTAAGGGACCTTAATAATAGAAGTGGTAAATCACAAGGACAAAAGTGACTTTTTGCCTTAAATGAGAAACATATTGTCACAATTAGATATATTACGAGACGGAGGGTACAGAGGATCTGAAGTGTTTGCCCTCGTCTTGCTATTACGTAGTCATAGCATACTGAAGCAAAGCCAGACAAGAAAAAACAAAATAAAATTGTCATGATATCAAAACCCAAATTCCGTTGCATCAAATAATATCCAAACCATAATCAGTTCCTATATATAATATATTTATTATACATCACTATTTTGCAACTCAAAGCTATCACCATACAATCAATCAAGGAAAATAAACACCACAGTAGGGGATAGAAGAAAAGGTTAAAAAGTACAGGAAAATAAATCACACAAATCTATTAAATGGCTTCCTTCCAACTCCTGCAGGCATAGAAACCGTGGAATCTATGCTCAAATTTCCTAGAGATTGCAGGGGCTGGTTCTTGTCTAAAATCCTTTGAGAGCTGGAATCCTTATTATTAGAGAAAAAAGAAGCTTTGTTCCACTTGAAAGACCCAATGCCTTGTGTCAAAGGGAAGGAGAGCCTTCTTTTGGACTCACTGCTTGGAGTCCCCACAAATCTCTCCCTAGGATTACTACCAGCTCGCGCTTTGGCTTTGGCTGACACGGTTGGAGTCATGTAGTTGGGAACTGAGAATGAGGGGCAGCTTGTGAGGCTATCATCATCCTTCAGTGGAAAACCAAAAGGGGATTCAGCTCCACCAGCTGGTGGTCGTCTTGTGTACTTTGATAGCCCCAAGCTGTTTGCTTGTGGAGTACTACTCATATTAATCGGAGGCGGGGTTCCTGCTTGTTTTAGTGTTGTCAGATTTATGGTTGATTTTGAGGATTTTGGCGTGTCCAGATTGTTATCAAATAAAAAGGGATGTTGCCTCTGACTGCTTGCTTGTGGCACCGGGCTTGGCTTCAGTTCTGAATGTGATCTCGGAGGAGTAAGTTGAAAGTTCTTCAATGCATTGGTTTCTGTAGGAGGGTCTTTTGAGGGGAGCTGACGTTCCAACCAGTTCCACCACCATGGGAATCCCCCAGACCGGATATCAGCTACAGGTGTTTGACCTGATTTAGGAGTAGCTTTCAACAGCTGTTTTTGGCGCACACAAGAAAACCATCAATTGCAATAATCTGCTTTAATTTCTCATTCTAGTATATACTATATACCATCATTTGCAAGGAACAAATTGTATACCCATTAAAATACTTTTATGCGGCGGGTTAAACCTTGTTCAATAGAGAAATCTTGATCATAATAATAAATATGATATAAAGTTACATACTTCAAAGGTGAAAGTTCTTCTAAATTGTCAAAAGAGTATTTTTGTATACTCCAAATTTCTACCTATGTCACTTTTAATATTGCATCTGTTAGTTTTCTGAAGTCTAACATTTTACACACAAGATCATAGTTATCAGATTCGTACTTGAAATTTGATACCATAGAAAATTGAAATTTTAACATAAAAATGAAGATTTCTCTTTTCTATCTGAACACAAAGTGAAGATGGGCAGCTCATGAATTACTAGTGAAGAAAGAATTACCTGGTGGGAGTATGCATAGGCCATTGCTCTTTCTCTTTTAACAACTGCCTCGACCTTCTTCTGCAACCTTGCCTCCACTTCCTCCTTAGTTAGCAAACTATCATCCCATTCATCATTATTGCCTGTCTCAGACTACATCACGGTGCATCAGATTGTTAGGATTACTTATTTTTATAGTAGTTAGGAATATTACTTAATTTTAAAGATATGTCATAATTATTTGACAGACATAACAGCAAAGAGTATTTTTCCTCTGTTTTCTTTAGTAGAAAAGGTAGAGTAGTCTTCTTTTCCACTTCAGAAAGTTAGAATGATGTGGGTCCAAATGTGTCATAGTTCAAAAGGCGATTTCACTTATCTATCTAGAGAACTAATGCAGCCTAAAGAAGTAATATTGGTTCATAATGTGAGATTAATATACACTGTTGGCCCATTCCCTAACAGCTTAAGATTTTGGGGCCGGTGACTGTCTAACATGGTATCAGAGATGTGAGAGAGGGTGTAAGGTTGATATACATTTCCCCTTTCCCTAATAGGTTAAGCTTTCGGAAACAATTGTTGTCTAGCACATAATTCATGAAAGTCAGAACGTACCGAAATAGAATTCACCATTGCAGGGTTCAGAGACTCAAACTCATTAAATAGAATAACACAAATAACAAGTCATAGAAGATTCAAGAGGCCTATAACAATCAACACAGTAACCAATGAGCTGACTTGATCTTTTCGAAATATAACCACAAAGAAGAGTTTTCTTTGAACTGAGAGCTATATCAATGTGCATTGCGCTGTGCTCAGCTTGATACACATGTTTGGCTCATTCCCCATAAACTCTTCCAGGAACTTAGCTATTGTTCTTTGTGATAACAGCTTGTATTTTGTATTTTATGTTCTAAGTACATGGGTAAGGTCCACATTTGTCACAAATTAGTGGCTATACCCACAAAAGAGGACGTGTTAATGTGTGGGTGTGTGTCTCTGTAGCATTACGTGATCCTCTTGATATATTTTTAGGCCACTTTATACCTAGCTAACAGCTTAAACTTTTGGAACAACCAAACTACATCAAGAAGGAAACCCATAATGGATTTGTATAGTAACTAATTTTCAAACAGCATAACCAAACGTTTGAATAAATGCTATGCCTCCTATCCTGGGGTCAAATGGTGAATCCTAAAACAGATAGGAATGGAATCAAAAACAGATGAATGGGAACTTACTGCCTGGCTCAAGGTCCATTTGCCAAAGGTGCTTTCCACTTCCTTATCATTCTTGTATTGACCTTGATGTTTTGCTTGATTTTCTAACATCTGGATCCTGCGTGACTGAATTTGAGACTGAACCCGCACCAAGAGTTGCATGTATTTCATGGCATTCAATGTCTGGCGCTTCACATTCTGTCCTCTCACCACTCCTTGAAGCCTCACTAGACCCTTTAGAGCTCTAAAACTTCTCCTCGCCTGCACAACAAGTACCACATTATCTCGTCTGGGTTGAAGTTTTTTCATGAACATAGAGTATGTTCATTAAACAGGGCCCCACACAGTTCCTAACTTGTAGTTACCGAAACCTAGACTTGACCCAGATGTAGTTCTATTCTATTAAGCTTGCTTAAGAATTTTGTTTTTTTGGGTCAAAGCCTTTTGAAGCCTTTTGAAGAACTCCTTTTGAATGAGCTCTAGTTCAGTAATTCAGATAGACAAAATGCAACTAAAATTTGCAACTCTACTGTAAGATGATGTACATTTGGAATAAATTATCATTGTGTAAGATAGACAAAAAGAAACAGACCAGACAAATGCCTACTCCTGCATACCCTTTTGCACACCAATTACTTTGAACTGTTATTGTGCTTCTAAAGAATAACTATGCACATAAAATTTGCAACTGCATGATATACAGTCAGCAAACGAAACACAAGATTCTAGACAGGACCTTATATTATACCGACAGCTGCGTTCTGTGAAAACTGGAAAATCTACTGCTTTTACCTAACAAATTCTCCAAAACTCAACATTTTGCTTTTCAGATGATAGGGCATATATTTGCATTGAATTCTATTTTCCTGTATTGAATTCTACTCTCACATTTTCTAGTCTTGTCGTTGCACATCTCTAGACATTCCCCACCCTTGAATGCTAACAATGGGAAGTATGAGCTTACCATATAACCTCTATAAGCTGCTTGGATTTTAGTAGCTGAAGCATGGTGGTTCCTTAGAGTTGGTTCAGGTCTGTATCTAATCTCCTTATGATGATGAAGAATCCTAGGAGATGGAGCTCTTGGGGAAGGAGCTCTTGGAGAAGGAGCCCTTGGAGGAGCCCTTGGAGAAGCAGCCCTTGGAGAAGCAGCCCTTGGTGAGCCAACCCTTGGGGAAGGATCCCTGGGTGAAGCAACTCTAGGAGGCACAAAAGGCGGTGTCTTTGGTTGCTCATCGGGGGTAGGAGGCCTAAAATTTACTCTTTGCTGCTCCCTTTCAAAATCCCCAAAAATTTTCTCAATGCTGCTTGGTTCCCTGAACAGGGGAATGAATGAATTGGTCTCTCCATGCTTTAGTTTCCCAAGCCCCTTCTTTTCTTTTGTGTTTTTCTTCTCTGAACCCTGCAATATGATTAATAATGAGAATTAGTTTGAACTAGCAAGTGTTTTGCATGTTTTTAAAAGCAAATTGAACCTTTGTGCTCCAACAAAAACTAACCATGCAGTGCGGAAATTTAAGTAAAATGCATACCACTCCCATAATATTGAAATTTCTTTTTGTTTCCAACATATGATAAACTGAACTGAACATATGATTGTAAAACTAAGCAGAGGTTCTTTAGTATGAATTTATGATTGTTAATCACCATATGCAACAAACCATCATAGTTTATACGAAAACACCGCACCTTCATTTAAACCAGCAGTGGAATCTAGTGTGGGGTACATAAAAGTTTAAATTTTGGGAAAAATATTTCATATAGATCAAAATTAAAACAAAAGGTTAACCTTTGAATCATCTGCTTATTTGAGAAGTCCAAACAAATTGTAAAATAATTCAACAAAACTCCATTGGAAACAGAAAAACTAAGCCACTATTGTCTTACATTGACTACCTTCTCCTTGGAATGCGGTGAAAAAACCCTCTTTATGGCAGAAAACCAACTCCCTTTCTTTCCCATGTTCCTAGCATTACTGTTTCTACCTGAAAGGGAAATGAAAGAGCATTTCAGGATTTGCTGGTGCTTGCAAGTTGCATTTTCCCATTTACCAATCAAACATGCTTAACTTAAAAAGGAATTGAACGCATGTGTCACACAAACCATCTCTCTTATTTTCATAGACATTTGTTTCTCTGTGGTTGTTTTGTTTACGCTTAATGTCCCCGCAAATTAATAATTAAGACATCAATAACTATCGAAATCAACCATCAGTTCGTCTCCATAACATTCATCAACTTAAAATGAAAAATATTAAAAGATGAACCTTGCTAGATCGATCGGCAACACTCTCTATCTCAGATTGCTAACTCCCAAAGCAAAAGAAGATTACATCCTTGTGTAGACATTAGAATAAGAAGGCAGGCCTGACTTTGGTGCTTCCAAAAGGCCTCTCAGTTTCCCGGTTAAAAATAATATAAGAGCGTATTTAATCTCCAAATAAAAATATGAGAACAAAGTAGAGTTGTATGGTTAAACACCCATGAAAGGTCATTTTTGTGCATTCAATCAGTTCATCGCCATATTTGTAGTAGGGATATGACCAAAACAAAAACCAAAGAAGACCTAGAATATATATATATATATATATATATATATATATATAATTTTTTTATTTTATTTTCAGGCACACACACAGAGACCGGAGAGAGAGGAGCTACAAGTAAAGTATCGAGACAAGACAATAATTCTCAAAGAACCAACATCTGACAAACAAGAACTCAAGAGGGATCCCAAGAACAAAGAATTCATAGGAAAATTACCTCAGAAAAACAGGACAATTGCTCTGACAGTAAGGCTTTTTTTTAGCTCCACGAGAGAAAGAAGCTTCCATTTATTTTCAAGCTTCCATTTATTTTCATTCTTAAAATTAAATTCCTCAAAATTCAGATCATTTATATCTCCAAGAAATTTAACAGAAACCCATAAAGTTGAATAAATAAAGATAATTAAACTGATAATAAACTGAGATAATTTAATTAGTACCTTATAAGACCAACCCAGCTTCCAAAGACCCTAGAAAAAGCTGCTACAAGCAAAAGGAAAGAGCAAGCAGGAGGAGAGAAGGGCTTCTCTTTCTATTTGGCTCTAGCCTCCCTCGCCTTTGTTATACCACATGCTTCTTTTCCAAATAGCTTTTTACATAAAATTGTTGCTAATGACCTTCTTTCTCTGTTTCCTTTGTTTCTCACTCTACAACTTTGAATCTGGTTCTTGCTTGTATGAATTTACTTTTCCTTCTTTCCCACCTTTCTCCTTTTGTGGGATTTATAATTTTCTTTTACTATGTTTCTTGGTCATGATGATGAAGAGAGAGAGGAGAGAGAGAAAGAGACAGAGAGAGAGAGAGGGACAGAGAGAGAGGTTGGCTACTTTCTCACTCAATGTGGCCAACTTCAACTAACTTTACTTGAATGGGAAGACTATTTGTGCAGCAGCTATCTCCCCACTTATTACACGTTTGGGTACTTGAGTTTGGTACTCTGTTTTTATCTTCTTATTTTAGTTTTTGGCCTTAATTAATTACATATTTATCATCTTCCACTTCATAGCATTTGTAGAAATCCCCTCTTAATTATTATTTTTTTAATTAATGTTGTTTGTATCATATTTAAGAACCACTTTTTTTATAAAAAAATTACAGTTCCTAACATGTATATATACTCTTTTTTTTTCCTTTGGTGTACAATATGCATATATTTTGCTAGAATGTGGCTTTGAGTTATCCATCATTACACTTTTTTTATCTACCATGGAAAATCTGCCTATCTCAAACTCCTTCAAACATCAAATCGAGAACCTTAGCCTCGCCTTAAAGAAAACATTAATGAATAAACTGAGCTGTTAAGCCAAATTAATGGGGAATATTTTGTTTGGTGGAGACAGAACCCAGTTGCTCATATGTGCATCTGCCAATTATTTACCAAGTTGAAATTAGAAAGACTCGCAACCTGCCCACGCATCATGAAATGTCTAATATTAGAAGGAATTGGGTTGGTTGAATCTGAAGAAGTTAGTAAGTTAGAAGTAGCTGTAGAGGTACGATTTCGAAACCCATGTCAAGGAGCTCTACACTGTTCAAACTGCGCTGCAATTTTGGATTGCAAGACAATGTCAATCTATTCACAACTAATCACCACTTTTTTTTAAAAATTATAGTGCGATACTGGAATACAACCACTCGATATAATTTTTCAATGTGTTAAAATATGAGTGGGGTACAGGGTTTAGATTTTCTACTTTTTAAGGTATACTAGTATTTGATATATATATATATATATACTTTATTTTACAGAGAGTCAATAAATACAAAGTAAAAAAAGTTAACAATAGTTATATTTATAAATACGTGTCAAGTATTAAGACGGGTGGTGAGGATACACTTTGTGTTCAAGTGGTCAGTAAAAATATTTCATATATTTATAACACGTGAACGAATTACACCAAATAAAGTTTCTAAAAGTAATTTTTTTTCTTTTTGGTGATAGATGGGGGTTAAACGCCCCAAACAACAAAGAAAGTTAAACAACAAGAATCAAACGGGATCTAGCGATTCCCGGTAGATCATCAAGAAGGATGTTTCCCATCCAGGTAGAGGTCTCATCGAGGATGCAACTTTCCCAAAGCTAAGTTATAACTCCAATTAGCAAGTGCATCTGCAGCATAATTCATTTCTTTATTTTTATTTATTCCCTAAATTCCATTGTTTGACCTGGTCTTAATTAAACTCAAAACGCAAAGTAGAAATTAGAAAGAAAAAAAAATTTATTTATTTTATAATATAATATATATATATATATACCAAGTGTTTTAAAGCAATTTCAAGTTTGACGGCTGTGAACTTGTGGCACCCCTTCTTATGCCACGCCTTCCTTAATTAAAAGAAAACAAAAATTTTAAATTTGAAGTGTACAGAGCGATAGCATTAGCAGAAGCACGGTGGCCACTTGCTAGCATTGTGAATAAGGTAAAAGATAAAGAACAATAATAGGACATTGGTGGATGTGGACCCAACTACACTTGACAGACCATGTGATCTCAGCCTTCCAGTTGGGCGGACATGATTGTGCTTCAAAACTTTGTAGTTAAATACAAGTCACAAACATTTTATTAGATAAAGCTTTGTTCTGTTCTCTTGTGTATAATAATAAGTTAGAGAAAGCAATAATTATTCCGTAGTATTTTTTATTCTTCTTAAAAAACATGAAACATGAAAATACAAAGTGTTAGTTGGGTTGGCACAGGTGACGGGTATTTGGTGTGCTCCTAAATATGGTTCTAAGTTCAAGTCTCCATAGTACCCGTGTATGTGAGTTTCTCACATCCCCTTCTTAACAAGATCAAGAGAGCAATATTGTATTTATTCGTCTAAATTAAATAATAAATAACCAAAAGAAATATTCTAAGTGTATAAATTAATTTGGTTACCTAGGACAACTATATTGTTCAACAAACCTGAGATGGTGAAGCATAAAGTGTCAAGATGCCATAAATGAATGAGGCCAGCCACTTCAGCTAATGTTTGGTGCGCTGATTTTTCATCAGTAAAAGGGTGAAATAGTTAAGCTACCATAGAACCACACTTGCTTATTCATCAAATAACTCAAAACTGCTCTTATTTAACAAATTATGTTAAAACACATCTACTTCATTTTAAAGAGACAAATACGTATAAATAAATAAATAAATATAATAATTGAAAAAATAATAATAATAAGACTTTGTGTCTAAAAAATTCTATATACATGTAAGAATAACATAATTTAAAAATAAAATTAAGAAAAACAATGAAAGTACTTATGCCTTAACATATAAACAGGAGAATTATATCAAATTGGGCGCCAGTCAACTGAAAAATTTGTTGAAGCCTAATAAGAATGCAAATAAAGATATGGAGGATAGTGCATAATATGTCTAGAATGTTTACTAATGAAAATAAGAATTTTAAGTCAATTTTTCATAAGCCGGTTTCCCTTTTAACATGGTGGTGGTACAGTCATGTACAAAAATTTCCCCTTAAGAGCATCCACAATAGGTTCCCTAAACCACCTCCTTAGACAAATTTTAGGGAGGCATCGTAAAAATGCAACTCCAACCACGCTCCACATCCACCTCCTAAAATAGGGAGTTTTCTAGGAGCTCCTAAATCTGAGGAGAGAAAAGGACTCCTAGTGGCTCCCTATAATTTAATGCTGCTTTATTTAATGAGTATTTCAAACCTTTATTTAATGCTAATTATTTTTAATAGAGATGGACCAATCAAAAAAGAGTTATAGCATTTATGACTTTCCAAATTAGAGAGTATATGGTTGGAGTTAAAATTTTTTAGAGAGTTCCTAAAATAGCTTTCTTATATTCTTAGCCAAATTTTAGCTACAAAATAGATAGCATCATTGTGGATGCTCTAATTAAGCTTGAGTTATAGTTTAAAACATAATCAATGAAATGAACTTGTAACTCAAGTAGTTAAAAATAGTTACTGCACTTTAACACTTTTCTTAATTACAAAAAGAGGTGCCACACATGTATACCTGAGTCAATCTCTACTTTTTCAAGAAAAATAAAGTCTGACGGTTAAGATTAAATTGTGGTCGTTGTCGGATTGTAAATAGAGTGTAATAAAAATTCGTTTAATGACATGATTACAGAAGAGAAAATTGAAGCAGATAATTAAAAGTATATAGGGTGGTTGGCAAAGATGAGGAAAAAACAAGTGATGGATCATATTACGTTTGTATGGAGTTGACATTAGTAGTGTCATAGAACAACCTAACTCGCCTGAAAAGGCATAAGTGAGATACAGATTAGATAACCACTATCCTTGCTTTGTAAGTTTTTATATATATATATTTGTTTTAGAGTGCCTTTTAAGCAAACCAATGATTTTCTTTGATGTGGCCGTAAGTTAGCTATCAGCTGGGGTTTCTGCAACCTTTGTCTATGTTCCAACTGTCAAGTAGGTGGAAGTTAATAATAAAAAGTAAATTTATGTCTCTTTGGAAAATGTTACCATTTTAAGCGATATTCGAAGAGAATGAATTATTTGATATAGAGGTAAAAACTCTTAACCAATTAAGATACTTCGCGGAATAAATATATGTTTTTATTAACTGCTTTCTATAGTGAAGAGACTCGTCGTAGAAAGAAGTTAATCAATTATGGATGATCTAATCTACAAGTGCAAAAATAATTATATAGGTATTTTTATGGGTACAAAATTTCTTCCTCCTCATCAAGTGTTTTCTACCCATAAAAATACCTATATAAAATATGGAAAATGCTAGAGGCACTAACTTTGGGCACCAACTTGGGCAACAACTCTCTAATAGAGCGTGGGACCCGGTGTATTGGCAGGCTCCACCTCTATTAGAGAGTTGGTGCCCAAAGTTGGTGCCTCTAGCACCACCCATAAAATATATACCTAGGGCTGGGGATGAGTCATATTATACCAATAGCACAGGTGTATCTCATTATAGCTGCCGGATAGGTGGCTGATTCATATTGTACCTATACCATGGATGAGTTATATATTGTACCTAAGTAGAATGAGATACATGTTGATTAGGTAGCTCATATTATAACTATACAATAGATAATTCATATGTACCAATACGACGAATTAGTCATGGTAAAGATAGGACGATTCAAGTCATAGGGGGCATCATTGGAACAAAAAATGATTTTATAAATTAAAAACTAAAAAGATTGCATCAGATAATATTAAAAAAGGAATGTAATTATATGTGACAAAAGAGCAAAATAACTTGGATCAAAGTCACCAAATTTAAGGATTAAACCCAACTCCTTAATGCGAATTTGGATATGTATTAACTTTTTTAAAAACAAAATTCCCACATAATGTATTTCATTCAGTTACAGTTTTTTTTTATAAAAAAAATACACAAAAATGACACTCTGAAATGGAATGTGTCTCGTTCAAAAAATGGCAATAGTCCACCCTTCTGTCGATCAGTTGCATATATATAATTATATACAACAACAAAAATTGAATCATTCGTTAGCATTTAGAATTTAGAGACCATAATATTTCCCATAAAACTTGTACACCAACCAATAATGCTACACCATCAAAAAATATTTAATTTTCTGGGAAAGATATACCAGAGAGAGGAAAGCTGAAAATTATTTTAGTGAAAAGCTGAAAATTAATTAATCCTCCTCAGCCAAAACCATTCTACAAAGAGGACTAGGCCCAAGCCTCTTCCTCCTCATCACACTTCTTCTCCTTATGACTTCCATTTGATTTCTCCTTCTAACCTGCATCATTGCTTCTTCTTCCACCACAAACCTTCTCATCAAAACGTCGTCGGTCAGCGACTTTCCCCGAAACACTCTTCTAATTCCTGGATGATCAGTGCTAAGCCGTGCTTGCGCAATGCTGGCACTAGAAGTAGTTGTTGTGCCCAATGGCTTGGAATAGGACCCCATTCTTGGGTAGCTGTTGCTTCTTCTTGGGGGAAGCTCAGCCCTAAAAACCCTCATTGTAGGAAGATATTGGTGCACAAAGACACACCCTTGTAAATGACGTGGCAACCTTTAGAGAGGTACATTTTCTCAGTTTGTGCCTAACATTATTGGAATTGGAATTGGAGTTGGAATTTGGTGCAGGAAAATTATTAGGGTTTGCGCCGGGACTGCTTTTGGCATTGACTAGGGTTTTCCATAGCGTGGAATTTGCTGCTGGAACTTGTGTGGACTTTGAATTGTTATTGTTGATGCTTCTCCATAGACTGCCCATGCCCATCTCTCTTGCTCTTTGATACCAAGGCTTATTATTCCTAAGCAAAAACAAGTGCATGTCAACAATAATGACGTCATGGCTCTGCTTCTGCTTTTCTACATGCTTCAAGAAATCATAAGGATAATAATTACGCACAAATGGAGCCAATGTGATGTACATATTTTGAATAAGATTGGTTGAACTTGGATTCTAATTTCCTCTTGCAGACTACTTAATTTAACTTATACCCATTTTAATTCTAATGTTGTCGAAGACAGCTGCCCATTTGCTAAGTTTGGGGGTTTTTTCGAAGATGAAATTGCTAAGTTTGGATTGAAAGTTGAAACCTACTTATCTTTGACATATTCAGCGAGCATTGATTGTATAAATATGTTTATAGATTTAACGAATTGAACCAGGGGAGTCACTTATTTGTCGTAACAGATAAGTACATGGGCTAAGTAAAAGTCTTAAAATTTCAAAGGTCAAATCTTAGACTCTCTAAGCATTACGAATTTACCTGGCGGGTCAAGCATGATGAATGTACTCAACTATTCTGGGAAGGAAGATTCAAACGTGGGCGTAAGGAGGACGGACTCACTACTTTTGCCAATTGGCTTAATCCACGTCTGCAGTTATATTGTTATATAACCAATTTGCCACCATTAACAATTAATAGTATGAAGTCTATCAAAGCATCACTTATGGTCATACTCCTTAACGTTTTCTTTTTTGCATATTTCTAGATATAATTGAAAAGTAAACAAATTTTGTTTACAATGCCTCCACAAACTGAACATGTGAAATAAAATAAATACATATCAAAATGGGAAATAAATTTTCCATTTTCGACCCCATAGAGAAAGACATGGAAATTGGTTTTCCATGAATTCATTTCAACGAACCAAACACCTCCTAATGACAAAAAGGATGATTGCACAATCATCCTTTAAGGGGTTTTGTTTTGAACACCACACCATTGTGGGCTCCTGGCAAGTTTTTGGGTTTTGAATTAGTACAGCCCAAACCCAACAAGGCCTAAGTCCTGGGCAAATCATCTACTGGGCCTAAAATTCAAAGCAGTACTGAGCTTTTCTCTCTTCTTCTTTTTTCTCGCTCCTTTTTTTGTTTTTGTTTTTTTGTTACAACATTTCTAAGAGAAGACTGGAATTTCATAAGAGAAGGTGTTCTTAAGCTTGACAATGATCTCAAACTTACAGGAAAGCCTGTCACAACATAATCGTAGCTGGCTTTAATAATCTCAAACTTAGCGGCCGGTTGATATAAATAAAAGGAGCAATTTAACCCACTTTTTTGCATCAACATATATATATATATATATATTCTGAACTCAATATTGAATTGTTCCATATATGGAAGTATATAGAATGATGGGATATATCCATATATATATAATTGAACAGAGAGAGAGAGTGGAGTGAGTGTGTGTGTGAGTTTTGCATACCTTGCTTGTGACTTCTTTGGATCTTGCATGAACAATCCAGGTGAAGTATGAGTGGGATGAGAAGAGAGGTGAAGAAAGAGGAGGAGGAAGTTTCATTTGGGTTGAGAGGAACGAGGAGCCTTTTGCTGCAACTTCTGACTCAAAGATGGGGATGGGGTTGGCAATGTGCTTCTTTTCTTTTTCTCCATTCTTTATTTATTACAATTTACAACCCAACCCCCCTTCTTTTTCTTTGGCACCTGGCATGCGCGATTCCTCTTCATTTTCACACAGAGAATAAAACAGAGCAAGAGAGAGAGTTTCAAAATTCAAAGGCAAAGTCATTGTTGCTTTTTGTGGCAATTACCAAAGTGCCCTTGACAACTTTTGCGCAAACAACTTTTCTCGAACTACTTGCTTTTTAAGCAGACTAGTTAGCACAATTGGTCAAGGCAGTAAATTCGTCGTATTTTATCCAAGTTCGAGTCTCCTTCCTTATGAATTAGATTAATTTAGACTATCGCTTCTAAAATAAAAATAAAATACCCTTGCTTTCTAGGGCATAGAATAGAAAAGTATCTATCTACCTAAACGCTGGTCAGTCATCATGGTTACTTCCTAATATCTATGATTGTTAGCATGGAGGATAGTTAGAGCATTAATATGTTTAAACATGCCTCGCCTGCCTTTGTGACACATGAATCATAGAGGATCAAAGCATACCTCTTCTAGCATGCCTCATGCTTTCAGGTTAATATATATATATGCATCACTCAACCCTACCAAAAACCTTTTGATATTATTAAATTATTATATACTTTACATGTTATTAATTACTATAGTTGGAGCTCATAATTACTTTAGATATTATTAATTACTATAGTTGGAGCTCATAATAGTACTATGCAATTGGTAATTTTTTTTTTTCAAAGAAAATCCTCAACTGAATCCTAATTTTAATTGTATATATATCTCTCTTTTTTTTTCCCAAAAAAGAAATTTGTATGTCTGTTTAGAGAGAGAGAGAGAGAGAGAGAGAGAGAGAGAGAGAGCAAAATGATCCAATGTGAGGGGCATACTTTTATTATCCAGAGTGTTGATAAATAATTTGCCAATGGATGGCATCATGATTCATTTGTGGGTGGTGTTATATCCAGAACCCAAAAGCTGCTGCATAGAGAAAAAGACATGATGATTGGAGATGTTGGATTTGGGATTTGCCCCCATTTGATTACTATTAATCCTCTGTTAATATCAATGTTCAATGAATTTGAGGGAAAAATATATATATGTAAGGAGGGAAAAAAAGGCAAGCCGTAAGCCTCCTCACATAAGCCACTACTCTAGTCATTTTAAACCCAATATCCAATTTATCAGTTGGGGACAATTAAAGGTTGGGGTTTTTTAATTCTAATGATCTCTTAACTTATACGATAGTTTTATTTTGGTCCTCCAATTCAGTTTTAAATTTTTGACATTGTTCATCTGTGTCACTCGGATAGCTCCAACCTACTTTACAAAACTGAGTTTTTTTTCTTCTTTTTATATTTTAATACATATGGTATTGGAGAGAGGGAATCGAACCAAAAACCTCGGGTACATGAATAAATACTTTTAACTATTTAAACTATAAGCCCTTACTACAAAATTGGGTTCAGTATTTGTAAATTGCAATCCTATTCCTAACTCGTACACATGACATATATGTGTTCATACTTCATATTCTCATGACAATGCTTGAGTAGTAGATTTTTAGAGCTCGAAATCAGCAGTCTTGAGGTTTTTAGTAAGAACTCGGTAGGCAAAAGAGTAAATAATTTGAGAAATGCTTTTTTTCTGGGGTCAAAAGTGTCCAGGGTGGTTTCAATCATCTTTTGCTTTTGTACATTCATGATGCAGACCACGGAAATCATTTTGTCCACTTTGGAGTTTGGACTGGAATGAAGAGCTTACTATAAAAGGGGAAATGGACAGTGGTCATACGGTGATGAAATTTGCTGAATTTAAGGTCAAAATATGTGTAACGACCAAACAATATTAATGCTGCATAGACTCCATACATTAATTAGTATCCAGGCAGTGAGATCTTAATCTATGTGGCTGGAATTGAATTGGAAAATTTTAATTAAATTGGACTACGGTCTTGTTCGATATGTACTAGGATTCGCCAAATTAAATTGGACAAATGTCTTGTTCGATGTTTATTAGAACTTACTTAAATTGGACAATAATATTGTGTCTTACGAGTTTTATTTTGTCTCTCCCAAGAAGTTTGTGCTCATTGGGAAATGCAAGAAAACTGGGCGCATGGATTGGCTCTGTTTTGGAAGTCGAAATTGTTAGAGCACTTCCACCAGTTAGCCCCTTGCCATGGCAAGGGGAGCCCTAGGGCAGTTACTATTCACGTGAATAGTGGCTGCCCTAGCTCCCCCCAGCAAATGTGTGTTTCCAGCAGTTAGCCCCTTGCCATGGCAAATACTATTCATTTTTTTGTTTTTTTCACAACTTTGTTTATTTAAACAATTAATTTGGATAATATTTTCGGATAAGATTTTTGGGTTCCTACGTGTCAATACTATTCATATCGGATAAGATTTTCGGTTTCAAATTTCAGATAAATTTCAAATTTCAGATACATTTCAAAATTCAAATTTGAGATAAATTCAAAATTTGAATTTCAGATACATTTCGAAATTCAAATTCCAGATAAATTACCAATTCCAAATTTCATTTGAATTTCAAATTTCAGATAAGATTTTCACCCTCTAAAATTGCGCCACGTGTCATCTCTATCTGTCTAAATTTTTCTATAAAACCAGAGGCTCAGCTCATACCTCCCACACCATATCTTCTCTGCATCTTCATTTCTCATATTTTAGATTTCATTTCTCAGATTTTAGATTTCATTCTCCATTCTCAATGTCAGACATGGAAGATGTTTTGGATAGGCAAGAGCGAGAAAGGCGAGCAAGAATGCGCAGAAGAGCTGCAAGCAAAAGGGCGCAGAGAGAACTAGATGAGCAACTTGGTGTGGCTGTTGCTTTGATGGAGGAAGAAAACCAGAGCCGTCGTGGTTCACGAGAAGGCAGGGCATCGAATGTGGACAGACATAGACATTCTCGGGGTAAGAATCTTCTGGAAGATTATTTTATCCCACAATCTCTGTACTCTGATGTTCATTTTCGAGCAAGATATAGAATGCAACCCCATTTGTTCAATAAAGTCATGCATGATATTTGCAATTATGATGACTACTTTGTTCAAAAGAAAAATTGTGCTGGAGATTTGGGGCTGCTTCCCAAGCAAAAGTTCACAGCTGTGATACGAATGTTGGCGTATGGGTCATCTGCTGATCAGGTGGATGAGATTGCCCGGATGGGGAAGTCCACTATTTTGGAGAGCTTGGTGCGATTTTGTGATGCAGTGGAAAATCTGTACACCATGGACTACCTGCGCAGACCTACGCCCAGGGACCTGCAACGGCTTCTACAAAAAGCTGAGTCTCGTGGATTTCCTGGAATGATTGGTAGCATTGACTGCATGCACTGGCAATGGAAAAATTGTCCATCTGCTTGGCAAGGGGATTATGGTAATCGAAAAGGGCAGAAAAGCATCATCCTCGAAGCAGTTGCTGGTTTTGATACCTGGGTTTGGCACGCCTTCTTTGGAGTTGCCGGCTCTCAAAATGATTTGAACGTCCTGGGTCAATCCCCGGTGTTCAATGATATTTTGAGAGGTGAATGCCCAAATATCACATATCAAGTCAATAATACCGTGTATCAGAACGGGTATTATCTAGCTGATGGTATTTACCCGAGATGGACAACATTTGTGAAATCAATTCCATATCCCCGATCCGAGAAGGAAAATTTTTTTGCTGCCAATCAAGAGGGGTACAGAAAAGATGTGGAGAGGTGCTTTGGTATCCTTCAAGCTCGGTGGGCTATTATTAGGGGCGAGGCGCGTCTATTTGACGAGGAGGTGCTCAGAAGTGTAATGATGACTTGTATCATCCTCCACAACATGATTGTGGAAGATGAGTATGATTATGATGTTGATGAAGTGTATGAACCAGATCCCATGAACACGACCTTAACACGAATTTATGAAAAACCTATGGGGCCAAATGGAGAACCAGTGCAGCATGATCCGTTAGTTAGAGACGGTACTTTCATGCATCGTATGATTGAGCGCTACACGGAGATGCAATCGTCATATATTCATGAACACCGTCAAGTTGATTTGATGGAGCATTTGTGGGCGGTGAAAGGCAATGAAGGTCAATGAAGTCAAGTGAAGATGTTATTTTAGTGCATTATGTTTATGTTGTATTTTTAGTTATGCTTTGTTGTTTTTTTTATGTTTTTGTTGTGGTTTGTTTATTTTTATGCTTTGGTTGTGGTTTGATTTTTATGTATGGAATGTTTTGAATAAAAAGGAATTTTGTTGAATATTTTCTTCATTCACTACAAGAAAATCAATACAACTCATAAAATAAAATACATGAATTACACATTTTTTTTTTTTTTTTTTATAAATAAAATAAAATGAAATGACAAGCAAACTAATTTAATGGTACAATGAAATGAAAGACAAGCAAACTAACTTAATTGTTTTGATCATTTAACCAATCTGTGTTGCTAGGTCCATCGTCACGAAAAAGTCTTCGTCTCATAACATCCCTTCGTTCTAGCTTCCAATATTGTTTTGTTTCAGGGGACATATGGGTTGTATCCATGGCCATTGTTTCCCGATCCTTATTTTCAATCTTTTCTTGCCGTGCATATTCCCTTTCTTGGCGTGCATACTCCCTTTGTTGGCGTACATACTCCCTTTCTTTTGCATTTTCTACATCAATTGCCCTATCGTGCTCTTGTTGTTTCATGTCCATTTCAATTCTCATGGCTTGCATCCTTGAAAGTTCCTCCAAATATTTAGATGATGACTTGGTAGAATTACTCCCTCTCTTCGCCTTCGCCGCCTTCCTCCCAATAGGCCTCGGCTCCTTTTCGATAGGTGAGTCTTGACTCATCGGGGAATCCATAGGTGAATCCGATGCCGGTGTCTCATGGAGTGGCGTCTCGTTCAAGACTACCGTCGGACCCGTTGGAATAATTTGGAATTTCTTACAATTCTTCACCACCTCCCAACAATGGGTATGGTTGAAGCTTTTTTTTCCTTGCCCAGTAGCACCAAAAAACATTTGTGCTTGTATAGTCTATAAAAAAAAATGAGAATGCAAGAAACTTTAAAAATTATTGGCAATTCAACAAGTATAAAAAAATAATAATGGAAATACAAGAAACCTTAACAATTTATTAGAAATGAAAAACAAAATTTAAATATTGCAACAAACATTCATATTAATATTGGAAAAACAAGAAATATTAACAAAATATATAAATTGCAAGAAATATTTAAATAAACTTTAATATGACATAGAAATTAATAAAACAAAAATTACAAATAATTTACCTCACTGGTAAGGTTTTCCCCGCTTCTATGGTTGTCCATCGCCTTTGCCAAGGCATCCCTCCATTTCGCCAACTCTTTGTTAAGAATTTTCCACCTACTAGATAGTGCCTGATCTGTACGGGTCGAACCAATTACCCTTTCACAAAAATCCTGATGAATTTTTTTCCACATATGACAGAATTTCATCTCATTGCCCGTTACGGGACAATGACTAATGTGGAGCCAAGACTCACACAAGCTAACATCTTCCATGACACTCCATGCCCCTCCGGTTTCACTAGAAGAACCCATAAATTTTTCTAGAAAAATTCAACTTCAAAGTGAAAAAAATATAGACTACAAAGTGAATAATGGTAGAATGAGAAGAAAATGTATGAAGAGTTGGTGTTAAAAGTGAAGAGTATTTGTTGGTATTTATAGGAAAAAACATCAGTATTTTTTTGGGTATTTTTTCAAATTTTTTCGATTTTTTTTCATTATTTTTTGGCCAGAATGAACAGCTGCTGTTGGATTGCTGGAAGAACTTAATCGGAGTGCCCAGAGCATCGCCACGTGGAAGAGAGCCGTTGGGTGCGACTTTCGATTTTTTTTTTCATTTTTTTATTCGCGAAAAATGGCTGCCGTTGGATTTGGAATAAAGTTGATCGGATAGCTTCAGTGGGCGCCACGTGGAATAGACCCGTTGGCGGGTCACTGTAGTGGGTGCGTCAAATTTTTTTTAAGGTTGGCGCGTGCACGCGCCAACGTTAAAAAAATTTAAACAGCTGCGCTGACGTCAGCCCAAAACGAGTTTTGTTGCTCGGGCTGGACCTCCCCAAGGGCTAGCCCAGGCAAATTTTTTTTGCTGGGGCCCACACCTTGCCCTGGCAGATTTGTGTTGCTGGAAACACCATTTTCCCCCAGCCCCTCCCAGCCCTCCCCCCACGCCCCTTGCTGGAAATGCCCTTAAAGAAGTGGGTTTTAGAGGATTTTTAAGAATGCGCATTGACATTGATGCATCAAAGCCTCTTCCCCCCGGTTTATCTATGCCTTGTCAAGTTATGGTGCGAAGGAAAATTCGGCTGAGTTATGAAGGCTTAAAAGACTGTTGCATGAAATGTGGTAGATTGGGACACTCCAAAGGCTGCCTTTTGAATCCCAATCCAAGATTGGAGATGGATGGTTTGAAATATGATGATGGAATGTGAGCTCCGCCGATTTCGAAAAGGTCCACCTTCCTCTTTAAACCAAAAGTGAGTAGCGGAGTTACTGGAGTTTTTGAACAAAACCACTGGAGGCATAGGCTGGAGAAAGAGGACGGCGGCCTCTATGGATTTTCCAACTAGGATTGCAATCGGAAAAGCAATGGTCCTGACTCAGTCAACTTGCCAGTTAATGAGACAACTGGCACCTCTGCCCTCTCCCAAAAGACAGGCTCCATGCTTCGTGCGTCACCTGCTGTGTCTCATACCTATGCCTCGTCTCAGTTTGCCTATGTGGTTCTTGGGACAAACATTGCTGCCAATCCTAAGAATGGAGCGACACAATTGAGATATATTAGTATGTGGACCCCGAAAGGATAAGATTAAACCCTTGAAGACTATTTCTTGGACAAGCCAAGAATGAACACCTTTGTTGGAAAAAAGGTCTTCTTTTCTTCTTCTTCTTACAAGCTCCTCAACCCAAGACTCCAAGAGTGAAGCCCTCTATCTCACCACACCAAAATGGACTAGAGATGAAGAGAAATCAACCTATAAGACTTAGATGCTAGACTTCCTCTATGTTGGACGGATTTTTAGCTAAGCAAGATGAGAGGGAGGATGTCTCACATACACATCAAATCACAAGAATGGAATGCCAAGGTGAAGCATGGGCTCACTAGGGTCTTGTGGATTTTGTGTTGTCATACAACACTTGTACATGAGCCCAATAGGCTTTTGGGTATTTTGCATTTTCCTTTAAATCATATTTAAAGCCTAATCCAATTTCTTATTCAAAGTTAATTCCACAATTAACTCTTAATTATTAGTTATGATTTAACTTTTAAATCACTATTATAGTCTTACTAATTTGACTTGGTCAATTGCACCGGTCAAACATGTTGACTTTGACTTGATTGTTGACTTTGACTTTTGACTTTTGACTCCTAGTTTCTTTTCTCTTCATTTATTCTTCTACTATCATTTCTTGGTATGCGATCCGTAGGTTCCTTTAACAAGGTAGTGGGTAGACTCAACTCCTTTGAGTTGACTTGTGAATTAAATCTCATCATTTAATTCTTCCTATTGGTGAAGGTCAATTAAGTTTGAACCTTTTAGGACTTCCACAAGTCATGGTTGATGCCTAGCAGCATGTCATGGTTATCCGAGCTAAATAGGGTGTGGGAAAGAACCTATTCAAATTGGAATGATCATGAAATTGAATCATTCTCTTATACAATACCTTCTCACATTATTAGATAAAGGAATCTAATGTCAAATATCCTAATGTGAATTATTCCTTTATATGATTATCCTGATAAGATTTGAAGGCCTCTTCTTTCAAATCTTATATACTACTTTGCGCAAAGATTTGATGAATCATATATTTGGAGTATTCACTATCTTTTACTGAGAATAGAGATCCCTTGTTGTACATTCATTTGTCTCTATGAATTTATTCAGAGTCCTGATAAAACACCTTCAAGTCATGTCTTCTTCAACACAACTATATAGCGATCTCAAAGACAAACAACATAGCCAGAAGACATCTACGATGTCTCAAGTCCAAGGATTAGTTTGCACCATTGCAATCTATGAGTTCTAGTTTGACATGTGAGTAAAAACTTCCATTTTAGAACTCATGTATTTGATCACGTTCAGTGTACTCGTTCTCCTACAAGCGCCTATATACATATCTTGGTGTTGTCACACTCAATGACTTGAGACCTCGTCATTCTCTACATATAGAGAAGATACTACATGTATGTCTTGGCGGAATATCAACGCCCAATTGATACTCCTATGACCAGGAACACGTTTAGGATTAGAAATCATGATAAGTCTCGATGTATACAATCTCATTACATAATTCTCATGTCCACTTATATATTCCTAGGACTATAGTTGTTTCGTATTTCATAAGATAACATGATCATGAATTAAAACAATTGATCTTGCCCATAAATAACTTAATTAGTCATTACAAAAAATGTCCTTAACACTAACTATATTACATAATTAGTTGGCTTTAAAGGTTTATATCTAACTGGCAGGCCCACCACATCATCAAGAAAGGCTAAGTTAAATCTGAGCCCTAGTAGTGTATCTCTGCGATACTCAAAGAGAGGAGGGTTTAATGCTCAACTGAGTAGTAAATGGGGAAAAGTGAAACTGAGAGGAGGTAAAGATGTCCATCACCAAATTCATACCCCAAGTAAGTCTAGTCTATGTGAAGCGGCTGTTAGTACCTCCCAAGAGATGGAAGAAGTTGAAAGACATCTGAGCAAGATGAACCAAGAGTTGCAAAATAGGCTCCAGCGTCGTGGTCGCTAGCCTTCAACAGCCACACGGAATCAATGATACAAATAGTCTGGAATTGTCAAGGGTTTGGGAATCCCAAGACATTTTTGTATCTAAAAGAGTTGATTCACTCTAAAAACCCCTCTCTTCTATTCCTCATGGAAACTAAGATGAATAGTCACATATTGAATCTAGTCAAGAGGCAATGTGGTTTTTGCAAAAATTTTGTTGTTGATCCAGTAGGGACTGCTGGTGGCCTTTGTTTGTGGTGGAAATAGAAGTTCTCAATTGGAATAATAATTGGATTGATACCCATGTAAAGTCGGACACAAATCAAGTGTCTGGTAGATTCACGTGGTTATATGGCACTCTGTATAGTGCTGAGAAGGTTGCTTTCTAGGAGAGTATTCGCGAGGGGAATAAGATGGACCAGATTCCATGGATTGTATGTGGTTACATGAATGAAGTGATCTAGAGTTATGAAAAAGAAGGTGGTGCTCCTTGGAATGAATTTATGGAATCAAATTCTTTGATTGATTTGGGTTTCAGTGGTCAATGTTACACATGGGAGAAAAATTGTACTGCTAATTGGTTAGTAAGGGAAAGATTGGACTGGGCCTAGGTGATTTTGATCGGCTACTTCGTTGGTCTAATACTCAAATTTTATATGGTTTGAGAGTGGGTTTTGATCATTGTCCTTTAATTATCGATAACTCCCCAGCCCCAGTAAAAGGAAAAACAGTCTTGCGCTTTGAGGCTACCTGGGTGGGTGATCCAAATTGTAAGGAGATTATTAATGGGTGCTAGAGTGAACCTTTTGAAGGATTAGGAATTACGAAATGGCACCGTAAAAAGAAGTTGATTCAATGGAGTCGTGATAAGGGAGAAAATTATAAATTTAAGATCCAGGCTCGACTGAAGGAGCTAGAGATGAATCAAATGTCTAAGGCTTTCGACAGCACATTGCGACAACAAGAGTTGTTAAAAGCTGATCTTGATACTTTATGGAAGGAAGAGGAGATATACTGGTGTCAAAGATCACATGTTAATTGGCTTAGTGAAGGGGAAAAAAAGGCTCACTTCTTTCACCTCTCTACTATTCAACGAAGACTGCAAAACAGAGTTGTGCGTCTGAAAAACGAGAGAGGTATTTGGCTCCCTAGTTAGAGATATTTAGTGATATACTCATTCTTAGCACTAGTATTATAGATAAACCATACACATACACCATTGAATTTTTATAAACAAACCCAAAAAATGACAACTAACCTTATTGAATTTAATATTGATTATTAAATTACTTTGATGCCCTATTGAGTGTTTTGGGTATTTTTATGAGATTTTGGGATTGGGCTCGTTTTAAGAAATTAATGGTAGTTTTGTAATTTATAAGAAGTTAAAAGCCTCTTTGTTATGTTGTAAATGGGCTTTGGGTGTGTTTCAAAAGTCCATTTCATATAGGGTATTTTTATAATTTGGACTCTTATATTGGGTATAATAGTGAATCTCCCCTCTAGTTAAAGTTTAATTGGAGCTGAATTTAGAAATTATTATTCTCGATTGTTCACGTCTATTGGCAATCGGAGTTAGGGGAATATTTTGGATTGTATCCCTAAGACAATTAATACTGATATGAATGCTTTTCTGGTGGCTCCTTTAGGAAATATCTATTACTGCCCACTAATTAGGCTCCCTTAAATCTCTTGGTCTAGTTGGGTTCCCAGTCTATTTTATCACAATTACTCAAAGAGTTTAATAAAACTTTGAGTTTTCTTCAGTTTTGCCCCTTGAATTATTTACATATTGTCAATTTAGCCCCTTAACAAATTTTTTCGGTAAATTAGCCCATGAGTTTTTATTTTATATTTTAAGTAGGTAAGCTTTGTATTTTCTCTTCTTTTTTTAATTACGAATTTACCCTTAATTTGGATGGAGTTTGAAAAAATTGACGGTAGGGCCTCAATTGGTGATTTTTAAACAATTGGAGTCCTTAATTTATCGAAAAAATTGTTAAGGCGCTAAATTGAAAATATGCAAATAGTTTAGGGGGCAAATCCACATAAAACCCTAAAACTTTTATTGCTCTTATACCCAAAGTGGCAACTCTTGAGTATTCCAACCAGTTCAGACCTATAAGCCTCTGCTTTAATTCCTATAAGATTTATCTAAGATTCTGGCCAATAATCTAAAACAGGCCTTTAGTCATTTCTAGTACCCAAAATGCTTTTGTTCAAGGAAAACATATTCAAGATAATATTGTGGTTGTGCATGAAGCCCTTCATTACCTGAGACTGAAATGGAAGTGAAGAAAATACGAAGCGTGCTTAAAGGTGGACATGAATAAGGCTTATGGCAGAGTCAAATGGGAATTTTTGAGAGTTCTAATGGCAAAAATAGGATTTGATAATTTATAGATCCAGCTGGTGATGGCATGTATATCATCTATCTCTTTCTCTAAACTCCTGAATGGCAAGCTGGGTAGTTCTTTCTCTCTTTCTTGTGGTCTTAGACAAGGATACACCTTATCTCCGTATCTGTTTCTAATCATTTGTGAAGCCTTGACCGAGAACCTAAGAAAACTCTTCAATGATGGAGTTATTAAAGGGGATCAAGTTGGGTCGAAGTGGGCCGATTTTGTCTCGCTTATTTTTTGTAGATGACGCCTTATTTTTCCTTCAGGGCGGAGCAATCAAATTGTCTACAACTTAAGAAGCTCCTTCAAGATTATTGTCATGCTTCAGGGCAAGAGATTAATTTCGACAAATCCTGCATTTATTTCAGTTGTGGCAAACTTGTATATGTTATGTTTTTTATATTAAAGGTGTTGACGACCCTGAGGTCTATCTAGGCCTTCCTACTATATGGAAAAGATCAAAAAAATTGGCTCTTGGATATATCAAGGAAAGAATGAAAAAGAAAGTGCAAGGATGTGCAAAGAAATTAACGGTGACATTGCGAGATTTTGCTGGGCTAATCAAGATAAGGATTTTGGTATGCATTTGTTTGTCCGTCGCAAATCTTGCAGCCTGGTGCTCCGGGAAGAGGGGATGCGCGTCAACACGTGACGTCCTCTTTTTGGATGTGGTGCGGTTGTGCGCGGGCGTGCCAGCACGGTCTACCGTGCGTCGAGATGATGATGAGGTTCGGGTAGAAGATGGTTTAAATGTTGCGCCTGTTTTGAATTCGACTCCTAATCAAAGGATTGTGGCCGAGTGAGGAACGAATCTCGGCCGTCAGGTTCATGGCCTGAGCTACAAGGCCATTTAGTGGTGGTGTTGGTGGTGGGTTTTAGGCGGTGCTCCGGCGCGTTGCTCAGAGAGCGACGGTCGTATGATATATGGGGGGTGAGTGAGGCGATAACAGAGGTGGTGCTCCGGCGCCTTAAAATCAAGGGTCGTATGATATATTGATGACTGGATTTTCCTTACAGTCTACCACTACTCCTAAGAAAGCAAATAAAGGTATTGAAAGTGCATTACAGGAAAATATAATTTGCTCCGTGGGAGGCTTTTGGTTTTGGTGTTTGAACCCTTTGAATGTAGTCCTGAGTTTAGCATTTATAGGAGTCCTAGAGGGACATTCGAGGCTGACAAGACCTGCGTGGTGGAGCCTGGCTAGGCAAGTGGGTAGTCAAATCGGCATTTGGGATCGTGAAGCATGGTGGTCTAGGGTTGAGAAGCATGGTGGTGTGACCCCCATAAATCTCGGCAAATCTCGGCCACCGCCCTGATCGTGGGTTCTGCCCCTTTGGCCGTGGGAACGCATTTAATGCCCTGGATTGGTGGTTGATTATCTGACCCTAAGTTGTAAGATTACTTGTGAGAATGTCTGCGCCTAACCACCCTGATTCCCATCACCAAATCCTGACTTCAGTCACTTCCCTCGTGCATTGAATGCTTCTTGTGACTAGTGGGTTTTGCTGCGAAGTCAGAGGCATTACTTCATTAAATGGAGCGTGGGGCCTTGAGGTCACGTGGCGATTCAACCACAGTTTTTCAAACTGTGTCTTTTGCGGCCTTCGGCCTCGGCCTTCAAAACTGCAGTCGCGAGGCCGAGGGGATTCTGCCTTTGCAGCTTTTCTTTTGCTCTTAGGAGGGCGAAATGCTTGATGAAACGGTAGGCGCCAAGGCCGAAGGGAAGTCCCTTCAATCAGTTCATGACCGTGTTTTATCAGGCACAAACATTGCCCCCACATCCCTGGATTCTTCGATCGCGGCCTGGGCAAAGGCCGAAAGGATTCCAAGGGATGGACCCTTTGCATTCCCCTTGAAGTGATTGACAGTTGGTACTTTAAATGCGTAGGTCAATTGGCGCATTAAATGCGAAAGCAAGTCTCGCAGGTCATCATTGCCTAGACTTGCGCGAGCCGTCGTTTCGTCCCGTCAAATGAAGCGACGACCTCTGGGCTTTCGACACGTCATCGCGCCCTTTGAGCACGCTTGTCAGGCCGTTACGTCTCTCGAGAGAGCCACGCCCTTTCGTTTCGAATTCTAGCGCCAATATAAAAGCCTGTCCTTCTTCATCCCCTCCTTACGCTTTCAGAACCTCCAGACGCCCAAATTCTGCCAAACCTTTCTCTCAAACCTTCAACCCTTTCGAACTCTACATTTTAGCACCCTAACCCTTTTCTGCACAGTTATCCCCATTTGTTAGTGACCAACGACTTCAGTCGCTTTTCCTGTATTTCTCTGAAAACCCTTGAACTCTTTGCCCCTTTTCTGAGCACTCGGCTCCCTGGTGTTCTTCGTGTTCATCACCATTCCTTCGACTTTTTTTCAAACCTACTCTCACTTTAATCCGTTGCAATGGCCTCCAACACCCTACATCTGTTGAAGCTCGGTCCCAAGTCTTTCAGATTGAATTTGAAGACATTTGCCGAGAAATCCAGGGCTCGGTCTTACCCAACATTGTCACACCTTAGACTGATGACGATGGCACCGCCACCGACTCCTGCGTCCTCAGCCCCTCTGTAGATGGCTGGATGCTAGAGAGGCTGGTGGCTCACTTGAAGAACAACTTGGTGGACCTCTTGGCCTTGGGGGGGGGGGGGGGGGGGGGGGGGGTGGGAGATTGGAATGTCGCCAGACCGCCAGCCCCAATGGCCAACCTCAACCCCGGACTGGGAGAAGTGGCTGCCGAGGATGGAGCACTTCTTCGGCCAGCAATGGAAGGATCATGGCATCTACCACTTGATCAAGCTGTTCGACCGGCCGCTCATCATGGACCGGTCGCTCTTGGCCGCGGCCCTATGCTCCTGGTCGTCGGCCACAAATACTATGAACCTTCGGTTTGGTATGATGACGCTGACCGTTCTAGACATGGCCGCCTTATTCGGCCTTTCTCCCCTCGGTATGGAAGTAAATGCCGCTCTGGTGGCCCCTGAGGCTGAAGGGAGTTTTAAGGCCTCATGGCCTACGGTCTCCAAGCTTGCTGGGAGCAAGGCGAAGAACATGCTCAACTATTCCAGATTCTATAGCAACTTCGGCGTGGAGGACAGCGCCGATGACGATTCCATCGCTCCCTTGGGCGAGGTCGAGCATGCCGCATTCTTGCTGTATTGGCTATGCAAGTTCGTGTTTTGCACCCAGGCGAACAAAGTCACCCTGGAGTTTGCCCACCTGGCCGACTATCTCGCGCATGATGGAAAGCTGGCGCTCGGCCCATTCCTCCTCGGTCATATCTACCGTACGCTTCACGACGTTGTCACGGGCGGGATGAAGCCGAAGCACGGTGGTCCATTATGGGCCTTCCAGTTTTGGATGCAGGCTTACTTCCCAGAGTTGAGGGGAGCGGCCAATATTACCGACAGCGAGCCGTTGGCAAATGCGTTTGCCCGGGCCCCCAGGAAGCATAATACCTCGACTTCCTGTTATAAATTTTTCTATGGCTTGGCCGAGAGGACTGCGTCCCAGTTTCGAGTGTGCCTTGCTCGGCCGTGCCCGTTGTTCTTGGCGCACGACCTATCCGTGATCCCTGATGGTGAAACGGAGAATGATTTGAAGGAAATCTGGGGCTCCTTCCTGGTCGCGCGCAACCTTCACTACGGCCTATCCAAGGCTGGGGCCGCGGTTTATCTCCCGAACTTTGTGGCGCAGTAGTTTGGCTTGATCCAGACGGCACCGCTTCCCCCGTTGTCAACCAACTGGCTCTCGTCTTAGAGGGCCGACGTCGCTCAGCAGCACGGCGTAGCTGGCATTTCCTTCCAGCTTCAAAAGGGAATGACCTTCCTCACTCTCACGCCTTGGCTGTGTTGTAACGCATACGACGAGGATGGACGAGTCTGGTATGAGGAGTGTATCTCGGCCAGATTCATTCGGCCTGTTGAGGAGGCCGTGAGGGGGGCTCTGAAGAATGCGGACTGGGACCCCCTCGTCCCCAAGGCTGGCAAGGGGAAGAAGGCCTCGGCTGTGAGTCCTCGACCGAGCACGCCGGCCGCAGCCGTACCCAGGGTGGTGGCCCCCTCTTCGGTTAGAGTAGCGGTTGTGACCTCAACTGCGGCCCCGACCCCCAGAGCGCCGGCTGTAGCGGGGGCGCATAGGGCCATGCCATTCGCCCCGCCGGCTTTTTTCACTTCGCCGTTAGCTTCTCCGAGCCACCTTTGTCTTTGTTTACTTGCTTATTACCTATTTTACCTCTCCCTGTACACACAGCCCCAGGTCGCAAGAGGGATTGAGAGGCCCCAAACACTGGGGGCCTAGGCGGTTGAGGCTGCAACGGCCGAAGGTGTTGCCGTTGAGACGGCGGTGCTAGGGCGGTCGAGGAAAAGGGTCCTCCTCGGTCTTTCGGAGGCCGAGGACGAGGAAGAAGTTCCCCTTGGAATTGTGAGCGAAGCCCTTCTCATGATCGTAAGTACTCCTCCTTGATTTCCCCTTTTTTCTTTTTTAGGCCACGCCCTCCTTTCTTTTTTTTGATAATCTGGTCTTTTCCTCAGGGGAGACAGTGTCCGAGGAGTTGGCCGATGAGGTGGCCGCTGCCAAGGTAGCAACTGAGGGGACGGCCACCGCCTAGGTGGCGGCAATGATGGATGCCGAGGCAGCGGTCGCAGAGGTGCCGGCCACTGAGGAGGCCGCCGCGGACGTACCGGACGACGAGGTCCCTGCCGTGGACCCGACGCAGGCCATCCTGGTGGAAATCCCTTCGGCCGTTACCGCGCTTGCTGAGCCGTTGCCGTCCGCCCCTCGTCGTCCAGGCGGCATCATGATCCGCTCGATAAGCATTTTGTTTTTACTGTACCCTCGTTTTATTTTCAGAATTCCGCCGCCTGCGTTGACCGAATTTTTTGCTTCCAGCCTCCCCGGTCGTCACCGTCGCTACCTGCGGTTGCGGTAAGTATGCCCGTGGCGCCGCGGTCCCAGGGCTCGACGGCAGTGACCGAGCTTGCGGTGGTCGAGGCTATAGCTACCGACGCGCCGAGCCCGCCGTCTGTCTCCTCAACGATTCTGACCTTGCTTGTGGGTGCAGAAGCTCTTAGTGCGCTGTCGGCCGCTGAAGTGAGTCTTTAGATTTTCACCTTGTCACTTGCCATATCCTAGTTGGTTGTTTCCTATTTTAAACTCCCTTCTTCCATTTTCAGGGAACCACCTCCTCCGATGACCTCGATGAGTTATATGCCAGTCTTCACGAAGAAGGAGGCAGCTCGACCTCGGCCCCTTTGGATGAGGACTCCAGGGCTGTCATTCAAAAGCTCCGGGAGTACCTATTCCTTAGGGTTCACCAAATGACCACGGCTGAGGCATTCATGGAGTTTAGGTCCTGTCTGGATACGGCCATGGCGTTGGGTCTGCTTGACTCGGCTCAGCTGGACAAGCTACAGGCTCGCTTGGCCGAGGGCGAGGAGATGATCGGTCGGTATGCTGAGGCGAACATAAGGATGACCGAGGGATGCTCGCTTGAGCAAGAGCTGTCGGTGATAAAAGACCAAGTCCAACCTGCCATGGCCTGCTTGAAGGAAAATGACCTTGTCATCCAAAGGGAGAATGAGGAACTTGTGCAGGTCGAGGTTCAGATTGCCGGGCTCTAGGCCCGTCGAAATCTCATCCTTCAGCCCCGAGATGGTGCGGTCGCGGTCAGAACCGAGCTGAAGTCTTTGGCCAGGCAAATCCTTAAGGCGGCGACCGAGAAAAAGAGGGCATCGGCCGAGAGGAAGCTGATCCGTGCAAGGTGGCAGGCCGATATAGATGGTGGGGACATTGCCTGGAGAAGGATAACATGCCTAATATGGGGAACGTTTAGCGAGGGGGTTTAGGCGGGCGGCCGCTCAAAGATTTTGGGATGTAATAATTAAACACTTTTTCTCTTCCCATAGACACACAGATATATATATTTTTTCTCTGTCTTGTGATCAGCCATGACTGGCTGTTCTTTTTTCCGTTTGTAAAAAAGAAATGATCTCTCCATCTAAATACAAAGCGTGGGCCTTCTTCTCTGATTGATTGAATGTATGGTTTTTTTTTTTTTTTTTTTTTTTTTTTTTTTTTTTTTGTTTTTTTTTTTGTTGGCCCGGTTGTTTAGCACGTTTTTTGCCTACTTCCCCCTCCTTTTTCTTTTTGACTTTTTTTGTCGTAGGACCTCTGTGCCATTTTTTCTTGAACTTCCGCCGAACTGTAAGCAGCGAGCCTTAACTGTTCTAACTTTTCTAAACTCCGGGGCACGGTTTGCGCGTAGCTCTCCATCTTTCGCCTAAGTTGCATGAAAATTCGAAGAAATCGAACCTCTAGCTCCATTAGTTCATGAATGCCATGGCCGTAGGTCAAGATATAGGGAAACATGCTCATAGAGTGCTTTGATGTGTGGAGTGCCCAAGAAGCCCTAGAGAGCAACTCGCGCCAGGTCCTACGCTTTCCGGGTGGGTACAGCTCAGTATAACTTGGTGCCCCCAGCCGTCTCTGGGCTGAGCCGTCCTTGGTTGTGCGTCGGGCGTCTTTGGTCCGAGGATCTTGAGGGGGCGACTCTAGCTGGGTTGGAAGTGGTCGTTGGTCCTGTTGTGCATCGTCCTGAGGCTTGATCTGCTGGGCCACTTGAACGAGGGACTCAGCCGTTACGACCGAACCGGGCGGCATTGGGTGAGCGCCGTAGGTTTGACCGGGGTTCGTAGGCGTCGTTGTTGGAACGGCCGAACCGTACTGAAGATGGGAGCCTGACGGCAATAACGATGTATGTAATGGTGAAACGGACGGATTGCCCTGACCATATTGCTGTGACGAAGTAGCGGTCGAGTTGCTTGGGCCGGGATATGTTTGGACGACCACAGTGTGGATTGGGTCGAGTTGTTAGACCGCGGACTGTGCGGGGCTGCTTTGCCCCAGTGACACGGCCAAAGCATGGAGTGGGCCGTACGTCGTCTTTGTCGGGTAGGTCGGTCCGGGATTTACCCATGTTGACTGGGACTGCCCCCAATTGTTTGTCGACGGCTGTGAATGCTGGCCGTAATTTGACGCTTGGGTGCGGCCAGAGACGAGGAGGCTGCTGCTCTCGCCGTAGGGCTCGAACCTCTCGCGCTCTTGGCCTCTCTGTCCGGCTCTGGGAGGCGTTGCGGACGATGTCACTGGCATCCTCTCCTGAAAAAGCGTCCGTAGCTCCGAGGAGAATCTATCCATTGCGGCCATGAAGGATGTTTCGATCCTGCAGGCCTGCTTCGCCATCAGATCTTCGCCGACGACTTGCTCTCCCATGGACTCGGCCGTGCGATCCATCGTTATCGGACCCTTGGTCGAGGTTCTGACTGCGTGTTCGGTATCGGGGATAGTGATTGGTGAGGTGGACTCAGGAGCCTCGGAAGTCATTTCGACTGTTTTGTTTTTTAGCTTTGCCTGTGCCCTAGTTTCCACCATAAGTTTTCAACAAATCCCACCGGGCGTGCCAAAAGTGTTTGTCCGTCGCAAATCTCGCGGCCTGGTGCTCCGGGCCGAAGGGATGCGCGTCAACACGTGACGTCCTCCTTTTGGATGCGGTGCGGTTGTGCGCGGGCGTGCCAGCACGGTCTACCGTGCGTCGAGATGATGATAAGGTTCGGGTAGAAGATGGTTTAAATGTTGCGCCTGTTTTGCGTTTGACTCCTAATCAAACGATTGTGGCCGAGTGAGGAACGAATCTTGGCCATCAGGTTCACAGCTTGAGCTACAAGGCCGTTTAGTGGTGGTGTTGGTGGTGGGTTTTAGGCGATGCTCCGGCGCGTTGCTCAGAGAGCGATGGTCGTATGATATAGGGGTGAGTGAGGCGATAATAGAGGTGGTGCTTCGGCGCCTTGAAAATGAAGGGTCGTATTATATATTGATGAATGGATTTTCCTTACAGTCTACCACTACTCCTAAGAAAGCAAATAAAGGTATTGAAAGTGCATTACAGGAAAATATAATTTGCTCCGTGGGAGGCTTTTGGTTTTGGTGTTTGAACCCTTTGAATGTAGTCCTGAGCTTAACATTTATAGGAGTCCTGGAGGGACATTCGAGGCTGACAAGACCTGCGTGGTGGAGCCTGGCTGGGCAAGTGGGTAGTCAAATCGGCATTTGGGATCGTGAAGCATGGTGGTGTGACCCCCATAAATCTCAGCAAATCTCGGCCACCGCCCTGATCGTGGGTTCTGCCCCCTTGGACGTGGGAACGCATTTAATGCCCTGAACTGGTGGTTGATGATCTGACCCTAAGTCGTAAGATTACTTGTGAGAATGTCTGCGCCTAACCACCCCGATTCCCATCACCAAATCCTGACTTCAGTCACTTCCCTCGTGCATTGAATGCTTCTTGTGACTAGTGGGTTTTGCTGCGAAGTCAGAGGCATTACTTCATTAAACGGAGCGTGGGGCCCTGAGGTCACGTGGCAATTCAACCACAGCTTTTCAGATCGTGTCTTTTGCGGCCTTCTACCTCGGCCTTCAAAACCGCGGTCGCGAGGCCGAGGGGATTCTGCCTTTACAGCTTTTCTTTTGCTCTTAGGAGGGCGAAATGCTGGACGAAACGGTAGGCGCCAAGGCCGAAGGGAAGTCCCTTCAATCAGTTCATGATCGTGTTTTATCAGGCACAAACATCATTGGAAGTTCTGGCATGTTTTGAATAAAGTAAGATGGAAGGAGGTTTGGGCTTTCGTGAATTATCGGATTTCAACCTAGCCTTCCTAGGCAAGCAATGATGTCGCTTAATTCAGAATCCGAACTCCCTTTGGGCAGAAGTTCTTAAAGCTTGCTACTTCCCGGAGGTGGACTTTTGGAAAGAAACGGTGGGGCATTGATCCTCGTGGATTTGTTCTAGTCTCATTGCTGGTAGAGATGAGCTGTTAAGTCATACTAGGGTTCAGATCCTAAGTGGTGAAAATACAAATATTTGGACAGATAAATGGCTTCCATTTCCTCATAGAGGGGTCATAAATTCTACTCGATCTGTCCCTCCCAACTTTCCACTGTTGGTGTCAGACATTATTAACAAAAAAAACTCATCAAAGGAATCCCAAAAATGTTAGTTTGATCCTTGATCGAGAAACAATGAAAGCAATCAGGAGTATCCCAATTGGAAATATTTATAACCCTGATTGTATTTTGTGGCCTTGGAGTGTTAATGGTCAGTACTCTGTTAAGTCTGGTTATCACATAACTCATGCTTTAAATGCTGCTTTGTTTGGTGTGGGTGCCCACTCTTCTTCTGGGGGACCTTGAGCTTGCCATTTCTCCAGTTCTTCCGGCAACTCTCCGGAGCAACACCTTTACCTTTCACGGGACACTACCCATTCCATCTTACATTCAACCGCTTCTCCGGGCGCCAGAGCCCAGGCCCCTAGCACTCCTTCCAGCGTCCTCATTTGGTAACATAAGCGCTGCTGAGAATTCCCAGGCTATCATTGTTGCTGGGAATACTACTGTAGAACACCTATCTGACACATCTTGGTTGGAGTGGGAGGAATCCTTTGCTGCATTTATGGCCTTCTTTGATAGTGGTGTTCAGGTCCTTCGATCCACAGATGAACTCTTGCCACTTTGTCACCGGTTCAACGGTTACGCAACATTCCGAGGAGCCCTTGTTTATCACAAGACAGTTGCAGCCCTGGAGAAATTTCTGGACAAGTATGGAGATTTAACGAACATGACTAGCATCACTTCTTCCTTTTCAGGGTGCATTGCTTTCCGGACTCTTGGCTTGGTGCTCCATGGAATGGATACTACGCAGTTGCTGGACATCACAGACCATCGACTCCTTTGCTGGCGGGACACGATCTGTGAAGCCATGACTTTAGGTTTCCGGGTAGAGTTTCTCTTGAACTTGGTGAATGACCTAGCACGTGCTGTATTCGGGGAACGGGCTATTCATAGCATGGAGTCATTTTCTGGTTCTGACAACATAAGAGCAGCGTCAAAGGCCTTGAATCTCAAGCAGCGCGAGTTAGAAAATCAGCATGGGGAATTGCGTGCCCTTCTTCTGGCCCAAGGTATTTCTCCTGATAGTGCAGGCTGCGTGATGGAAGCAGTGACAAGGTCTTCTCATAAGGCTTCTTTCGTTCTTTTCTAGCCATGCGTGATGGTTTTGAGGTTCGTGACTTCCTGTCTCTCCTTTTTTATTCTTATCCACTACCTTCCTGTTTTCTTCTGACATTTTCTTTATTCTGCAAGTTGCATTTTTGCTTGGTGTAGGACTGGCTAGCTTGACATATCTCGGGATTTCTTTCAAGATTGAAGAACACATTTTAGCTTGTATAACTTAGTCTGATCTAGGTTGCAATTCCTTGTGGGTAACCCCAAGACTTGTATTGCGGTAGCTTGGGCACCTGTAGTGTTGTTGTGTTCAAGTTGCCGGAACCTATGTCCCTTTTTATTTTAGAACACATTGTATCTTTTGCTCAGTATATATATATATATATATATATATATATGGCGCTTGGTTGGTGGAAGTCTTTCGCTTGAGATTTTTCTACAGGTTGGGCACCTTTTAAAACAAGATAGATGCCGCCAAAATTTTGGTAGGATCCATGCTCGAAGCTTCTCAGTTCTTCTATATATTCTTTTTAGCAAGTTTGGGAGCATGCCAATTTCAAAGGCTCAGCTTGGCATATTTCTTTGTTGATAAAGCATGAAGCCTACTAATAACCCAGGATCCCATGCAAATGGCTTTGGCTTGGCATGTCTTCTGCTAAACAACCTTTCTCTTTTTTTTTATTTAAAAAAAAACAAAAACAAACAGGCAGACTTCCACACATTGTTTTTTTTTTGTTTTATAAAAAAAATACTCCTTCACTTTCATTTCAAATCTCATGTTACCGCCAAGGTACATTTTACAAAAGCTTCCCCAAGCAGAAGCAAGCATATGGAAGGAGATCAAAAAAAAGCAATAACATAAAGATAAAATACTATGCCTACTTAGCAGTAGTAGGGCTTGAGCCATTTTCCATTGATGGGATCCGTTAGCATGCCTTCCTTAACAGAGATCAAGCGATAATAGCTACTGCTGTGTACTTCCTTGACTACGAATGGACCTTCCCATTGCGGGGCAAACTTGGATGGTCCTGACATTTTTCTCCTCACATGCTCGACGACTTTTAGCACAAGATCTCCGTGCTTGAAAGCTTGAGGCTTAACGATCTTGTTATATGCTTGGGCAATAGTCTTATGGTAGAGGGCCATTTTTCTTTCAGCTTCCATTCACTTTTCGTCCACTGCTTCAAGGTCCAACAAACGCCAATCCAAGCATGATTTTGCATCCCATTCAAGGTCGTTAACAACCGAGACTCTGGCCGTGGGAATGGTGATTTCCACAGGTGAAATAGCGTCGGACCCATATACCAGTGAATAAGGTGAAAAACCTGTAGCACTTCTTGGTGAGGTGCGGTAAGCCCACAAAGCATCCGGCAGGTGAATGCTCCAACCGCCCTCATACTCATACACAATGTAGGAGGCTTGTGACTCAAATTGGCGTGGATTTGGCACGTGTGGCATTTCTTAACAAAATCATGCGCATCCCTTTTCATAGTAGGCCAGTAATATCCAAAACTCAACAGCTGCCGGTGAAGCCTTTTCATTCCTTGATGTTCTCCACGTTCTCCAGCGTGTATTTCCTGCATGACTTGATGTGACTCCGTCTTTCCTAAGCATCGTAGAGGTTCCCCGTTAAATCCCTTCCGATAAAGAGTCGACCCATCCACAAAATATCTCTTTACCATCTTCTTAAGCTGATAGGCGAGCTTGGAATTGCTTGGCAGAGTCCTTTCAACAAAAAATGCCAAATATGGGGCCCTCCAATCTTCTACGAGTGAAATGGTGAATGATTCCTCGGTAGTAGGTATTGTAGAACATTTGGGACAATTAGCTTGAACCTCAGCTGCTTGTTTCCTCATTTCTGGCCAAAAATAACCTTTATGCTGCAGGCGCCGATACAAGCTAATTACTGGTTCCAAACTGCAAGTAGCCTCGTTGCAGCCGCATTCTTGCTTCAATTATTCCTATGCATCGAGTCAAAATGCCTCCTGGAAGACGCCTGTAGAGTTCCCCAAAGATAATCACATAATCTTTCAAATCCTTAATACCGCTCTCTTCTCCCAACTTTTTCTTCAATGGTTTTCTCCAATCATCCTCCTCCAGCAGCTCCGCCTAGACCATTGCTTCGACTATCGGTGTGCCTTTCCTTATTACTGTAATATTGTGCTGCTCCTGTACGAATGAGAGCTTTGATCCCAGCGTAGCCAAGGCATCAGCATACCTATTGGTGACTCCCGGAATGTGCTCCATCACTATTTGCTTGAAAGAATTAATAAGCCTTTCAGCAGCTGTCCGATATGGTGCCAAGGTTACCTCATTCACAGCAAAGCTTCCTTGCAATTGACTTAGCACCAAATTAGAATCGCCAATGATCTTCATCCTTTCTGCACCCATTTCCCTGGCAGTGAACAATCCCATAACAAAAGCCTCATACTCTGCCACATTGTTTGTGCATGGAAAATCTAACTTGAATGAGAGAGTTGTAGCATGCCCATCAAGATTAATGAGCACTACACCTGCTCCTCCACCTTTTGATGTGGAAGACCCATCAAAGTAGAGGATCCATGGCTCCTCCTCCATCACAGCATCCACTATTTCTGGCAGTTCCCCCAAAACTTCCTTGGAAAGAGTTGATTCTTCTATCTCGGGAAATAGAGCCAGCATGTCAATCACAGCTTGTCCCTTGATGCCCTTAGGAGTTGTGCATGTAATATCAAATTCAGATAGCTGCAGCAGCCAACGCGCAAGACGACCAGATAGCACCGGCCTTGTGAGCAGATATCTCACAGGATCGAATTTTACTATGAGCTGTAGCTTGTGAGCTAGAAAGTACTGTCGCAAGCGCTGTGCAGCATAGACAAGAGCAAGACACAAGAGCTCGATCTTTGGGTATCTCGTTTCTGCTCCCCTTAATTGCCTGCTCACATAGTAAATGGGATTCTCGTCTCCATTATGATTGTCCTGGGCAAGCAAGGCCCCAACTATTGTGTTTGTTGCAGCCAAATATAGTTTAAGCGGAAGTCTCGAAATGGGTGCTCTCATGGTGGGAAGCTTGGTGATTATTTACTGCACTCGCTGATAGGCCTCCTGGCACTCTTGCTCCACTTGTATGGCTTGCCTTTCTTGAGTAAGGGAGTAAAGATACTCATGGTGGCAGCAAGACCCGGGATAAAGCGTCGAATATACGATAATCTTCCCATGAAGCTTTTTAATTCTTTCGGACTTCTAGGTGGTGCAAGAGAGTTTATGGCTCCGGTTTTTTCTGGATCCACATCTATGCCACGCTGATGTACTTGAAAACCAAGGAACTTGCCTAATGAGACTCTGAATGCACATTTCTTTGGGTTCATCTTTAACCCATATAGCTGACACCTTTCCAGCACCCGTCTCAAAACCTCATGATGGCTTCCTTTATCTTTTGATTTTACCACCAAGTCGTCCACATAATACTCGACTTCTCTCCCCATCATATCATGAAATACCGCCGTCATGGCCCTTTGGTAGGTGGCGCCAGCGTTCTTAAAACCAAATGGCATGACGGTGTAATAAAAGTTCCCATATGGTGTTCGAAAGGCAGTCTTCTCAGCATCATTGGGCAACATTTTGATCTGATTGTAGCCACTAAACCCATCCATAAAGGATAGCATGCCTTGGCCTAAAGTTGAATCGATCAAGATATCTATGTTGGGTAGCGGGAACTCATCCTTTGGACAAGCTCGGTTGAGGTCTCGGTAGTCTGTGCATATTCTAATTACTCCAGTCTTCTTTTTCATAGGAACAATATTTGCTAACCATGTCGGGTGCTTGATTGGTTTGATGAATCGAGCAGCTAGCAATTTTTCAATTTCCACCTTGATTTGCCTTTCGATTTCAGGATGAAAATTCCTCCTTGGTTGTACAACAGGCTTGGTACCTAGCTCAATATTCAGTGTGTGACTCACCAAATTTGGATTGAGGCCGGGCATTCCATCGTAGCTCCAAGCGAATACATCCCGCAATTCTTTTAACAAAGACACCAAAATTTCATTTTCTTCCTTTGCCAAGTGAACACTGATGGAGATGGGCCTCTAGACCAAGGGATCATCACTCAAGTTGATTGTTTCCAATTGCTCGGCTACCGCCATTGAACCATCTTGCATGTGCTTGGGCGCTATCATTGGTTCCTGAAAGGTACAAGGCAGAGGTGCCTTGTTATCTGGATCCTTGTGGCTGCCAGCTTGCATTGCTTCTCCTCCATACTCGGGGCTTTCCAGTCGAGTCCCCAATCCCGTCATAAGCGGTACACAGTGCCCATCGGGCAGCGTCACTTTCGAGCATTGGGGATGATCATAGGCATGATTGTTGACCTCCGAGTGTCTCTTTCTTTCTCGATCGACAATGGTGATGAGCTCCTCATTGCTTAGATCACGAATTTCAGTCCACGAAGGAAGATAAGTCCCGAAATCCTTGGACGGGTTGCTTCCGGCACCTGTGCATTCGGTGTAAAACTCTGCCTCAGAGTTGTGAGCTTCGTTTTTGTTGAACGGTGCTTGATTTCCTGGTATTCGTAGCGGCCTTAGCCCAATCCTTCCTTTCACGCACTGATGGTAAGTAGAGACCACAAGCTTATGTTTATTAAGCCATGGTCTCCCAAGCAAAGCATGATAAGCCACATCCACATCTACGACATAGAACTTAGTAAGTGACTAAATCGGTCCAACCTTCAAATTTACGTGCATGTGCCCAATTGTGACTTCACTCTTGTTTCTGAAACCACTGATGCTTGTTTGTGATTGAACAATTTTGGATAATGGAATGCCAGTTGCTGTAAGCACGGACAAGGGTAATATGTTGATAGAGGAACCCGTGTCTACCAAAGCCCTTCTTATAAACACATCGTTGATTTGTCCCTCCAAATAGAGTGGCCTCATGTGATCTGGATATGGGACCTCCATGTCTTCATCCGTGAAAACGATAGCATTATCATTTTCCAAGAATGACCTTTGGGGTTGAGCGGTGAAGCAATGGGGATTAGATTCTGCGAAAATGTTCATGAGAGCTACAACAGCTGCTTCCCTTGCCTGAGGTCCAAAACCAAGCTGGTCGAAGAGTGACTTGAACTTTGGATTTCTTTGGAAAACTTGTGAAGCTGTAGGTCCTTACTTCAAACCTAGGTAATGCTCCATTACAGTTTCCTCAGCTTCTGTAAGAGCGTGAAATGTTACAACAGCCGTTTCCTACTGCCCAGAGGAGGTTCCTAGGCATCGTTCTTCCGGCATGTCCAACATAAACACTTCATTGTCTGCACAGTCGTCCCATCCATCAGCAAGTGGCCATGGCGTATTATAGCTCGAAGGTTCCGAATATTTTCGCCAGTAAGCTTTCTCCATGTTTCCGCAAGGCTCCCAGATAGCCTTAGGTGGCTTTGGGTCGTTCTTCCATGGGTGACATAGTTCATCGTCATCAAGCAGATCGTCAGAACATGTTATGATAGCAGCTACCTCCTTCCCCCTTCGCTTTGGTAAAGGGTCCTCATCAATAGTTTGCTTCCTAGAGGGAAGCTCAAGAACTCCTTCGTTTATTTTACCATGTAAGGTTCTCCTTAAGCTCTGACAGGCAGTGGTTGGATGCCCTACAAATTGATGGTAACGGCAGTACCTAGGGTCATTTTTCTCTTCTCTAGTAGGGACCTTGTAGGGCCTAAGGGGCTTGATTGCGCCGTCAGCAATCATCGTGTCAAGAATGGCATGAAATTCTTCGTCCTTGCACGGTAATAGAGGGTATGTCTCCCTATCCTTTCGTTTGTGTGAGTTGTAGTCATTGGATGACTTATCGTTTACGGCCAACGTTTGATGTGCTTCCTTCTTCTCGCTCCTCCAACTTTTTTACCCAGTTGGTTTGACAGACATGCTTGTCTTCCTTACTGCTTCCAGCAGCCAAGAAAATTGACTGATGCCAATATTCTCCAAGTAAACTCTGTAATCTGCCACGATGTTGCTGATGCAAATCTTGACAAGTGCCTCCTTATCTTTTTCGTCATAGCAGTCGAGAGCCAAGTCTCGGAACCTTCGTACAAAGTCCACAGGATCCTCCCCTGGCTGCTAGAGTAAGCTTGATGGGTACAGTGGTTGAGGAATGTACTTCCAATCCTCCTGGCTTCGACTAAGCTTTTTTTCCAGCATGGCAACGACATCTTCCTGGGTAACAAAAGATGGTCCCTTTTGTTTAGACCCTTTTCCAGCAACAACAGATTCTTCTTGTGGATGTCTGTCGTCCTCTTCACTTGGCTTAGAGGCGGCATTTTTTAATTCCTTGATAGTATCCATCATCTCCCTCTGGGTTTCACACATAGTCTGCATAGCTGTAATGAGATCTATGAGAGTGAAAGTTCCTTCACTTTCACTTTCTTGTTCCCTGGAGGAGGCATTTTGCCGTGATCCAGAATCACCATGGTCGGATCCATCTTGGGAAGCCATGGTATTGCTTCTACTCTTCTTTTTCGGAGGCATTTAGTGAAAACAACAGCTTGATCCCCAGCAGAGTCGCCAATTTATGTAGGGGTCTTTTTGTTCCAGCAGCCTGACGAATGGGTTTAGGCTTGTTAGGATTTTGGCTCGTCAAATATGTCCTAGTTGGTTTAGGGATTTTAGGAAAATTAGAGGTATACCAATTCTTGTCCTAGAGGGATTAGGAAAGAATTTCAGTTTTCTTTATTCAATTCAGGTTTGGATTTCTAGAAGTCTATTAGGATTTGGATAAGTGTAATTTCCTAATCCACTTAGGAATAGGAATCCAATCAGCCTTGGGACATGTAAGCCAACTCTATATCTATAAATAGGGTGTGGCAAGGCTTATTTTAAGGAGATGAAAAACATCCAGAGACAGCCAAGAGTTTTGAGATTAGTTCTAGGGTTGCAAAAGTTTTGTAATCTCTATTATTAATCAAAGGAGCGGTGATTTCTCTACCTAGAGAAATCACAACTGGACGTAGGCAAAAGTTCTGCCGAACCAGTATAATTCTTGTGTGTTTCTAAGTGTTTTAATATTTGCTAGTGTAGTCTATTGCCGTTGGTTACATCAAAGAACAAGATCTAGAAGGCGAGTTATTTAACAGGGCTGCTGTAAGAAGAAAACGAACAGAAATTCCCCAAGTGTCTGAGTTCTGGAACCAAGCTCCTGAAGGAGTTTTTGGAAGATTTGATAAACCTTAGAAGAGCACCCTCAGGTTCTCTTCACCAATTGCCAAATAAGCATGGTAAAATCAATTAATGGCTTAGCTTGTAGGGCCTAAGGGGCTTGATTGCGCCGTCAGCAATCATCGTGTCAAGAATGGCATGAAATTCTTCGTCCTTGCACGGTAATAGAGGGTATGTCTCCCTATCCTTTCGTTTGTGTGAGTTGTAGTCATTGGATGACTTATCGTTTACGGCCAACGTTTGATGTGCTTCCTTCTTCTCGCTCCTCCAACTTCTTTGCCCAGTTGGTTTGACAGACATGCTTGTCTTCCTTACTGCTTCCAGCAGCCAAGAAAATTGACTGATGCCAATATTCTCCAAGTAAACTCTGTAATCTGCCACGATGTTGCTGATGCAAATCTTGACAAGTGCCTCCTCATCTTTTTCGTCATAGCAGTCGAGAGCCAAGTCTCGGAACCTTCGTACAAAGTCCACAGGATCCTCCCCTGGCTGCTAGAGTAAGCTTCCTTACATGTAAAAAAAAAAAAAAAAAAAAAAAAAAAAAAAAAAAAGAGACAACACTATGACAAACTAGGATAGAGAAGCAGAGCCAATACCAATAACTGTCTAGAAGCATTTGAAGCAAAGCCTTTCAGGATTTAAGGCACATCAAATCATAAAGGTTTAATCAAAATCACAAAGATTATAAAATGAAGAATCAAAAGTATTTGTGAGAAATAAAGTCCATCAAATGAGCAAATATCAAAACTCAATCTCTTGTTATATGACTAAACTTGCTTAATAATGAAGAAAAATTCCAACCAAGGACAAGCCAAGAACATAGGATAAACACACATACAAAATGCATACAGAGCTTCACCCTTTATTTTTTTGCTTTTTTGTTTTGTTTTTTTAATGCTAACTTTATTAAGCTTTCTACAAGACCCATGTAACGGGTGTTAAATCAATGTGCTCAAGTCAGCTGACTTTAAGACAATGGGTGTTAAAGCACCCCTAGGATGTACTAACTCGAGTCCTATAGGCTACAAAGAGGAGCAATGTGTACAAGATCAAAGCTTTTTTACGTGAATCTCGACGTGGGTTAGACAAGAGGCCCGGTTACTTGGCAAGGATCAAACATTTATTTTACTTTACTTTTAATTAAAGAGATGTTATAAATTTGTGAGCTCAGTAGCAAAAAGTACAATGCAAATCTAGTATCAAGATAAGGGCAAGGTGAGGGTTCATTCAAAATTATTAAGTAGGATTAGAATGTATGTGCTATACGTAAGACATGAAATTTAATATAAAGAACATTTAATTCACCTTATAAAAAACAAATACAATCGAGAACCATTAACATAAACCCAATACTGACATGCCCAAAGTGATCCAAAGCCAAAAATCCAATATAAGATCAGCAAAAGCTTCCAAACTTCAGTAGGATTGATATCGCTTATCAATCCTTGCATGTGTTGAACAAAATACTTAGAATTTAATCCAATTGATGTTACAAAAATGGAGAAGAGAATAGCTAGAGTCTTTTGGCATGCATTAGAACACAAACAATTATTCAAAAGAACAAATACCTAAACATTTTCTAAGAGTGTCAAATTTAAGATTATCTAAAGGTTTTGCAGAAAGACATTTAAGATCCAAATTTTCTAAAGTAGTTGGTTTACACACAATATTGGTAGAGGCAAACATGCATTGAAAATCCGGAATTGAATGTGTTGCGCCAAAACTTCTGGTAAAAGATATTCACACATTAATTCCCGACCAATGCTAGAGTCTAAGAAATGCCAATACAGTTTTCATACTAACAGTCAACCCCCAAAGCTTTACTACTTTAGACCAGTGGTTTCTTAATTTGACCCAATTGGAGTTCTCCTCTAAAGCTGATAAGAATTGGTGCTTGACCAATATTAGCTTTATATTGTGGTATATTTGGAAAAGCATATGTCATTTTGTTTTTGAAGATGTTAAGCTGGAGCCTACTCTTGTCCCGAGGGTTGCCTCCTCTTCGGTTAGTGAATACTTGGAGGTGCAAAGATATCTGTTGCCCTTGTTTTGATTGCTACTTAGAGTGGTGATACTCTCTCTGTCCATTGGACTCCTCCAAGGAGAGGTTGGGTAAAAGTCAATTCTGATGCTGCATGGAGAAAGGAAACTAATTGTACAGGCCTGGGGTGGTAATTAGAAGCTCGGATGGTCATCTTTGTGGTGGTTCTGTGGAGAGTAAGTTGTGTCAATCGGCTTTAGTGGTTGAGGCAGAAGCGACGTTATGTGGTCTCAACTTGGCGCTGCATTCGAATCTCCGAAAGGTTATTATGGAGATTGATTCCTTGTCCTTAAGGCTGGTATTAATGGTAATCATGGTAACCATGCCTGGACTATTCTCCCCATCCTTGTTGAAATTTGGAGTATGGAAACTATGTTTGATTCAGTTGAGTGGCTTTGGATCCCTCGCGAAAAGAAAATTGCGGCTTCAATTGTTTTAGGAGTGGTGCATAGAGTAACCTGGCTAGATCAGCCACCACCGTCCCTCATGTATGTTTTAACCTCTGATGGGCTCCCTTGTCCTCCTGTTTTGTAATCCTTTTATTTGGCTGGGTTTGTATTCATGCACTAAGTTGTTGTCTTGCTAGTGTTTCATTCCCAGTTTGTTTGTGTCTCTTTTTTCCTTTTGGCTTCCCAGCGTGGGTTTAATGAAATATCTTTTCTCATAAAAAAACAAGAGGGTGAGACTCATAAGAACTAACTTGTGCTCAATTTAATCCAGTCCTAGCCTAGACACTAAATGTGGCCATTCAGATATATACAGGCACGATCTAAAATGATGTGAGCTACACTTTTAAGCTAATGTTCTTTGGTCTCCAAAAATTGGTCACTCCCTATTATTTTATGGCATTTCTCATACTTCAAAATTGCGAAAACACTTTTGTTATTATGCTTGGGAGCTAGATGAAATTTATTTAAACAATTTCTGATTACATGAGTAACTTGTTTTAATGAGTAACTTGGTCCATGTTGTCATCATGCAGAGAGGAGGTATCCGGCCATGTCTAAGCATTGCTAGAAGTGCTAGCCAGCAGTGCTAACTTCATAGGAGCCCCTATTAACTTTCAGTTGCCTTCGGTTCAATTAGTCGGATAAGGAAGAACAAAGGTGTTTTATTTTTTATTTTTTATGGGATGGTCGTCAGTTTTTACCAAGTGTCTTGGTCTAGTGGTCCTTGTAGGACCCGACCATATTCGGTTATGGGAAATGACACCTTGTCCCAGATCGAAAGTGATAAGGGCACTTCCAACGATGCCACCCAGCCGAGCAACAAGAGGCCCAAGCCCCAGTTTGATGTTCCAGCGGGCTTCCACAGCCCGGGCAGCGCATGGGTCCCAGTAAACTTGGCCAACCCAAAGGTAAAAACAGCTTGGGCCGTTGCTTGAGTTTGTTGACGTCAGCAATAAAAAAAAAATTTATTTATTTATTAAATATAAAATCTATCTAAAAAAAAAAAAAAAAAAAAAAAAAAAAAAAAAAAAAAAAAAAACTAAAAATTTTTCAATCAATTTTTTTTATTACTAATACTTAGTCATATTCTTCACTTCCCACACCAAAACTCTATACAAATTCCTCTCACCATATTTCATGTTAATAGTAGTTGCCATGATAATGGATGGAAATACCACAAGCCTTTTGCAAGGGCTACCACTATTCACATGAATAGTAACAGTCATTGTCTTGCCCTTACACTTTGCCATGACAAATGAGTAGAAGTGCTCTAAGATATGATCGGGTCGGGTTGGGTCGAGAATGACCTGGTGATGAGGAAAAGCTAGTTTTTGTGTATTGTGGAGAGCAGTTGAGATTTGGTGGTGGAGGCTTCACCATAATATCGTGGTAGACGTGGTCAGTGCCCTTCTATAATCAAATCCCAACGCAACAAAATGATTCCATAACTAATAAGCTTTAGTTTTTTTTTTCCTCTATTTTTTGGGTAAAGGAAAGACTTTATGTCATAAGCACTGTAATAACTAAAAATGTTGCTCAATATCGATATCCTCTCACAAAAAATTGTGCAAAAAGAGAAAATTTTATGGTTTCAGACGTCTATTTTTGTTCAATGGAACAGCAAATTGATGACCAACTCTTCACTTTGAAAATGCCAGTTCTACATCAGTTGTCAGACTACACTAGTCTTTTCCCACAAAATTAAGAGAACTAATACACGACTTGTGGACTGTGTTATGGACTGCGTATGCGGTAGCACCGCAAAGGACTACATGACTTTTGGACTGGAACCATTTCCCTATATACAACAAATGCTGATTCACCATGACTGTAGACAAACATTTGTATCCACTTATGTGAGAAAAGAATAGGAAATGTCTCTGTAGTTTCACGAACCACCATAACTCAAGGAAATCTAACTCATAAGCTATCAGGCTCACCCGAGCATTTCTTGCTCCAAACAACTGAACCAGCTCTTCGCTCTCCTCTCTTTCTCTTGTTTCTAGGAAAATTCACATCTGAAGCTAAACATGATTCTAGAGTAGATTGCTCCTGAGGAACAGATGCATCTACCAACGGATCAGGTTCAGATGATGGAGTTGGAAAAGGACCTTCTTCTTGTATGCCTTTGTCTGATTGCTCATGAGTCTCTTTAGGTTGGTCGCTTATCAATTCAAAAGTGTGCTTTTCTCCTTCAGCTGCCTCATTAGGAATCAGGACATTATCCACAATCTGTAAATTATAACATTACATCTACAATAAGGTAATCAAATAGCCTTGCCCAGAGATTAGGGCCTAAGGATGGAAAAAACATGACACAAGTCCTGCATTCGATTCTAGTCAAGCAGAGAACAAGAAGTAATTAATGGAATCTATATATTACTACTAAGTGTACTTATAAACAAATCATCACATATATGTAAACAGCACTAAAGATGAATATGAAAAATCAGCAAAGGAAATTGAGCTGATATCCAATAGAGGGAAAAAAAATCACCTTCCAGGTGCTAATCCTGCCTACAAAATCAAAATCAACCTAGCTTTACAAGAGCCAGCATGTAGAATATTGTAATTTAACCGTTTTAATTATTATCTTCTAGAGGCTGGTATTACCATATTTACTAAAGATACTTCCCTAAAAGGCTGGTATTAATTATTATCTTATAGAGGCTGGTATTATATTATAGAGGCTGTTTTAGTTATGACATAATTCGTCCTTGTATTCCATTTTTGTCCCTTTTGTTCCAATCTTGGCAATCATACCCCTGTACTTACCAGATGTTGCAATTCAAGGACAACTTTATGGTTTCGTCTTTCTTTGGTTATCTTGTCCAATTTTGCGCCTGTCTTTTGGGAAGTACAAGGGTATTATTGGTGAACATGACCAAAAAATAAATGGAACAATGAAAGGTGAATGCCCTTGAGTGACATAAAATTAGTCAAGATAATGAAAAAGAGATGGTTAATTAAAGTTATCCTTGAGTTGCAATATCAGATAAGTGCAGTATATTGGAACTACAAGGAAAATAGTGGAAACCCTAGCAAACTACGGGGGGAAACTTTGTTATTTGGCCTTTGAAACATAACTATATGCAAAGAAAAATTTGAATTTTCAGTATTGCCCAAGGAAATTTTGTGAAAAGGCCTCAAGGGAACTGATCACTGGGGATATGGAAAAAGGCAATGCAAATGTAAAAGTATCTCAATCAAGCTTAAGACAGTCATTATGCGGAATTGTGGAATACATGACATCTAGTATGTCAATCCCACCATATTTGTTGCATAGTAGAAAGATGTTTTTCCAACATATTTCATGTAATTATTTGAAATTCAGTGGAACAGTTGTGTAAAGGTCAAAATCGAGATTCTGGAATAAAAGGTTATGTTCTGTAGGGAAGACTTACATCTTCGCTTGAGTCTCCAAACTGTGGCTGATGGAAGGTGACATCAATGGCAGACAGTAGTCCTACAGTGCTTTCAATTATATCAGGAACAACGATTGCCTCCCCGAAACTTGACACTGCACTTTCAGGCATTACCATATCTCCGAGATTGTACTCTGATATATGTTGAGTTGAAGTATATATAGCTCCAGCAGAGATTGTGTCTCCATTGCCAGCAGAAAATGCTGGACTATGGGCAGAGCTTGTTGGAGCGTCACAAGGTACAAGAAGGCTTAAATTTTCGGAGGAAGAAAACCTACAAGCATTCTTGGACATTACCACATCGATTTGATTCTTCATCTTGTGAACCCGAGAGTGCACAGTCTCAATTTTCCAAAGGACATGCTCCAAGGACTTATCACCATCTCGGAACTCAAAGAACGACCAGTCATCACCAGTGCTGAGTTTATCATTGTAATCAGCACTCTGCTCTGTGATTATTACTACTCCCACAACAATAATAAAATGAGTTTTTCAGAGTCAATCTTAAGGGTAAAAAAGATGTTTGGACATATCAATAAATAAAATAAAAAACTAGACGCAAGTATCACAACATAATGAGGAAATAAAATGCTGCAAGCTGGTTTGACTTAGATTGACAAGAATGAAGGGTCCTACAGATATTGTACACATGCAAGCACTCATGCAAATAAAAACATACCCATGCAATCCAGGCAATAAGGAAGAAACAACAAATGGTAAGAATAATACCTGCATTACTAAACTCATCAGCCACAGAAGTACTATCAGGATCGGATCTCTTATTTTCTGCAATACATAACAATGCTAGGTCAAACATCATTGTGGGAGTGGGAATTTAATTTATTAAGGAAAGTAAATGAGCAAAATGACGGCGTATTAGTTTAAAGAAGGAGCTCCAACCAAGATAGGAAAAGACATTATGATGTGACATATATGATGCTATATCAGTTGTCTCTTCAACTCTCTTGCGCTTCCTCCTCTTCATAGCTTTTTTTCTGCGGCATTGACTAGAAAATGGCACTGACTTTGAGCCAAATTCTTCCATAGTAAATTGGTCAAATCCTGAATGTTTTCTTTGATCTGCTACTGCAAGCTCTCTGGAATATTTTAACGCTTGTGATTCAATTTCTTTAATTCTCAATTCCATCCATTTGCAGCGCCACATTATAGGGCGTATAAAGTCTCTCCATTGATTTGTCAATTTCTTCTTCCTGAATTAGAAACAAAGGCAGTTGGAATATATAAGCGAACTCAAATACTATTTCTGAGCACATACAGAAAAAAAGATTTCAAACAAGAATCATAAACTCTGTTTAAATTATATATATATACAAGGAGCTTCAGTTGAGGGATCCCTCAAATAAGCTTATTCGAGGGACACCATTGTAGGGCCCACTCCATATTGTATATCACTAATTCAAACCGTCTATTTTGTAGATACTCTTTCAAAGATCATCATCTCTACAAAAAATCACTTAAATCCGATATCATTTGACCACTTGATTGAATTATTGAAATTTTAGTACTTTCTTGAAGCACCGTGTTCATTGATTTTGTTGGACACAATTGGATATCGAAACAGTTTCCGATTTGTCTAATTTTTTGCAAGGATGATCTATGAATGAAGACCTAAAAAATAGATGGTTTGGATCGTTGAAAAAAAATTCGTAGGGTACCCTAAAGGGTGTCCCTCAAATAAAATTATTTGAAGGATCCCTCAATAGAAGGGGAATATATATATGTATATAATGTTTGTACATTTGGATATTTTCTTCACATTTTTTTGGTAAATTTTTCTTTCCACAGTAGCATACAGAGCATATATCTCACTTGGGAAGAATATTTCTGAAAGAGTGACTTAAAAATCCTTCACCCACTGTTCTTGCATTCTTATGAAATGGTAAATGAAACCTTAGACCAGACATGATCTGAATCATTCTACTTGCCACAAGAAAGACAAAACTATTCATGATAAGGACACCAATAGAAATACACAAATCAATTTTCAGTGTACATAAATTGAAGAGTTTCCTGGTCTAATGTGGTACTCCAGAAAAGTATAAGTATTAGATATATATTCTGATCTGAAACTAACAAATTTTCTACTGTCCAACAGTACCTTGTTGGCTTTCTTTACATTTAAAAACAATCAACCAAAACCAAAAAAAAAAAAAAAAAAAAAAAAAAAAAAAAAAATATTTGAAAATGTTAACTATACATGAGCAAAACTAACAAATAAAAACTAAAAATAAAAATAAAAAGAAAGAATTCACAGCCAAAGGACCTAGTGAATGTTTGACAGTACAAATTCTGCTCAGTATGGCCATCGATACAATAATCATGCATTCTCAAACGAGATTTTTTGTTTGATACTGAGGCAAGTGTTACTTAAAAGGGATGAAATAACCAGTTTTTAATGGTAAAAGTTTCAAGTTTAGATTGTTCAAAAAGTTAACCAAACATACTAAATCAAGATGGTTTTCCATCACACCGACTATTTATATTTACTTTCCAAAAATTATCCAAAATAATTAACCCTATTTATTGCTAAAAGTTGCATGTTTAGATTTGTCTGATTAAATCTAAACTTAACATAAATATCTAGACGACTACAAAATCAAACCACAAAACTACACCCAAGTAATTGGAAACAGAAAATGTCATTTTCTCCTCCAAGAGATTTCTGTTTAAGGCCACTACGCTCTCCCTTTCTTATATATAAAACCCCACCCACACCACCACCCCACCATCCCTCCCCCCCCCCAACAAAAGCATTAGCTTCTAGCTCTGCCATCTTGCACACAAGAACTCTGTCATTATATTGTAATAAAATAATCATCTGCTGTACAAAGCAATGCCCTACAACAATGTGACACCAATCAATTTAATTAGGCATGGAGATAGCGATAACAATCCTACAAAAGTAGAAGAGAAACAATAACTTTAATAATTAGAAATGCCTCCATCTTTATGCCGATGATGTACATCAACATAGATATCAATCCTTAATGAAAGTAGATATGCTTCTGTTTGTTTGAGTGTAAGCACAGTTACTTATGCCCTCTTAACTCTCAGACCAAATTAATACAAATAGATCCTCCTATCCTGCTACTAAAAGAATCGAAACAAAGCAAGTAATGCTGTATATCTGCTACACTTGCACAGAATACAAAGAGTGCCAAAGCTTCACTGAAATAGGTTTCTCATGCATACATAGCAAGGTATAAATAGAAATCACAGCTTAATATAAACTAAATAGGGAACAACCAGGGTATAACATTACAATTTTCATTTACAGGAAAAAAACAATAAACTAAGCCAAAGAACAATGCACGTACCTCATTTGAAAAGGACTACTAAATGCATCAAAATCAGATGCCAAACCATTGTCCGCAAAAAACTGAGACTGCACTTCTCCTTCACTAAATCCGGAAAAATTCTCAGTGTCAGACATAGTGTCAGCAAATGAGCTTGAATATTCAGTTGCATCGGGGTCCTCAGTTTCAGCCTGCAGGCTGCTGTTATGATTATTTCTGCATTCAATTATATCAACGTCCACATCCGAAGTGCACATTGAAACCTTATCTTCTCCATTCATCCTAATGGCTGTGTCCTCACAGTTTTTCATGCACCCTAAACCCTCCGCAGCCGAGTTTGGTAAGGAACTCCTGTTTTCTGTATCAAGTTCTACTTTTGCATTGATAGATGGTCTACAGTCTTGGTCGATCTCCGTGAATGGTTGGGCAGGAGCCATACCAGGAGGTTTCAATTATCAGCTCTGTTTTGTTGATTACTGATGCTTCAATAAGATTCCTTTAATGTTTTCCTGAAACTAGAATAGACAAATTCATGCTAGCAGCCTGCTGGGTTCTTAAAGCAAGAAATAAAAATAAAATTCAAGTTTACCCCCAAAATCAATGTGGAACGTTAGAATATTAAAAATTAAGAATTGGGGTTAGTAAGTTTTGTACAGTGAATAGCTCCAAGTCATGAAACAACAACTTTGATCATTATCATGCCTTACAGATTTTTATTTTATTTTCCTTCTTTGAGAAATTACAAAGTATGAATTAGAAGGAAAAGATAAAATAAACTTTATGGTGGACACAGAAAACATGCAGCTTCTTCTCCAATTGAAGATATAGATATGTGAATACAATTCGGCATGTATGTATCTATATAATAACGCAATGCATACATATATGTGAGTATGCATAGGGCAATTGAGATGCAAAGAGAAGTAGGGAAAGAAAGAAAGAGTACCAGTGAGAGTGAGGAGCTGAGGAGCTGTGGCGGCCGGGGAGAGCAAAAGCAGAGAGTGAAAGAAGAGTTTGTAACGTTATAAAAACCTAAACACAAAAATAAAAACAAATTGGCTCTTCCCCGAGTTAAAGTACGATTCCCGCTTTTGTTAACACGTGTGACCCTCCTTCGCAGGCAGCAAACATAACCTGATGACATCATATGCGGCTCGTTCTCAATTTCTCATTGGCGCTATTTGCTATGAAAGAATAATTTCTTTATATTCCGTTGTTCCCTTTTTTTTTGAGTAATGCTACACTTATCACATTTTTATCATATATTTCTATACTACATGATGTATCATATTCATATTATATGCCACATCAATTAAATCAATGAAGTGTATTTTAATTAAGGCAATTAGAAAAACAAATACTGGAATAAATCATAAAATAAAATAAAATATTAAATAATTTTAATTGATGTGGTTGTCCACCTCAGCTGCCACATAAGATGGTATAAAGATGTGGTATACAAATGTGGTAAGAGTAGCATTATTTTTTTTGGACAAAACCGTTGTTCCATTTGTACACCGTCATTGTGCCAAATTCCCCTTTGTTTTGGCATATTCGTAAGTCTTCTTTTTGTTGCGTTTAATTTTTCAGGAATCTTCTTTTTTTTAATTTTAATAGACCCGTAATTTCTTTTTTAATAGAACCTTAAAGTTTCTAAGGGTCCGTTCGGTAACGTTTTCGGAGAATGTTTTCGGAGAATATTTTCAGAAAATGAAAACGAGAAAACGAATTTGCATTTTCAAGATTCGAGAATGCGTCTGGTACGCTAACTGGAAAACATTTTCCGAGAACGAAAACAGTGAAAACGTGTCCGGTACAAACATATGAAAATGACAAAAACAGTGAATATGCGTTCGGTAACAGTATTGTAATAATTAGTTTCAACATCATAAATCAAATATTTTGTGTAGCACATATCTTATCAGGCTTATTAATAAGCCATAAACATTCTTTAAAATTGTGCAATGGTCAAATTAATTATCATTATCCAATACCTGCATTAGCTAACCCAAAATGGTTTCATGTCCTCCAAGATATAATCTTAAATCATAGATCAAATCTCTCATACTCTCACAAATATCTAAAATATATGCAATATAAAATTTAAAATCATGTTGTCATGAGCACTAAATAAAATCCCGCCACAAATCCGCTGCGATCTTGTCTCTAATGTCACCCATTTGTGCAATATTTCCTGCAGACATATCTATATTCGGTGTTGTTGTATTTTCTGAATCAATGATCATGTCTTCAACTTGAAACTCTTCAAACATCCTATCACGACGAGCTTCTTTTCTTATAAAATTATGTAACACACAACATGCAATAGGAATTCGTCGTTGCCTTCTCGGAGGATAATTAGGCATCAATTTCAAAATTGGAAAGCGAGCTTTCAAAACACCAAAACACCGCTCAATTACATTACGTAATGAGGAATGCCTATAGTTGAACAACTCCATAGGACCCCTTGGTGCTCGTTGAGGTCCTCTATAATCACGCAAATGATATCTCTCACCTCGGTATGGTGCCAAGAATCCAGGCACGTTTGAATATCCAGCATCCACAACATAGTAATACCCTGTAATTTTAATTTATTACTTGCATGACACAAATAATGTACATAATAATTAATTGTAATCTTATGTTTATACCTTCATCTGGAAAAGGAAACTCATTTTCTGGCCTCATCACTGCATCTATGAACACCCTAGAGTCATTTGCAGTCCCTTCCCAACCCGTATAAACAAAAGTGAACATCATGTCAAAAGAGCAAGCGCACATGACATTTTGAGTAATAAGGATCTTCCTACCACGATATGAGGTTTGCTTTTGAGCTGGTGCCCAAGCAGCAACATGAGTTCCATCAATTGCACCAATACACTTCTGCGATAAATTCATATATTTAGAAACTAAATTAAATATCATTTAAAATATATAATTATAGTAATAAAATAAATAAAACAATCAATTTCTTACCTCAAAATAAGGATAATACTTTGGGTTAGTCAAAATTTGAGAAGGTGTTTCCCCTCGACTTTGTGGTCTTATAATGCGTGGTGCTAACGCACATAAAGCTCCCAAAACACGCTTAAATTGTCTATGAATAGTGTCTTTAGATCGTTGGAAACGCTCAGCAGCCACTCGCATGCGAATACTATGAGACACTATAAATAAGAAAATTGCCACTGCCTCTTGAGTACTCACATTTCTATCATTCTGTAGCAAATTTAAACTCTCAAGTGTGTAACACAACCTTTGGAATACATGTTTGTCCATACGAAACGAGTCATAAATCCTATCTGGATGCCCATTCAACAACTCTTGAACATATTCATGCCCAGATAAAACAGAGTTGTGACATGGAGTTCTATCTACATATGATTGCCAATATTCATAAATATGCATACAAATTATCATATGATGCGCCATTTCTTCAAGATCTGAATCACTATCAGAGTGATTGTCTTCATTCCTTGTAGACATGTCTAGTACCTTCAAATATGCATATAAATTAAATTCACAAAAATATGAAAATATGCATACAAATTAAATTCACAAAAATCTGTGAATATGCATACAAATTAAAGTCACAAACATCAAACATAATAACAAGAACAATTCATAAATATCCTCTCAACAACAAACATAAGTAGTAATCCTAAAGACTAGCCAACCAAGCTCTCCTCCTTGCTGCTGGCATTGTAACAAAGATTTTCCTCCATTCAATAAGCACTATCTTTTCTAGCATCTTGTTGAATGTATCGTTATCAACGTCTCCCATTGTCTCAACAATGCCTATGCATTCTTCAATCGAATACATCTCCTTAGAGGTGCTAGATGCCTCAAGACTCTTTTCCTTTTCTCGTTGTAATTTTTGACTCATAACTTCACTGCAAACATCCAAATAAGATTCCATTTTATCCCATTTCTTTGGACGACGCTCAGGTGGAGCAGTAGTTGCACACTTTCTTTTTCCTTTACCACTCACAAGCTGAGGGTTGTCACCATCATCATCCAAGTCAACATCGATGTGAACTCCGGTGTTAAGGAAGTTGTTTTCTAACTCACGTTCATCATCTGAGTTAGGAGGAAGTTGACTAGAGGCATAATGCAATTGCCCGGTTGCAGTAGTAGTGTTGAATATCTCCCCTAAAATTTGATAGTGCTCTAAGCCTTGCGTGCGAAATTGCTTCGCTTTTGGCTTACTCTACAAACCATGAAAATTATATTATATCAAATGTCACAACCAATTCTTATGTATCAGAGTCAGTTAAAAATAATAATACAAAGACTTCTATATGATATTATTATAATACCTTCAAGTAACTTGCCCAAACATCCTCTGAGGCAGTCACTGTGTTTGCAACAGGATCCCACCCAAATCCCGTATGCTCAATCAAATCTGAGAAGTCACGATGTACTATTCGCAGCCTATTAAACTTAGATTTAAGTTGTGGAATAGTACATTTTTGTCCACATTGTGCATACAACTCATCACTTATTTCTGCCCAAACTTTCATTTTAAAAGTTGATGTCTGCAAGTCACCCTTCTTCACATGTTCATGCAATATATGTATGAATATTGTCTCATGTCTTGGAGGCCATGACATTTTTTCTTGACCGTCAACATTCTTGGACGCCATATCCTTTTAAAGAAAGAAAATTATGACAACCTTCAATCATGTAATGCACAACTAGAAACTACCGAATAGCCTTCCTAAACTAGTCCAGATTTATTCTCAAATGCACTAAGCACTGTTTTGTCTAAAACCAGAAAACATATAAAGCCAACAATCAATCTGTCAATTACATCTAACATCAGCTCCTGTTTCAAGAGTTTCATCCTACTATGACAAAGCCAAATGTTTGACAGAAACCAGAGTTATAAAAAGAAATTAAAACCAGAAAATAGATCCAACTCTTTGACTTAACCAAAGGCAGAAAACAGGGAAAACATTCAATCTTAGTCAAGATCGTAGAAAACAGGGAAAAAAAATTCAATCCTAGTTAAGATCAATTACAACAAACAGGGAAAAAATTCAATCATTGACATAAACAAAATTTAAATTAAAGTTAGCATAAAGAAAACCCCAAATCTAAACACAAATAACACCATAGTCTTAATACCCAAATCTAAACATAAATAGCAGAAAAAGAGTAATTTCGTACCAAAATCTTCCAGAAGACTGAGCAGCAAGACCTTCCAAGTGAGTGTGAAACGAAATCTGAGAAGAAAAATTTCAGTTCAGATACACCATACAAAAATACCCAAATCTAAAACGAAATATTTTATATAAATTTTTCTTACCAAGATCTTCCAAGAGAGTGTGTAGGAAGATTGCAAGAGTGGGAAGCAAGGAATTTCTCTGTTTCTCGTAGATGAAGGGCGTGTTTCTGTTTTAGACTTGGACGAAGGGATGAAGACGAAGATCAGGGGATGACGATGAAGACGAAGATCACGGGATGACGACGAAGACGAAGATGAGGGGACGAAGACGAAGATGAAGACGAAGCGGTGAAGAGACGAAGATGAAGGGACGAAGCGTGCTCTGTTTCCCTTGTTTTCTCCGTTTTCCCCAAATAGAATTCTGCGTTCTCTAATTTAGAGTTGAGAACGGAGAGAACGTCATTTTGTCGTTTTCAATTTTTACGCTTTAGGTGTGAATTCATTCTCTCAAAACATTTTCTGTGTTTTTGTCAATAGCCCACCGAACACATTTTTTATCTGTATTTGGGCTCAAAAAACAAAAACGGGCCTCAAATATCCTACCGAACGGACCCTAATATACTAGAATTTGGGCCTGATTGCAATTCGGCCGCCCCAAATCAAAGGTCTAGAGAGTAGATAGGAAATGGGAATCTGAACTAATAAACCAAACCGAACCGAGTTGAAAAAAAATCATATTGACCCAAAAAGTCAACTTAGGCTAAAACCCGAAAATCAGGCTGAATAGAACTGGAATCGCATAGGTTTGGTTTGGTTCAATTCTTCTAGCCACTTTATATAAAAATCGAACCAAATTAGACCTTGTGTATGTTCCGATTTTGATTCCAATTCGAGGGGAAAACCAGATTGTGCCCACCCCAAGAGTAGATTATCATTTCAACTCAAGTTATGTATCAGAGCCCGAAGTTAAAACAGAGGGGCCAAAAACTTTAGAGATACATAAGTAAGCTAGAAAATTAAAGTCAATTAAGAATATAATGAAAATGAATGAATGGAAATTCAAGGCGAAGAGCTCGCCCGGAATCAAATCCTAGGAGGAACATATACCAATAAGGAAGGTTTCTTTCTGACGTCATTGATTATTGGCTAATTAATGGCCAAACTCCTAGGTCGTGATAACTCTATAAATAACAGGGATCAATAAAGATGATGGACTCTCAACACGTTTGACAAACTACTTCTTTGTTTTACCCTTTATTTTCATTCCTTCATTCTAGGTTTATTATCTGGCTTTACTTTCGACTTCTCTTTCCACAACTTTCAGGTTCTTATTATGGCTTCCATAAAACATGAGTGACGTCTAGCATCATATCATGGTTACCCAAACTAAATAAAATGTGTAAGGAAAACTATTCAACTAGGATTACAAAGAAATATGATCATTCTCTTTTCCTAATACTCTTTATTCATATTAATAGGATATGAAATTTGTGATATCCCGTTCCTAAATCAATATTTAATTCTTAAATTATTCAAATAAAAGACAATTTCACTACGAGAGTATTTTAATGGGTTTAAAATTGACTTTTTGTTCGGAAAAGAATTTGGGGATTTGAGTAGCACTGTTGCGTGGAGTGCGTCGATACGAGTTTATAGACACATAGTTGGCTCAAATTAGAGTTTTAACGAAGAAGTTAAGATCAACGGAAGTGTAGTGGCACAACCATAAATATTTCGAAATCAGAGTTTTTAAAAACCAGTCATCTCTCTCTCTCTCTCTCTCTCTCTCTCCCCCCTCTCGACAACGATTCCGATGCCGTCCGACCACCAAACGCGACACCATAACTTGCAAAAAGCTCCTCTCCACCTCCTCTACATGACCGAGTAAATTTCCAGACCCGATTTCGAGCCGTGAAGCGATTGGAACGAGGGGAAAAATCGTGGTTTTTCCATAGCCGTTTTCGGCGATTCCAGCAACGGAATCTGACGAGTGAGGTATGCTTCTTCATCCATTTTTCGTGTTCTAGCTGTTTTGATAGTTGGTTTGGATCAATTTGGAGCCGTGACTGTTCATTAGAAACCTAAATTTTGTCCGACTTTGGTAGTGCTTTCCAACACTTCCAAGCTAAATTGGAGGTCGGCCCAATTATAAAAGTTGCTCCCCTAGTTGCCCTGATGACATAGGTATAGATATTGTTGGGTGATTTGAGGAATTTCTGCTGCCGGAAATTTCTCAAACCACCCAAGTGTTGCCGGCGTGTGTGGCGGCTCGTAGGCTGAGGTTGGGTGGCCCATTTGGTCCTAAAATGGTTCACATGTCATCCCGAGCACGACGGTATGCTTGGATTCAAATTTTATTGTCGTTTGACGATCAAACGGATTTTTACATATTAGGCGATATCTGGGTTCGATATGTTCGAACCGTTGGATCGACTCCATTTCCAAATATGTTAATCTAGGAACCTCTAGGATCGTGTAGGAACTCACGGATCGAGAATCGGAGTCCCATGTACTTCAAATCAATGATTCAAAGATTACATAAAATGATGATCGTCTTATCGTGCGATTGAGAACGATCTGACCGCTTGATCTGGACTAAACTTGCAAGACATGTTTAGTAAATTTTGTTGAACCCATAGGAACCTTCAGATTATTAATTGGAGGTCTTGGACCCCACGGGGGACCGGGTTGACCAATATAAGAATTTAATCATATATTTAATCTCAGGTCTTTTTAGAGCATTCCAACTGTTAGAACTGTTGAAAATGGGCCTAGGAACTTTTTCAAGTTACGCACAGGCACTTTAAGGCCAAGGGTCAGGGTTTGATTAAATATTTGTGGTTGAGCTATTTTATTAATTAAATATTTTAATCACTTAAATAGGTACTCAAGCTCCACCAAACCCGTAGGAAGGACCCTCGAAGGGTTAGGCAAGCTCGGACACACAGTGAGTGGACGTTTGTTTTATCAATGAATTTTATGCAGTAAAAGTTTTAGTAATTGATCATAAATGAATTATTTATGGTTTTAGTTTTCCAAGAATACAGTTTGAATTCAAATGCTTTAATAAAATTGTGTTATGATTAAATGTGAATGGCTTGGAAGTTAGAAAATGAAATGGTAACATGATTTCAAGATTGAGTGAGAAACAATATTATAATTTTCCAGGAAAGGTTTTTAAAACCACCATAAGTACCCAAAATGTTGCCTTCTAATAAACTATTGCCTTCGGATATATTGATGTCCACGAACATCCTAGTTGCCTTCGGTTGAGTCAGTGCGCGTTTGACAGTTGCCCCACGAGTCCTAGGGATATCCAGACTGTGAGGAGGGAGGAATGCAACTCATGTTGACCAAGTGTCTCTTGAGTTATGCGAGGAATTCGAGTTAACTTTGTGTTTCTGAGTTCTGCGAGGAGATGTCGCTTATGTGACACTTGGAATTGACGATATAATGTATGAAATAAATAGAAAAATCATGGAATTGACGGATTTATGAAGGGCACACCTAGGTGGAAAAGAATTATTATTTTTCAATGCTTTCAAATGGTTTTGATGAATTGATTGAATGTATGAACGGTTATATGAATATAAATATGCATGCTTGATTTTTGTACGAATATAAAACATGGATTAAATGAATTTTCAAATGGTTTTAATAGTGGGGTTAGTATGTTGATATTATATTTTGCAAAACTTTCTTTTGTCCACTCACGCTTTTAATGTTTTGCACCCCCAGACAGTAATCGAGTACAGGAGCACCACCACCGGGCATTCATCACTCACCACTCATCCACTCCCATTATGTACGATATCCTACTGTATCCGTACTATTTTTGTAAATTAAATTAATTATTAGGCTCTGATATTGCCCTAGGATTTCTGTAAGGCTTGATGCCACATAGATTTGCTATTGGATTGTGTGTGTTCTAACATTGTGTATGTTGAACGCTTATGGATATAAGAATTGCAATTTGTACAGGTGCAAATTATTGGGAAATGGGTAATTTATTGGGGAGACTCTACAGATTTTTCTACAAAAGTCAAAACTTAAAAGAATTTTTGAGTTTTAGTTTAAAGGTCAATTTGGTCAAGTGTGTCTGGCACCTAACATGTGTTGGATACACACAGGGTTCGACGTAGATTCCAAACTGGAATTTGGGTCCGGTCATGTCAAAATTCATGTCAAACCCATATTATGATGATTCACGACTTATATGATTCATTTGAGCGTGATTAGAAACATCTTCCTTAATCAAGCTTACTACTCTGCCCAAAAAATTTCGAATTCACATATGAGGCCCTGTTTGGTTTGCAGAAAGGATTTTATGGGAAATTATTTCCCATGTCTTTTTCCAAGGGATGGGAAATAGAAGATTGCTTTTCCATGTTTGGTAATGTTAAGAAAGTAACCATGAAATACCACTTTATTTCCTTTTTGATGTTTGGTTTGTGCAGGAATGTAAGACAAAGTTTGCTTAATTTCCCAATTATACCCATATAAAAATATGAACTAAACAAAATAAAAATGAATGCATTTAAAATTGTTAATGGGGATAAAATGGTTATGAAAAAGTGCATTTAATGTTGGCCTTAGTTTTCCATGCAACGGGAAAATGAAACCCAAGGAGGGTGTAGGGTTTCATTTTCCCCCTATTTTCTCATTTGTCAGGCAAACATTTCGCATGTATGGACTTATCAAACATGGGAAATTAGAACCAAACGCATCCTTAGAGTGTTCTTTCTTTACTGACAGTCAAGATCCATGGTTATACACTTACATGCTCTTATGAATCAATCGAGAATCCCAAAGATGTCTTAAGTCAATTCCTGAATCATGTTCGAAGATATGACATAATTTAAGATCAACGATGTATTCATAAGGCAACCATGGAGCTTCATGTCTAAGGATTAATTTTGCGTTATTATAACTTAGAAGTCTTGTTCAACATGTAAGTAAACCTTTCATACCAAATTTCTTGATTGATTACGTTCAATGTACTCACTCTCTAGCAAACACTCATACGCTTATGTTAGTGTCACCTACACGAATGACTTGAGACGAGTCATCCTCCCAATTGAGCAGATACAGTTCGTTTTGGGGTGGTGAAAATTGACCCAACTCGGGCACCTTTCAAAAACACAGGCAGCTAGGCTCTTGGAGTTACTACATGGGAGAATTGACGCTAGGCTGGAGAAAAATAGTTGGGCGGCCTTGAGAAAAGTAGCTGGACGATTTTGAGAAGAATAGAGGTTAACTGGGCTTGAGAAAAATAGGGGCCGGAGCTCAAGGCCCGAACACAGTTGGAAGACAATGGAGCTTGGCGGTCGGGCTACATTCAAATGTGGCTGAGAACTAAGAAGCGGCCAGGTCTGGAAGCTAGAGACATGGCCGGATGCGGCTAGGTCTTTGCGGCTCATGCCTAAGGTTGTTACAATCGAGTTTTGGTGGTTGGAGAAGCAGCCGGACTAAGTTAGAGCATGGCTGGAAGCTCGAAGGTGTCCAGATTGTCGAAACTTGGCAACTAGATTGAAGAAGCTTTGCAAATGGGCTGCTCTCGATTGTGACCAGGCTAGAGACTTGAGTTACGGCTGTGACAATGAAGCGCGACGGCCAGGCTGGAGCAATTTGGGTTGCACTCTACTATAGCCGGATGAAGCTTGAAGGTAAAACCCAACTGGAATTAAGGCTGGATTTGGCGGCCAGTGTCCAAGGTTTTTGGCAGCTAGGATCTTTGGGTTTTTTTGCAGCTGGGGCTTGAGAGATGTGACCTGATCTGCTGGAGTTTTGCGGCCAGATTTGCTGAGGCTTTGCGGCTGGATGGAGCTGGAAACCGAGATGCGGCCGGAATGGTTGCGCCTTGGGGTTTTTCGCAGCTGGAGCTGTGAGATTTTTTGGGCTGAAGCTTCGGAGCTTTGCAAGGATGTAGCTGGGCTAGATGTTCTTTAGGTTGAAACTTCCTTGTCTTATGGGGCTGGATTGAAGGATTTTGGGCAATTGGAACATGAGAGTTTTATTATATATTATATGTAATAAAAATGGGTGGAAATTTAAGAGATATTGGAGGTCCAAGCCCAAGCTACCGATTCAAGCCTAGGATTTCTGGAGGATTATATGCACGTGACAAGGCCTCACAAGGAAAGAAATTAAAGAGGTTGATAATAATTCAGAATGTTTCAAAGCAAGAAAGAATCAAGCATATTAGAATATCTCCATCAATGCAATTCCATGGATTTAGGGGGGCCTCGAAAGGAAAGAAATTTTAATAGAGTTGAAATTTGGCCATTCAATGGCTAGCCCATGGGCCAACGGACGCCCTACATAAACTTCACTAAACGAAGGCAAAAGACAGACATCATCAAACAGACGAACTTATTTTTCGTCTAGCACTTTTCTTTTCTTAGATTTAGGATTTTACTTTTCAAGCACCTAGTGTAGTAAGTTCTTCATTTTCCTAGTGTAAGTTTAAATTCTTGTTCAATTTACATTTTCTTGTCTTTTAAATTCAAGTTTATTTCAATTGCTTTACTTTTCATTGTTATCGCACTTTCATTAAGTTTCATTTAGTTTATCGTTCTTATCGCTTTTATTTCATTCTTGCTTTATATATTGCTTTGATTTATTTTATCGCACTTTACCTCTTGTCTTTACGTTAAAAACCTAAAAATCACAAAAACATCCATACAAAGCCTAACCATCCTCGAGCCCGAGGAAGTGAAAGAACCTAGGCCAAGAAGAGGTTCCTTGCTTGGTCGATCAATCACTTGATCAGAAGTGAGAACCACAACATATTTATCTACTCACATTTCATTCAAGCCCAAATTCGTGGCTTGGTGGTGGCACACCCCGCACTCAAAAGAAGAAGGACCAAAAGTTCCTTCTGTTGGCGGTCCTAGCCAAAAAGAGGAAAACATAATTTAGCACGCCTAGTGGGACCACTAGGTTTTGTATGGACGTAGACACTAAGGGGCATCGTAAAAGAGATCAAGAATTTGAAGACAAGCATGGCTGGTTCACTTCCAATGAATACTTAGTCACAAAATGTTCCAACCGCTCAACAAACAAAATTACCCCGGCCAAGCCACCTTCGTCGACCACGACCACGTGTTAGTTGAAGATGTTATGGAAGTCACTAGGGGACCATTCTTGAGGCCGAATCTGGCCACTGGAACTACTCATTGGGGATCTCATTTTAGTTATATTAGGAGTTTGATTGATTTATTTGGTGCAACTAAGACACTTCTAGACCAAATAGGTCATAATGGACCTACCTCAAAATTTCGTGGGGAAGATGAGAGTATTTATATTGCTATGATGTCATTTGAATTTGCTTTTGCCTTACTTTTGTTGGACAAACCTACGGGATTCAGAGATTTTCTTTGGCAAGCACTTCAAAGAAAATCTCAAGACATTGTAAGTGTTTTGAATCTTGTTTCGGGTACAAAAAAGAAGCTTGACGTGACAGGACCTGACCCAAATGACTAAATTTCCCTTCTATTCAAATTCTCTTATTATTTTAGGCCCGAGTCTCCCTTGTAATTTGATTATTTCCCAAAATTTCCACCTATTAGACAAACATATATTTATATTCCCAACAGCCAGCATGCATATATTTACATTCCAACAGTTAAATTTGAATCCAAGGGCAACACCAGAGCAACTAAACAGATTAATTTATAGGTATAACTCAATTATACAGAAAACCCTACATAGGGAAATGATGAAACAAAAGGTGGAATCTGCCTGGTGGTGGCTCACTGGTGCACGCTTACTGCCTAGGGGCGCAAAACATTGAAAAACGTGTGTGGGAGCAGATATTTTCGTCTCCAATCGCAACGCACCACGTGGAAAAGAAGATTATCTCTTTTAATTAATTAATTTAACCAGTTTATTTGGCCAATTAATTAATTGAGATAAATATCTTAATTAACATGATATTATCTTTATTTAATAAGATAATATCATTAATTAAGATATTATCATAATAAAGAGAAGATAATGTCATTATCTCAGATATTATCTCCATAAAAAGAGATAATATCATTTAATTAAGATATTATCTCCATAAAAGGAGATAATATCATTAAATCAGATATTATCTCAGTCCGACTCGATCCCTACGAATTTGGGTAGAGGATAAACTCAACATATTTTCTACGAAACCCTAGCCCCGAGGCTCCTATAAATAGATGACCTCATTCATCATTCAAGGTACTTCTAAAACCTACTCCTAATACCCGAGAAAAATACCCGTAGCTCTCTCTCCCTCTCCACTCTCCATATTTTCTCCACACGGCTCCGGCCACTACACACGGCTCCGGCCGCCCACTTCACACCATACATAAACTCCGTACCCTTTGCTTAGCTATTGTTTTCCTACAAACACTCGAACTAACTTAGGCATTAGAGGGCCTTTGGCCAACACCCCCTGGGTGTGGTCTACTTACTCCAATATGTTTTACAAGAAACGAGGAAGAGAGAGAAGGAAGATCGAAGGTTGAAGGATCTAGAAGCGAATATTCTCCCGCGAGATTATTTGCACAAACATTTGGTGCTTTCATTGAGAGCACGAGTTATACTCAAAGCGTGCTCAAGGAATCCATTCCTCCTATTTCCCAATCCACCGAAGCCTTCCAAACAACCATGGTTGGAAGCAAGCGCACGAGGAGTAAAACCGCCGCGATGACTAAATCCACGACAGCCCAAAGCCACTCCACCCACGATCCTGCGATCGACATGGTGGCACCACCACCTCTCACCACCGTGCCACCTACCGGACCCGTGACCAAATCTAGCAACCTCCGTGGCACCGCTGCCGAACATGGTGGAACCTCCCATCAAGGTGGGCTCTTTACCACCACCGACTTAGGCTCGGTCTTGGAGCAACTTCAAGCGTTCCCTCCATTGCCTCCACGCTCGACGCACGCTCTCGAGTACACCTCCAATGAAACCCTAGCCCATATGCAATTGGGCTCCACACGCTTCTCTCCTCCCGATCCACAAAGTCAAGCAGATCTTAACATGAGAGTTGACCAGCTAGCTCAGAGAATGGACGACCAAAACGCTCTTATGAGGCAGCTCCTCAATCAAATAAGCGTGGCTCAAAATCTTGGCCTTCGACAACCAGGTGAAGAGAGAAGAATAGACGAACGCAGCGGTGGGCAGCTCAACGGGCACCAAGCAGGTCGAGCAGGAGTGAGCAGATAAGGGGAAGCACAACCACGTGATCAGCTTGCCCACGACTTGACGTCCGTGCCCGCAGGGAAATGTACTTCAAAGGCTAGGCTCCTAGGGAGGTCAAACTGGCAATCGCCGCAATGAGGATCGTGAAGAGAGGCGCTCCGCTGCCCACTCGCAGAGAAATATTCACGAAAGGCTAGGCCCTCAGGGAGGTCAACCAGGTAACCCTCGCAATGAGGATCGTGAAGAGAGGCACTCCACTACCTGCTCTCGGAGAACCAATTCTCACCGTCAAGTTGCAGAAAATCCCTCGCAAACGCATACCACCAACAGGCCTCCTAGGCAGCGCCGATAAGAGGACCGACCCTCGTGGACCAACGAGGAGGTCAATCAGCGTCGCCCGAATCGCAAAAGTCGCCAACGTAATCGACCAGATATGTGCGCGGAAGATGTTGAGAAACTTGTGAATGACCGACTTCCAGACTTGAAGACTGGCGGGAACCTCGAGGATGCACTACGTAAGGAGATGGACCAGGCGATCTCTACTCCTTTCACCCATGAAATCGAGCAGGCTGCTCCCCTGAAGGGATTCTCAACGCCTTCGTTTAAGCATTTCAAGGGAGATTCCGATCCCGAGAGCCACCTAAAACACTTCAAAAGTGTCATGATCCTCCGCAAGGCTGACGACGCACTGATGTGCAAGGCGTTTGCAATGACCTTGCGAGGAGCAGCTCAGGATTGGTTCCACATCCTGCCATTCGGGTCAATCAACAGTTTCAAGGAGCTTGCCTATGTCTTCACTAAAGAATACACTTCTTATCGGACGATCAAGAAGAACCCAGATCATCTGTTCAACCTACACAAGAAGCCCGACGAATCCATTGGAGATTACATCAATATGTTCAAAGCAGAAAAGGCCAACATCGTAGGGTGTGACGACCAAATCGCATCATCTGCCTTCAAGAAAGGTCTTCCAGTAGAACACGAGTTATACCGCGAGCTGACTATCACTCCCAGCCAGACTTTAGCAGAGATCTTCACGACCGCAGAACGCTACGGGCTCTGGGATGACGATCGAATTGCTGCGAAGAAGTCCACTGAGCAGGGAGATCGGCAGACTAAGCGGGCAGGCCAAAGAAGTGATGGATTTAGCAACAAGAATAAGGACAAGCGCAGGTCACACCCACAAGAGGACGCTAAGGCATGAGAGAACTACACCAAGTTCACTATCCCTATACATCAAATTCTAGCCCAAGTGAAAAACAAACCTTGGGTAAGAAGACCGCCACCCTTGAAAGGAGATCCAGACAGGAGGGATACTAGAAAATACTGTGCCTTCTATGGGACGCATGGACAAACTATGAACAACTGCTTCGCTTGGAAAGCACACCTCGAAGAACTCGTGAGGGAAGGTCACTGCACGGAATTCATCGCTAAGCAGGCCATCCAACAGATAGAGGACCGCGACACCGCCAAGGAGCCGCTCCAAAAGGTCATAAGGATTAACACAATCCTAGCCGACTCCGAGTAATCTGGGTTGACCATCAAGGAAAAAAAAAGGAAGATCAAACAAGCCACTATGATCTCCCAAGTCTCAACCGACCTTCTACTAGCAGAAGACGATCCTGTAATCGGCTTCCAAAAGAAAGATCTAATTGGCCTTAATCTATCACACAATGATGCTCTTGTCATCAGCATTCAAATCGCTCAAGCCATGGTCAACCGAATCCATGCAGACGAGGGTAGTGCAGCCAACATCCTACAATTGACAGTTATCCAACAGATGGGCTTAGAGGCAAAGATCAATAAATCAGCCAAGTCGCTGACTGGCTTCAATGGAGCAACAACGGTTACTGTAGGCAAGATAGAGCTCGACGTCTACGCCCCACCTGTAATCAGCTCGTAAACGTTCATGGTCATTGATGAAGTCTCACCCTACAATGGCATTCTAGGCAGACCATGGATCAGCAAGATCAACGCCATCACCTCCGCCACGCATCAGAAGATTCGCTACCCAATTCCTTGGGGTGGGATCAGCCAAATCAACAGCGATCAGGCAATGGCGAGGAAATGCTCAGCTCAAGGGCTGAAGAAATGCAAGCAAACACAATTCCTCCCTGTGAATCAAGCAGATCTAAAGGGAGTAGAACAAGCAGATGAGAAAGCAAATCCCGTTCCTGACGGTCGAGCAGGCCAAAAAGGAAAAGGAATAACTACTCCCCAATAGCAATCAAAGAATCAGGACCAAGTCGAGGGAATCCGTCCGGAGGTCTATCCTGAAGAAGGATGGAAGCCCGAGGAGGACGTTGAGCTGGTACCCCTTGATCCTAACAAGCCAGAGAGAACATCGCGGATCGGCTCGCGCCTAAGCCAAGAGGAAAAGGCAGAGCTTGTAGCCTTCCTCCAGAACAACAAAGACGTATTTGCATGGTCACCATCTGACATGCCTGGCATCGATCCCCATATCATCTGCCATCGCCTACACGTCAACCCAGCCATCAAGCCTGTAGCGCAGAAGAGACGCAACTTCACCCCCGAGCGAGTCGCCATCATTGAAGCCGAGATCGAGAAGCTTCTAGCTGCCGGTTTCATTGAAGAAGTCTCATACGCAGAATGGCTGGCGAACGTTGTTCTAGTAGTAAAGAAAGATAAAGGCATGTGGAGAGTGTGTGTCGACTATACTGACCTCAACAAGGCATGTCCTAAAGATAACTTTCCACTGCTGAGAATTGACCAGCTCGTCGATTCAACTTCCGGCAATCATGATGCATGAAGACGACAAGGCAAAGACCTCTTTCATCATTGAAAGAGGTACCTACTGCTACAAGGTCATGCCCTTTGGGCTGAAGAATGCTGGTGCAACCTACCAAAGGCTGGTGAACAAAATTTTCAAGGAGCAAATCGGCAAGACTATGAAGGTCTACGTAGACGACATGCTAGTCAAAGCTCCCGAACGAGCAGACCACATCAAGGCATTCAGCCTACTCCGAAAGTACAACATGAAGTTGAACCCGAGCAAATGCACATTTGGAGTCTCATCCGACCGATTCCTTGGATACTTAGTCACCCAAAGAGGAATTGAGGCACATCCAAATCAAATCAAGGCTATACTCAACATGAAGTCACCTACCACAACAAAGGAGATATAAAGTCTAACGGGTAGGGCGGCAGCTCTCAACCGACTCCTCTCTAGATCTACCGACAAATGCAGGCCATTTTTCAAAGCCTTGAAGAATGGACACAAAGACAAGTGGGATGACGAGTGTGAAGTAGCTTTTCAAAACTTGAAAACTTACCTCACTTCACCTCTATTGCTCTCAAAGCCGATACCAGGCGAAGACTTGTACATCTACCTAGCGGTGTCCGACTCAGCTGTCAGCTCAGCTCTCATCCGAGAAGAGCTGGGGGCACAACATCCGATATACTACACTTCAAAAGCTCTCCTCGATGCAGAGACTCGCTATCCGAAAATGGAGAAGCTCATTTTTTCGCTTGTGGTTTCTGCGAGAAAGTTAAGGCCCTACTATCAAGCACACCGGATAATTGTCATAACAGAATTTGCTTTGAGATCGATCCTTCACAGCCCCGACGCTTCTCAGCGACTCATGAAATGGGCTATCGAACTCAGTCAATACGACCTCCTTTACCAGCCGAAGACTGCTATAAATGCCCAAGCTTTAGCAGATGATCACGAAAAGCAAGGAAAAAGCGGACGACACCTCCCCCACCGATTCGAACCTACCTAACGACATGTGGCAATTGCATGTAGACGGAGCATCAAATCACAAAGGAGCGGGAGCATGAGTCATCATAATCACCCCAGATGGAACCTTGTTGGAACAAGCTATCACACTAGGCTTTTCTGCTTCAAACAACGAGGCAGAATATAAGGCACTGCTTGCAGGACTACGCCTAGCGAAAGAACTGTCGATCAAGAGACTGGCCATCTACTTAGACTCCCAACTGATCACGAATCAAGCCTTAGGCGAGTACATGGCAAAGCATCCAAGAATGGTTCAGTACCTCGACAAAGTCCAAGGACTTTTGAAAGAATTCCCTACTTTCACCATCCAACAAGTTCCACGGGCAGAGAACACTCATGCAGATGCGTTGGCGAGCCTAGGATCAGCACTGGACACCCAGTTCAGACGCTCCATCCCAGTTGAACACCTTGACCGGCCAAGCATCGAAGAAATAGCGCCGATCGACTCAATGCAGATTGATGAGGACCCCAGCTGGCAAGACCCCATCATCGACTACTTAGTGAATGGAAACCTGCTAACGGATAAGTCCGAAGCTAGGAAGGTCCAATAGAAGGTCGCGAGATACTATATGCACGACAGCAAGCTCATCTGTAGATCATACTCCGGTTCTCATCTCACCTGCATAAAATACCCTCAAACACTTGAAGTCCTCTGCAAAATTCACGATGGCGAGTGTGACAACCACTCGGGGGGCAGGTCACTTGCCCAGAAAACTCTAAACGTAGGCTATTTCTGGCCTACCATGCGCCACGACTCCGCTGAATATGTCAAAAAATGTGATCGTTGCCAACAATACAAGTCGATCCCTAATCTGCCTGCCAAAGTTTACCATCCGCAAAACAGTCCGTGGCCATTCATGCAATGGGCCATCCACTTAGTGGGTCCCTTGCCACCGGCGCCCGCCAAGAAAGAAATGATGATCGTCACCACCGACTACTTTACTAAATGGATCGAGGCCGAAGCTCTATCTTTTACTAAAGAAGCCGATGTGGAGCGATTCATCTGGAGAAATATCATTTGCCGGTTCGGCTGCCCACAATCGTTGGTCACTAACAATGGCTCACAGTTCATTGGCAAGCAGATCACCGCCTTCTTTGCGAAATACAAGATCAAGCAACACCTGTCCACTCCAAGGTATCCACAAGGAAATGAGCAGGCCGAGGCATCCAACAAAGTCATATTAGACTGCATGAAGAAAAGGCTAGAAGGAGCCGAAGGGAAATGGGTGGACGAACTCCCCGGAGTACTATGGGCTTATCGCACCACCAAACGAAGGTCGACTAGAGAAACCCCATTTTCCCTTGCCTATGGAACTGAAGCGATCATTCCTCCTCACGTCACTGTCCCCTCTATAGGCATTGAAGTCGGCAGTATAGAGCAGAACTCCGAGCAGATAAGACTCAACCTTGACTTACTTGAAGGTGAGCGCGAGAAGGCCATTATCCGAGTCGCCTCCTATCAACAGCGGTTAAAGTCCTACTACGACAAAAGAGCTAAGATCAGACAGTTTTAACCTGGCGACCTTGTGCTAAGAAAGGCCTTCATCACTACACAAAGACAAGGGTCTAAGAAAATGAAACACAATTGGGAAGGTCCTTATATGATCAGCCGGTCCGGGGGCAGAGGAAGCTACACGCTAGACACCATGGATGGGAAGTAAATACCACGGCAATGGAATGCCTACCATCTCCAAAAGTATTATTCGTAATGCTTCCTATTGACTGCTAGAAGCTCCAAGTTTTTGTACTCAGTGATTTCCATTTTCGAATAAAGGACTGTAATCTTATGAATATCAATATAAGTTCAGTTTCTCATTCCAAAATGTCTCATCTACCCACAAAACACAACTGTTGTCCATAAGCAGCGTCCTTCGGGAGACGCAAGGCAACGACTAGAAGCGTCATTCGGGAGACGCGGCCCATAAAAAGCATCCTAAGGGAGACGGAGAGTGCACCAGGAATTTCCTAAGGGAGGTATCCAGGTTCCTATCTGTTCCCTAAAGGGGGCAGGATAGTTATATAGTTGCCCATAAGGAGCGTCCTAAGGGAGACACAGGGCGATGACTAAAAGCGTCCGTTTGGAGACGCAGCCCACTAAAAAAGCGTCTTAAGGGAGACGCATGGTGCGCCAGGAATTTCTTAAAAGGAGGTCTCCATGCCTCCTGCGGGAAGTATTCAGGTTCCTATCTGTTTCCTAAGGGAGGCAGGATAGTCATACAGTTGCCCATAAGAAGTGTCCTAAGGGAGACGCAGGGCGACGACTAAAAGCGTCCGTTTGGAGACGCAGCCCACTAAAAAAAGCGTTCTAAGGGAGACGCAGGGTGCACCAGGAATTTCTTAAAAGGAGGTCTCCATGCCTCCTGCGGGAAGTATCCGGGTTCCTATCCGTTTCCTAAGAGAGGCAGGATAGTCACACAGTTGCCCATAAGCAACATCCTTCGGGAGACGCAGGGCGACGACCAAGCCATCCTAAGAGATATGCAGAACACGTCCGGAGCCCCTTAAGGGGAGCCCTGGCACTCGCCAACTTCCTAAGGGGAGCCATCCTAAGAGATATGCAGAACACGTCCGAAGTCCTTCAAGGGGAACCCTGGCACTCATGAATCTCCAAAGGGAGATGTACAATCAAGACACTAGCCGGTTACTTAAGCAGTTCACAAGACAATATGCAAATTGAAGTCGAAAAATAAAGACTGAAATTTTCATAGCAAAGCAACCAACCGGCCAAGTTCAAACAAAACGAAGATGGTCAAACAAGACCAATTATTCTAAACAAAAGCATACTATAAAAGCTGAAAAGAAATAAAGGGGTCTTCGTTTACTCTGAAACAACCAGCAGGAGATCCTTGATCTACAGCCTCTTTAACGTCCCTCTGATCAGCCACGCTTTCAGCAGCTCCACATGCCTGATTTATGACGTCTACCACCACCCATCGGCTGCATCCTCCTCTACTCCATCCTTCTCAGCTACCGCCTCTTTAGCCACCTGCTCTTCAGCTCCTCCGGTGTTCACAGCATTAGCCTCCTCACTTTCCGCAGGGGGCAAGTCTGGATAGAGCATCTCGATGTCTTCATCTCCAATGGCGTAGAAGGGATCATATCCTTTTGTGCAGTCCAGGTAGCCCAACTTGTACGCGTCCATGGCAACTTCGGACTTGGATTCCTCAGCAGACTCATGATAGGCGTGAAGTTGCCAAGGTGGAAGTAAGCATCTTTTCGACTTGCCAAGTCAGCAGCAGAGGAGTTAAGCTCGGAATCCTTCTTAGCAAGGGAACTCTTCAACTCAAATCAGACGTCTTCTTCTCATAACGGGTCTGCTCGGCGGAAAGTTTGCTAACTAACTCGGCATTCTTCTTCTCCAACTCGCTGAGCTGAGCAGAAGAGGGGGCAACAGCAGACGAGTTTCGAATGGTCTCAGCAGCAAAAACTACTCCCTTTTGAAGCAGATGAAGTGTCGCTTCCCTTTGTTTTTCAAGGAAAGACTTGAGAAATCACCAAGATCACCGGCCTGACGGATTTGGTCAACCAGCTCAGCACAAGAGGATGGACTTGATAGAAATTGCGTCTTTAGCAGATCAGACACGCCTGCATCCCATGAAGGGCTAGATTTGTCCACCTTTGGATCAGCCGCTGACGTTGCAGAAGGACCTTTCGTTCGGGCAGATGACTCTCTTGCTTTCCTAGCCTCCACCAACCTCACTTCCAAAGGAATTTGCGATGTCGAATCAACTCCACGCTTGACTGCTTATAACTCAACAGTTGGATCATGACGGTTGGATGAATGAGCAGACCTCCCACATCGACCTCCACTCTTCGACTGGTGTAAACGACCCGAACTTCGGAGAGGAACATCCGCATCTCTTTGTCTTTCAACAGGTGAGCTAGATCGCGCACGGACCACTTCGCGGAGCAGATCATGATCTCCAAGCTCGTTAGCAAGAGGCTTAAGGGGAGCATCGCTTATGTTGCGCATACCGCCAATCTTCTTGCCGTCTGCACCAATAAGATGCTTGACCCTGGCAGATGAGGCGGGAACAACTCATACTTGGATCTTCTCAGCAGAAGGGAGCTTTGGCTTCTTCCTCAATGGAGACACGTTCCTCGCCCGTGAAGAGGTAGCTTGAGTTCTCGGAGACTTGACTTCAGCCTTCCTTTTTTATGGGGGTTCAGCAGAGCATGCCTCTTGTTCAGCAGACAGATCATCAGGGTCCGGACCATTCTGCTTCCATCTTTCGACATCCTCGGCTGGGGGCAGAGCACCGTCCTCCTCCCGATACTCGTTCAACAGCCAACGCCACTCACGGAACTTTTGGGGGATGTTCAAAGCGCGGCGGACCTTAGCCATGTCAGGCTCAAGCTCCAATTTCTTGCTGATGTCATCCGCTACAAGCAGAAGACAGAAGTTAGTCAGCTACGCTTTAAGAAATTCAAACAAAAAGAGAGCATATAATTAAAAAAACTGCAAAAAGACGTACAATTGCAGTAGGTGATGGGAACAAGTGGACCATCACCAACATCGCCTTCCCACCGTCCGCTGACTTCCAACACATCAGCATGCCACACTTGATCTCCTTGGCTAAGACTGTCAAACAGCTTGACATTGCAGGTGCGAAGTTGTGCGTACTCCTTCAAACACCTCACTTCAAAAAAATAGAAGAACTCTCGCACTGTTAGCTCCAACGTGAAGAAACGGCTTAGATTCTCGAAGCACATGATCGCCCGATAAACATTGGGAGTACACTGGCTCGGAGCACACCCCATGGTGCAAAACACCTCCTTGAAGAGCTTCGACAATGGGAATTTGAAGCCCAAGGAGAAGTAAAAGGGACGGAAGGTGATGATTCTCGCATTTGGATCATTCGCATCTACGCAAGGCATGTTGTCAGTCAAAGGCTTCGCCAGCTTGATATGCACATCCTCAGGAATTGCAGAAGCATAAGGAGCCCGCCACCTCTGGAATTGATCTTCATTTGTAATGCGGCGCAAGTTGGCCACAAACCTCTTCTTGTACACCTCGAAACCTCCCCACAAATACAAAGGCACCTGAGAGCTTGAAGCCTTGCTACCGTCTCTGGAAGGCATGGTTAGTCAACGAACAACTACAAGAAGATAAGAAAATTCCACAAGTTAGAATCCCAAACCAAAAAAAAGGGCAGAAAAAAAAAAAAAAAAAAAAAACAAAAAAAGAAAAAAAAAAAAAAATAAAGCAGCAGCCCAGCGCCTAGCTCCGTCCCAGCTTTGTCCCGCAGCCCACCTAGCAGCTCGAGCCCATCTCGCCAGCTTGAATCCGGCCCAGGTCCAAGCCCGACACGCCTCCAGCCCTGTGCGCAAGGCCCGCCTGCCTAGCGCAAGCCCACGTCAAGCAACCCAACGCCTCTCTGCTCCTAGTCCAAAGCCCAGCGCCTCCTTTTTCTCTCTTTGAGCCCAATGTGCGCAAGCCCAGCTCAGATCAGCTCCAGGCCCTAGCGTATGCTGGTCTGGTCAGCTCCTTTCCGTTTTCAATCAAGCCTCTAGCCCTTGTCCATAGGCTTGCGAAAATTCATCAACCATGAGGCTATGACCATAGCTAGGAGTGCACGGCTGGACCACATCCTTGCTGCCAAAAATCAGAAAAAAATATATATGTGCATATATATTTTCACGAGCTCGACTTACTTTGGATGCATGGCAATTCCTCTCTTCAACAAAGCAGTACAAATTCTCTAAGATCTTTCTCAAGCTAGAAGGTAGAGAAGTTAAGTTTGTGATGTGAGAAAGAGTGAAGAAAAGCCCTGTATTTATACAGGTTGGACAACCCAGGTCAAGGAGGGATCGCAAGCTCATTCCTACTGGGAATCCAACTCCAACAACAGTCAAAAGCCTACACCAATTGGAAATCTGATCTGCAAAGGAGTCCAACTCACATAATAAAGCCCAGACACAGTTGGAGAGCCCGAAAAAAAAATATAAAAATAATTTCATCTCCTACATGCCACACAAGCGCCATGCAGAAGCTGGGGGGCATTTGTGGGAGCAGATATTTTCGTTTCCAATCGCAGCGCGCCACGTGGAAAAGAAGATTATCTCTTTTAATTAATTAATTGAACCAGTTTATCTGGCCAATTAATTAATTGGGATAAATATCTTAATTAACATGATATTATCTTTATTTAATAAGATAATATCATTAATTAAGATAATATCCTAATAAAGAGAAGATAATGTCATTATCTCATATATTATCTCCATAAAAAAGATAATATCATTTAATTAAGATATTATCTCCATAAAAGGAGATAATATCATTAAATCAGATATTATCTCAGTCCGACACGATCCCTACGAATTTGGGTAGAGGATAAACTCAGCATATTTTCTACGAAACCCTAGCCCCGAAGCTCCTATAAATAGATGACCTCATTCATCATTCAAGGTACTTCAGAAAACCTACTCCTAATACCCGAGAAAAATACCCGTAGCTCTCTCTCCCTCTCCACTCTCCATATTTTCTCCACACGGCTCCGGCCGCCCGGTTCACACCATACATAAACTCCGTACCCTTTGCTTAGCTATTGTTTTCCTAGAAACACTCGAACTAACTTAGGCATCGGAGGGCCTTTGGCCAACACCCCCCGGGTGTGGTCTACTTACTCCAATCTGTTTTACAGGAAACGAGGAAGAGAGAGAAGGAAGATCGAAGGTTGAAGGATCTAGAAGCGAATATTCTCCCGCGAGATTATTTGCACAAACAACGTGAGTGGACCAAAAATAAAGTTTTGAAACTAACTATGAAAGTACTAACCCCACTGTAAAAACAGTTGTACAAACTTAAACAAGTTCTTTATCTATATTCATACATAAATCATGCATTCAAATCTATATTTAGATATCCGTTCACACACTTATTCAAAACAGCCTTCCGCTGAAGACATTGAAAATGAAATTTGGTCTACCACCAAGGCGTACCCATTTTATTTCCGTCAATTCCTTTATTTCCGTTTAATCCCACAATTAACCGTCAATTCCTCGTGTCACATTTATGACACATCCTCATTGGTCTCGGCAACATAAAGTCGACCTGACCCGCAATCCTCGTAAGATTCAGGGGACATTTAGCCAGCCTGATCCAAATTCCTCGCTCCGCATAGTCTGGGTACCCTTAGGACTCGTGGGGCAACTGTCAAGCATGCTGACGTAACTGAAGGCAACCAATTTATCTGAAGGCAACTGAAATATCGAAGGCAACATTTATTATATTTAGGTACCTAGGGTGGTTTAAGAAAATATATATTTTTGGAAGGTCTGGAATAAATAAAACGAATTCTTTTTATCTTAAAACTCTGTTGCCATCCCATTTGATAGTTCTCTGAAATTCTTATTTTTCATATTCTTTAAACGTTCTCAACTCGGTAGCATATAAATAAAACATTTACCCTCAGCAAAATATGCTAGAAAACTCGAGCTATTTAATACTTATTCAAGATCAAATAATAAAATTGAATTGCATAAATTCATTTATGAAAACAAAAGTCCACTTATTGCTGGTCTGAGCTAGCTGGACCTTTCGAAGGCCCCTCCTGCGGGTCTGCTTGTGCTCGACTGCCTGATTAAACCATTATAATATTTTATTAACAAAAATTCTTAATATAATCTTTCATTAAAAACCCTGACCCTCGACTCCCAGAAGTGCATGCATTAACTTTAATGTCATTCCTAGGCCCAAATAAACTTTTCTCATGTTTAGAATGGTCTAGAAAAGATACGGGACTCAAAAAGCGATAAAGTCCCAAAAAGTCAAATAGGGACCCCGTGGGGTCCACGACCTCCAAATTCCAATCCAAGAGTTCCTAAAGGTTCCAATATGCTTGGACACATGTCTTGAGAGTTCAGTCTCAATCAGCCGGTCGAATTGCTCACGACCGCATAATCGGGCAGTTATTGTAAACCTAAACCTAGGGTTAGCATTTTCGGAGTATTCGGGTCTACGATTCACAATTTGTCAAATCCTACACGATCCTAAAAATACAAGGTACTACATACGGGAATTTGGGTTCGATCCAACGGTACAAGCATATCAAACCCGAAAATCTCACAATAGGCGAAATCTGTTTGAGACTACCTCTGCTACAGTACCCAAGTGCCGCCACACGCGCTGGCAGCGCGTAGGTGTCCAAAGCGATACTGTTTGCTAGAAAACTTCAAAATCAAGGCCACCTTCTCGGCTATAGATACTACTCAACGAGTGGAGTATTTTATCCAACTACGGAGAGGTTCAATTTGGATGGCAACACGCCTGAATTTCACTTTAAAATCCGGCCAGAACCTAGGTTCGAAATCAAATCCCAAAACGCTACAATCATGCAATTCCTACGCAACAGACAGTTAGGGCTTGCAGAGAGGGTTCAAAAACATACGTGATTCGATAAAGGAGCTCGTCGAAAATGTCGTGGCATCGTCGGGAACAACTGGAGAAAAAAATCAATCAAAATCATGGCCGGAATTTGAGGTTTCCAGCAAGGATTTTGGGTGCAACATGACAAGGACGTCGAGCCAGTTCGAATGTGATCGGTCTCACGTCCTACCGTGGCCTGATGGCCATGAGTCGAAGAGAGAGAGGGACGGTATCAGGGAGAGAGAGAGAGGAGAGAGAGAGAGAGAGGAGAGAGAGAGAGAGAGAGAGATGTCGCACGCGCGGAGAGAGAAAAGGGGTTTTTCTAATTTTTCTAAAACCAACTTCAAGTTATTTATGGTTATGCCACTGAGACATGTTTTATTGCCATTTCTTTGTTACAACTCCAATTCGAGCCCACTACAAGTCTACAGACTCGTCTCGACGTGCTCTACGCAACGGAATTGAAATTCCCAAATTCCTTCCCAAGCAAAAAGTCAACTTTAACCCTAATAAAATATTCTAAGGGCAAAATAGTCTTTTTTCATAATAAATTAATAATTAAAAATTGATTTAGGATTGGGTTGTTACATGACGAGTTGAGAATTAACAGTTGGAATGATTTTATCAAGAGTGTGCTACTATTTTGTGAACAACATGACATTAATGTACCTGATATGAGTGCCAGTCATAAAATGGGTAGAGGTCGTTTTGGTCAACAAAAGGATTCTCTTACATTTGAGCATTATTATCATATTGATGTATTTAATGATGTAATAGATTTTCAGTTAGTAGAATTAGATACTAGATTCCCAGAGCAAACAATTGAACTTTTTTATCTTAGCTCAACATATTAGTAGTATGTCCTTCAAGCAAACTAATTATTTGATAATTAATGTTAATCACATCTTTTGCAATGACTAATTATATTCATGGGCAATAGCAGTTATTTTCAAAATCATGATTATTCTATATTAAGAAATGTAACTAGGAATATGAAAGTGGACATGAGAACTATGTAGTAATGAGATTGCATACTTTGAGACTTATCATGGTCCCTAGTCAAATCCTAAAAAGTTTTTGGTTGTAGGAATATCAATTGGGTATTGATCTTCCGCCAAGACCAGTGCATACAATATCTTCTAAAAATGTAGGGAATGAGGAGGTCCTCAAGTCATTGAGTGTAGTGACACCAAGATATGTGTGTAGATGCTTGTAGGAGAACGAGTACATTGAATGCGATTAAATACATAAGTTGTAGAATGAAAGTCTTTACTCACATGTCAAACTAGAACTCATAGATTGCAATGGTGCAAACTAAATCCTTAGACCTAAGACATCATAGATGTCTTGTGACTATGTTGTTTGTCTTTGAGGACACTATACAATTGTGTTGTAGAAGACATAATAATCAAAAGGTGTTTATAAGGACTCCCAATAAAATCATGAAGGCAAATAAATGTACAACAAGGAATTTCTATTCTCAGTAAAGAGAAAGAATACTCCAGGGATATGATTGATCAAATCTTTGCGCAAAGTAGCGGATAATATCTAAAAGAAGAGGTCTCCAAATCTTACCAGGATAATCATATTCATCAGATTAGGATATTTGATATTAGATTCTATTATCTAATAATGTGAATAAAGAGTATTGTAAAAGAGAATGATTCAATTGCACGATCATTCCAATTTGAATAGGTTCTTTACTACATCATATTTAGCATAACCATGACATGCTGATAAGCGTCAACCATGGTTTGTGGAAGTCTTGAAAGGTTCAAACTTTGTTAAGATTCATCAATAGGAAGAATTAGATGGTGAGATTTAATTCGCAAGTCAACTCAGAGAAGTTGAGTCAACCCACTACCTTGCTAAAAAGAACCTACAGATCGCACACCTAGAAATGTGATTAGAGGAACAAATGAAAAGAAAAGAAGCTTGAAGTCAAAAATCAATGGTCAACGGTCAAAGGTCAAAGTCAACAATCAAATCAAAGTCAACATGTTTGACTGAAGCAATTGACCGAGTCAAATCCCTGTTGTCAAATGTCCATACATACTCTTTCTATTTATAGTTCAATTCGAATTAAGACATATGGTATTTACTCTTAATTCCAACCAAGATACACAAATATGAATGGTAGCTAGGGATTCTGATTAGTATATAGGCATGTAGGCATAATGAATAAGAACATGAATCATGAATCAAACTTGAAACTTGAAATTTATAAACCCAGAATATTATGTTAGGTTTCATCGAAGCCCTAGCTATGGATTTAGCTACTCATAATGGGAAGAAAACTTAAACAGAAATGAGAAAATATAATGAATGTAATAAGAGTATAAAAACCCTTTTATGAAGTTCTTGTGGTGTCCAATGCTTCTCCAAGAGCTTCTCCAAGTCTAATGCTTCTCCAAGAGCTTCCCATGTCTAGAAGGATGTATGGAGGTTAAGGAGGTGATTTTGGATGAGCTTGGGTGAGTGGTGATGGCTGAGAAAGAGGAAATTTGTAGGGAAATAGAAGGAAGGCTTAAAGGGACTGTTTTGGTGATTTGGGGCTGTTTAGAGCTTTGGTTTAATTGCTGGAGTGTTTGGGGTTGTTGGAGTGTTTTGAGGGTGATTTCTGAATGTGTTTGGGAAATGATGAGAGTGTGGAGGATGAAGTGAAGGATGGATGAATTATGGGAGTGTGAATCCCAGGATGTGGTTTGTGGGATTGTGAATCCCAGGATGTGTGTCCTTCAATGTGTATGGGAAAATGATGGGAGTGTGGAGGATGGATGGAGTGATTTGTGGGAGTGTGAATCCCAGGATGTGTTTCCTTCAATGTGGTTGGGAAAATGATGGGAGTCTGGAGGATGGATGGAGTGATTTGTGGAAGTATGAATTCGAGGATGTATGTTTTTGGTATAGAATGAAATTGGTATTTATAGGGAGAAGGAAGTGAGAAATCTGAATTGAGTATGGTTAGAGAATCTCCAGGAGCATCGCTACTCCTTTATCCCTAGCTATTTTACCGAAAAAGAAGGGAAAACTGCCCTCCAGCAAAGTCGTTACCGTTCTAGCCATTTTGGAGATTGCTATTTTGGCTCGCTACATGTAGAGAGGAGGAGAGAGAAATTCAAGGCTTGCCATCTCGTTCAAACCCAAAACTTCAAAGTCTCCATCGTTTCTCTGTTTCTCTATATTCTCTCTGTCAAAGTCTCCATCACCATCTCTATTCTCTCTATCAAAGTCTCCATAGCAGTCTTTATTTTCTCTGTTTCTCCACCCTATTTGAACTCTGAGGTGGTGTTTCCAGGTGAGATTTGAAAATTCCCTTTTAATTACTTGAAATTTGTATATGGGTTTATGAGGTTGAAATTTGTATATGGGTTTGTATATGGTTCTAGGTTTGAAATTTGATTTGGGTTTTTGCTTGGAAGGGTTTGAGTTTGTGCTTCAAATTAATAAGTTCCTCTGCAATTTCTATAATTTGGGTTTGTATATGATACAATTTCTACAAGGGTTTAGGGGAAAGTATTTAAAAGTACTTGAATTGTTGGATAAAATTTTACTGCAATTTCTGCAAATTGTGTCATCATATGTCTTGAATTGTTGGACAACAGCCGTTTCAATGTTTAAATATGGGGTGATTAATTTTATATGGCCTACCTTTTTGTAGATCTGCAAATTGTGCTTCTGTAAATAAAAAATTTAATGTGCTTCTCTGCAAATTGTTAGATGGATTCTGTAGACAATACATATTATGCCAACATCCTCAATGGACAGGTAGACCTTACTGATCCATTATCAACATTTGGTTGCACGCCTACAAACCAAAATGAAGGTGACAATGACATGCCTCAAGTGATTGTTCCAGCTATACCAACCACAAAGAGCTAAGAATTTTGTTGTTGAAGAAGATATGCTTCTTGTGTCTGCATGGCTCAATGTTAGCTTAGATCCAGTGCATGGCAACGAACAAAGGAGTTCTACTTATTAGAATAGAATTTAGGAGTACTGGATGGCAGAGAAGAAGTTTACTTCTGAACGCAGTTCCAATTCTCTTCTACATCGTTGGTCAGGAATTCAACCCTCAGTGAATAAATTCTATGGATACATGGCCAAGATTGAAGGGAGGTCTCAAAGTGGTGTCAATGAAAAAGATAGGGTAATCTTCTTGCCAAAATTACTAATTTACAATCACATTTAGTCATTATGTATATTTAGTCTTGCGATACTCGCCCATGCCATTTACTTAGAAGTTCTAACCCTTGCTTGTTTTAATTGTTAAATATTTTCTCTTGCTAAAAAGTCTTACATTAGCCAATATATATGTTGAGACTATTCCTAACAACTAAAATGAGTTATTAAAAATAGCAACTTTAATTCTCGCAAGTGCACGAACCGTTCATAGTATAGCTTATGTAAATACGAGGTCGATCCCACAGAGAATGGTAATTTGGTTCCAAGTTATGTTACATAGAATGCTGGAAAAACATAAAACAAAGAAACTGACTAACTAACTAAAGGCAAAGTCGAATTCAACAATGCCTCTTGCTAATTACTCAAGGTTTAGGACAGAATCCTAGCACCACACACGCACTCGAAATACGGGGTTTTGTTGTTGAAATGATGACATGAAAGTGGAAAGAAAGTGCTTGAAAGTAACCGCTAGCAGCAATCAACAAGTTGTGAAACAATGATTGAGAGGTATTTGAGCCTTGGAATCTACAACTAGTCTTCCTATCCAAGTTATGAATTCATAGAAATTGACTCAACAAGTTTTTGGCGCCGTTGTCGGGGAACCGGTAACTATGGTGCTATAGTTTGATTACTTTGAGTGTTTTCATTTTTGTTTGTTTTATTCGTTTCTTTTCGTTCGTTTTTCAGTATTCAGTTTTTCTATTTAGTCGTTATCTCCATTGAAGGCATTGAATTGGGTTCCTTTGTGTGTGCATGTATGTCTGAATCTGACCTGGAGCAAAGTTCACCTGAGCCATTTTCACCAAGAACCGTTGTTGTACGTGCTAGTTTGAGGAGGAATTATAGTTCTTCAAGCACTGAATCTAAGAGTTACTAATCTGAAGGTTCAAGCAAGATGACGGAAATTCCGAACAACAACAATAATGATGAAGGAGGTGATGCGCTTGTTGTCCAACCTCAAAAACCCCTACGTGAGTTTTCCATTCCCAAAGTCACCGATCAACCTTCGTGCATCGTCTATCCTCAACTCACAATTGACAGGTTTGAGCTTAAAAGTGGTATGATTCATCTTCTTCCAACTTATTATGGTAATACCATTGAGGATCCTTGCATGCATATTGAGAAATTCTTTGAAATATGTGCTACGATCAAAATTCAAAGCCTTGATGATGAGCATATTAAGATGAGGCTATTCCCATTCAGTTTAGAAGATAAAGCTAAGTCTTGGTTATACTGTTTGCCTAATGCTTCAATTCATACTTGGGATGGGCTTTCTAATAAGTTTTTGCAGAAATTCTTTCCGGCTTAAAAGACTAACAAGATTAGAAAGGAAATCCTTAGTTTCACACAAAAGGAAGGATAAGCTTTTCATGAATGTTGGGAGAGGTATAAGGAGATGGTAAGTTCTTACCCACACCACAACATAGAGAGTTGGATGCAAATGCAATCTTTCTATGAAGGTTTGCTTGATTCCCAAAGGATGATGGTAGATGCAACAAGTGGAGAAGGATTGATGAACAAAACAGCTCCTACCAAAGTTGTGGTCTCTGAGGTAAGTACTAATAATGAGATTGCTGCAAAACTTAATGTTATGTGTTCTTTGCTTCAACAGGCAGTGACTGGCCTTTTGGGAAATAAGGTGGAAGTTCAAGACCAATCTTTTGCGGAACACATGCTAGAATAAGCAAATTCCCTTTAAGCAAGGAATCCTAATAATGATCCTTACTCAAACACATACAATCCGGGGTGGAGAAATCATCCTAATTTCAGGTGGAGCAATAATTCAAATGTGCAACAATCTCAAAGACCTCCCCCAGGATTCCAAACACAACAAAGACAATTCCAGTAAGCTCCCCAACAAGTGCAAGAGCAAAGGGGTGATCAAATGGGAGAATTGCAAGACATGTTCAAGAAGTTCATGGGGCAACAAATGCAAACCAATCAGAATCTTCAAAATGCAGTGAACAAAATAGAAGTTCAAGTTGGGCAGATTGCATCCTCCATGAGCAATAGAGCATCCGGAACTTTCCTAAGCCAAACGGAGGTGAATCCAAGGCATCAAGAGCATGCTAAAGCAGTACACATCTTGAGAAGTGGTAAACAAGTTGATAATAAGGTTGGAGATGCCAATGAAGAGCAAGAAGATGGAGAAAACGTGGAGATCATTCAGCCACCACATGGGCAGCCCACAGCTTCCAACAAACAGTCCCTCAATCCTTCTGGAAAGAGCACAAACCCTAAGGTATCATCTAATGCTAATCAAGTTTCAATTTCAACCAACGTTTTTAGGCCTATTGCACCCTTTCCCAGCAAGTTATCAAAGTCAAAGAAAGATAAAGGCTTGGATGAGATCATGGAAACATTCAAGAAGGTGCAAATCAACATCCCATTGCTCAATGTCATTGCTCAGATTCCAAAGTATGCAAATTTTTTGAAGGATCTATGCACTAACAAGAGGAGATTCAAAGAGCATGAACAAGTTGCATTGAGTGAAGAGGTAAGTGCAGTGTTACAAAGAAAGCTACCTCCAAAGCTAAAGGATCCAGGTTCGTTTTCTATACCTTGTATAGTTAGTGATTTTAAGTTTCAAAAAGCTTTGCTTGATCTTGGTGCTTCTATAAATCTTATGTCATATCATGTTTATGAGAAACTTAACCTTGGTGAGTTGCAAGCCACATATGTGAGCATTCAACTGGCAGATATAACTATTAGGTACCTTAAGGGCATTCTAGAAGATGTTTTGGTGAAAGTGGAAGAGTTAATTTAGCCAGCAGATTTCTTGGTGTTGGAAATGGAAGAAGCACCAATTCATGACAATCAATCACCACTTATTCTAGGTCGGCCATTCATGGCAACTATCGGTGCTATTATTGATGTGAAAAAGGGTACATTAACCATGAATGTGTTTGATGAGACAATTGCATTCAAAGTGTTTGAAGCCTCCAAGTTTCCAAGTGATAAGCATGAAGTTTTCCATCTTGATGCAATTGATACTATGGTGAAAGAAGCACTGCCAATGAGTTATTTGGAGCCCATTGAAGCATGCATCACACAAAGCATAAGGAAAGAAGAAGTGGACAGCTTAGAGGCTATGATCTCTCCTTTACTTCTTGAGCTTGTTTGCAGCATGGATAGCTATATAGAAGTTGGAAAGAGGTATGCAAACCAATTTGAATCATTACCCCCACCTACTAATAAGGTTTTACCTTTTATTGTGCAGGCACTAGAGTTAGAATTAAAGCAATTGCCAAAACACCTTAAATATGCTTATTTAGGTGAAAATGAGACTCTACCTATTATCATTGCCTCACACCTCAGACTAAATGATGAAAAGAAGCTTTTAAGAGTTCTAAAAAAGCACAAAATTGCAATTGGGTGGAGCATTGCAAATATCAAAGGCATAAGCCCAACACTGTGCATGCACAAGATATTATTGGAAGACAATGCAATGCCTAAGAGGGATGCCCAAAGATGTCTCAATCCGAACATGAAGGAGGTGGTAAGGAAAGAGGTAATGAAGCTTTTAGATGTTGGTATTATTTACCCTATTTCTGATAGTAAATGGGTGAGCCCAGTGCAAGTTGTCCCCAAGAAGTCAGGTATCACAGTGGTGAAGAATGAAGCAAACGAGCTTGTACCTACACGGATGACCACGGGCTGGAGAGTTTGCATTGATTATAGGAAGCTCAACACAGCGACAAGCAAGGATCACTTTCCTCTCCCATTCATTAATCAAATGCTTGAGAGATTAGCTGGCCATAGCCACTATTGCTTCCTTGATGGATATTCAGGCTATAACCAAATCGCCATAGCCCAGAGGATCAAGAGAAGATGACCTTCACATGTCCCTTTGGCACTTTCGCTTATAGGAGGATGCCTTTTGGTCTCTGTAACGCCCCAGCCACTTTTCAAAGATGCATGATGAGCATTTTCTCCAATATGGTAGAAAGGTTCATTAAGGTATTCATGGATGACTTCTTTGTCTTTGGTGATTCTTTTGATCAATGCTTGCATAACTTATCCAAGGTGTTGGCTAGATGTGAATAGACTAACCTTGTGCTTAATTGGGAAAAATGTCATTTTATGGTTAACCATGGCATAGTTCTTGGTCATGTCATCTCTAGTAAAGGAATCGAGGTATATAAAGCTAAGATTGATTTGATTGCCTCTATGCCCTCACCTACATTGTCAAAGAAGTATGTTCTTTTCTTGGCCATGCAGGTTTCTATATGTGTTTCATTAAGGATTTTTCTAAGATTGCAAGGCCTTTGCAATATCCTTGCCAAGGACATGGATTTTGTGTTTGATCAAGACTGTGAGAATGCTTTCAATGCTTTGAAGAAGATGCTCACAACTGCCCCAATCATTATACCACCGGATTGGAGCTTGCCTTTTAAATTGATGTGTGACGCCTCAGATTATGCTGTTGGAGTTGTTTTGGGATAGCGAGTTGATAAGAAGCCACATGCCATCTACTATGCTAGTAGAACCCTCAACGATGCCCAACTCAATTATTCCACCATAGAGAAGGAGTTGTTAGCTGTCATATTTGCTTTAGAGAAGTTCAAATCATATTTGATTACTAACAAGGTTATTGTTTACACTGATCATGCAGCATTGAAATACTTGTAAGCCAAGAAGGATGCCAAGCCACGACTCATTATATGGATTCTCTTGTTGCAAGAGTTTGACTTGGAGATAAAAGATAAGAAAGGAAGTGAGAAGGTTGTGGCTGATCACTTGAGTAGATTGGTGCATGTATCTAATGAAGAGGAGGATTCATTGCCATTGCGTGAAAGCTTCCCTGATGAGCAACTCTTCTCCATTTGTGCTTTGAATTCTCTCAATCCATTGCCTTGGTTTGCTGATATTGCTAACTATTTGTGCACTAATGAACTCCTTACAGGGTTATCTATGTTCCAACGTGACAAGCTTAGGAAGTAAGCAAGATACTACTTTTGGGATGATCCATATCTATTCAAGCATTGCCTAGACCAAGTAATTCGAAGGTGTATGCCTGAAGGTGATTTTAAGAGCATTCTAGAGTTTTGTCACTCCCATACATGCGGAGGCCATTTTGGAGCAAAGAAGACTGCCAACAAAGTGCTACAATCAGGTTTCTTTTGGCTTACCCTTTTTAAGGATGCTTATTTTTTTGTGCTTCATGTGATGGATGCCAACGGATGGGTAATTTACATGCTAGAAATCAAATGCCTCTCACCAATATCTTAATCATTGGTATATTTGATGTTTGGGGAATTGATTTCATGGGTCTTTTTCCTACCTCTTATGGATTTGAATATATATTAGTTGCTGTCAATTATGTTTCCAAATGGGTGGAAGCCATTGCCACTAGAACTAATGATGCTAAGGTGGTGATCAGTTTTCTCAAAGGAAATATTTTAACAAGGTTTGGCACACCTAGAGCAATCATTAGTGATGGTGGCTCCCACTTTGTTAACCAAGCTTTTGTAGCACTCTTGAAGAAATATGAAATCACGCATAAGGTGGCAACACCCAATCATCCTCAAACTAGTGGGCAGGTTGAGATAAGCAATAAGGAGATTAAGCACATACTTGAAAAGACAGTGAACACCACAAGGAAGGATTGGTCCATGCGTTTGGATGATGCACTGTGGGCTGATAGGACTGCTTATAAGACCCTTATATGTATGTCTCTGTATAAACTTGTTTTCGATAAACCTTGTCACGTACCAGTGGAGCTTGAGCACAGGGCTTATTGGGCAATCAAGGCCTTCAATTTTGATATGAAAGTTGCTGGTGAGAAGAGGAAGTTTCAACTGAATGAGCTGGAGGAGTTGTGACATGAAGCGTATGAGAACGCTAAGCTTTACAAGGAGAAAACAAACAATATCATGACAAGAAAATTCTTAGAAAGACGTTTGAGAAAGGGCAGAAGGTTCTCCTATTCAATTCACGCCTTAAGTTCTTCCTAGGTAAGCTTCGTTCTAGGTGGATTGGCCATTTTGTTATTACTAATGTGTTTGATCATGGCGCAGTGGAGATTCAAAATATTAGGATGGCAGCACCTTCAAGGTGAACAGACATCGGTTGAAACCTTACTTTGATGCCAACTTTGATGCCAATATTGAGTCTCAAGCACTCAAGAAGCCTCCACCACTCTCTTGAAGGTCACCAGAGTTTGGACGTCCAGTTGAAAACATAAAACTTAGCGCTTCTTGGGAGGCAACCCAAGGTGACGAGGAGAAGATAGAACATGCAAGGAAGCCTGCTTGTGTCTTAATCGCTTCAAAGGGGAGTTTTTCTGAACTCTAACCTTTGGTTATGTCTTTCCCTTATCTTCTTTCCTTTCATTTATGAGGCATTGCTTTTTCTTACACTCTAAACATTGAGGACAATGTTTCATTTAAGTTTGGGGGGAAGGATTTAGTTATGTTGTTTCAAATTGTCAAATTTTAAAATTTTTGAGTGTGTCTAATGTCTAAAAACGTAGCATTTTGTGAGTTGCTTTGTCATCCTTTCAAACACCTATGATAAGACTTGGATTTAATTCTAATTTGGTTTTGCAGAAATCAATCATCTTGTTTAAGGTCTTTGTGTGATTCTGATTAACTCTGTGTTGCATGCCATCCTTGCACTTATTGAGCACTTTGCCGAGTTAGTCCAATTTCTTGCTACTTGGAGACATTATGCAATTCTACTTATCTTATGATCTTGGTCATCAAGGACATCATTGTCGAAGATAGTACTACGTAGAAAACAACTTGCTATAGAACGACGTGCCATAAATAATATTAAGAAGTAATAAGAAAATAGAGTTTAGATAAAATAATGAGAAATGAAGAAGGAATTTGTTTTTGTAGATGAAGGGAAATGAGTGAAGATATGTTCTTATTTATAGATAGACAATATGTCATTTTGGAAAGAAAAAAAAACTAGCCGTTGGAAAAGTAGGTATGCTAAATGTTTAAATTTTAAGAAATAATAAAATATTCGAGGTTAGCTAAATAGATAGACTACTAGAGGAACCACCTTTTAAGTGGTTAGCTATTTTAGCTTTCTAGCTACTTTAGCTAGAATTTGGATAAAATTTGGAAAGTCTCCTGGAGATGCTTTTATCACCTACAACACCCACTTCACTAACCTTACCTAACACCCAATGCAATAGAAAATTAGTTTCTTTTCTTATTTGGCTGTTGCAATTCACCAACAAATCCCACCAGAAACCATACCTTATGCATAGCTCATCATGACCAAGAAACAAACAGCTCATCCTTAGGTTAGCATGACTAGCAACTTCATGGGCTCATGAATTGGGCTTCCCTTAAGCAACTGATGACTTTGAGTAGTCCATCTTGAAGTTCAGAATGTCATCTCCAACCACATGTCATTTGGGCCAATCCAAGGTCGGAGGAAGGAGTTAAGGCTTAAACAAATTTCCAACTCAGTTTGCACCTTTTTCTATCCAAAGCCACCATTGATACCTAAAGCTCAATGAACTGAATGATAAACACAAAAGAGATTAAAAGCACAAGTTTAAAGTTTAACTCAAAAACATAATGAAATCATAAGTGAGAAGGGTACAAAATGATATAAAATTATGAACTGATCATGACATTTGGAATTGGGTTGGGCTTTAAATTTGATTTAAAGGTAAAAGGGAAAATACCCAAATACCTATTGAGCCCAAGAATAAGTTTTGTATGACAACACATATTCAAGAGACCCAATAGAAGCTCAATGACCACATGGCCGGCCATAGGAGAAGGATTTTCGCTCTCCTTGCTTGTGTGCTTTTCTATTTAAGCCACACTTTGACTCATATGAAGTGAGGGTTTTGGCCTCCAAACTTTAGGGGTGTTTGATGTTGTGGGCGAGATTTTCTCCCTCTATGTCTTAATAAAAATCAGACCAACAAGAGGAAGTCTAGCATCTAAGTCTTCTTAGGACTCTCCATCTCTTATCCATTTTGGTGTGCTGAACTAGAGGGCTTCTACTTTTGAGTCTTTTCCAACAATGTGATCATTATTAGCCATGCAAGAAAAAGACTACAAGGATAAATGCTTAACCTTTCATCTTTTTTTCTTTGGTGCACAAAGAGACTAGATCCAAAGATACTTGGGGCAAATAAAATAGGATTAGCTCAACTAGATTAAACAAAATGATTCTGCCATTATAAATTATTGTGTTGTATGTGTTGTGGCTACAATTAATTTTAGAAGCCATTCTATGCATGTTTCCTTCACAACATTAGATCCTCATAATTCTTTGAAGCGAAATAACATTGGTGATATATGCATTCTTGCTGGGAAGTTTTATCCTCAACATTTTACCACCACTGAGTCGCACACTTTAAATCAACATTTGAGATTTTATAGGTTTGATATGGATGGATCGCCTTCCAGCCTTCAAGAATCTTGATTCTATTCCTGAATTCCTTAAGTGTTTACTTGAAATAGGGTTTGCAAACACGTACCATTTGATTGATAGATTGATTCGTTTGGTGTTAACTCTTCTGGTTTCTATAGCAACAACAAAACACGCATTTTCATCTGTGAGACTTATCGAAAATCGACTTCGGAACAAGATAGAGGATGAGTTTCTTGGTGATTGTATGATGCTTCACATTGAAAAAGAATTAGCTGATAATATCGATAATGAATCAATAATTAGTGATTTTAACTCTTTGAAGTCTCAAAGAGTGCAACTTAAATAGTTTAATTATGTATTGCATTGCTTGTTTATTTATTGTTGATTTTTTTTTACTAGTTTTTGTCGTATGTACTAGATGCATTTTGAGGGGTAAGGCTCATTACGTTCCCCCACTGATTAGGTGTATCATTTTTTGTTATAAATAAAATTCACTCGTATCGTCAAGTTTTTTTTATTTTTTATTTTTAAAGTAAATTTAGCCAAGTCCATTTTGAAATTCTGAATCCGTCCATGTATCCAATAACTTCTTTAGATAACTTTCCTCATCTCATAGGCCATGAATTTGTTGATTAAGTAAATAATTGTTAGGCCATGAATTTGTTGATTAAGTAAATAATTGTTAGGCCATGAATTTGTTGATTAAGTAAATAATTGTTAATGAGACAATTACTTGAACCAACATATTTGCCTATTTAAATTAGCTATAAAATAATAGATGAAATATCCATGAAGTTGTATCAATCCCACCTGCAACCTACAACCTTACTCGCGATCATAGTCTAAAAGATCAATAATATCAACGAAATATCGAGGATATTATCGTTTTTCCGGGTCAAGGATATTTTAGAACGTATCAATATTATCGATAATATTGGAAAATATTGATGTCGATAATTTCTCTCACACTTCAGCAATATTTGGCCAAAGTATCACTATAATATCAATAATATCGAGATGATGAAGACAATAAAAAATTTGAAGAGTTATTTACACTAACATCCTCTAAGGTTTCTTGTGTTTACACAAAACCCCCCTTAGGTCTCAAAATTACACTAACACCCCCCGTGAGGTTTCAGTTTGTTTTTACAAAACACATTTTCATTGATTGTTTGTCCAAAAATTGATGGGGTTTAGGGTTCAACTTTCAGTTATTTAAATTAGCTATAAAACCTCAAGGAGTTTTATGAAAAAGCCTCAGGAGGTGTTAGCATAAATAACTCAAATTTGAACCTTATAAGAACTCTATGTGGTACTAAGTCATTCATGTATCTTACCATGCAATGTATAAAGTGTAAAATATTGTAGTAAATCATTATAAATAAATGATTATGGTGTGTTCAATCTTCTTTCATTAATTACTACATATTGTATACACTCCGCAGTGTTTGTCAGCTCGCTATATAATTAACTTAAATCAGTTAAACTCATCATGCAATGCATTTCCTTTCCATTTTTTGTGATAAAATAATAGATAATTAACTAAATAAACATCTTCCAAAGTTTCAAGAAAAATTTCCAAGTTTTTCTTATAATTTTGGTGGTTATAATTCAATTTTTATCGATATCGATGATATCTCGATATTTTCATTTAAATTTTTGTGTTTTTGGACTACCGATATTTCCAAAACTATCGATATTTTAGACTTTGCTCGCAATCCAACTACTCTCTCTCTCTCTCTCTCTCTCTCTCTCTCTCTTTCTCTCTCTCTCTCTCTCCTTTCACCTTCCTACAACAAATGTTTTTTTTTAAATTTAACAAAAACATTTGACTTAAATTCAAGTAAGGACCAAATAGATTTAAATAAAAACTAACAAGGTCATCTTAAAGACTAACAAGGTCACATAAAAAACCTTAATGATCAAAAGTTATAATTTCGTTAATCTCAATGACTATTTGTAAAAATAACTCAAACTCAATAATAGCTAAATTTTGACACACAACAAAATGAGGACCAAACACCCCTACAATAATACAATCAAAACTTAGCAAAAATTCAACAACCAAAAAAGATGGAGAATGCGTACAACTGCCTCACCATTGACCAGACACAAGAGTAGTTAGAAAAACAAAATGAAATGCAATATTATATGATCACATTTCTGTCTTCTCCAATATCATCATATACAGGATTCAGCATGGAGATTTGGAGACTGCTTAAACCCTTCTAGGCGTCATGTACAAATCTTAACACACTTTACCAAACTACCCTCACCACCCTTCAAAATTTCATCACTAGAATAATGAAAATGAAACACACCGTAATCACCGCGGCCGTCTACAAGGGTAATTTAGTCATGAAAAGTGACAACGATGAAAACAAATTGCGACTTTTAAATTACACACATAGAACGCCCAACGGTCCAACTTTGACTCTCTCGCTCTAGAAAAATTCTCTCTGGAATGCTGGTCATCTACAAATTCAACTCCTCGCGCATGGGTTTCCCAAACCCTGAAAACCCTAAACACCTGTTACTTGAAACCCTAGGAAGACCGTTTAATTTCTGATTCAATTGCACTCGAATTTCCAAAGCCCCAACGCCATCATGGAAACGGTGTCGTTGGATTTCCTGGTCCCGTCCTTATGGGAGATCGAGGTCACAGTGGCTGCCTCCGTCTTCGTGATCTTCGCTTACTGGTTCTTCACGTACAGGGGCGGCGGAGGTGGATATGCTGATCGCCCAGTTGTGGACAATTCTGGTGCTTTCGGAGATGCCATTGATGAAAAAGACAAGGTCAATTCGCTAATTTGATTTTCTCTTCACTTTGATTTTGATTCGAACCTTCTGTGTATGTTTATAGTTTTTTCTTTTGGGTGGTTAGTGTGCTTGTGAATTGTGTAGCTTCATATTCGGGAACTAGATGATAAAGTCAAGGTCAACTCAGTAAATGAACTTTGTTTTCTTTTGTTTTTGGTTATAAAGCTGAATACTTACTTCAATACTTCCAGTACCGTTCTTCATTGAAGGCCAGCGCAAGCTTTCTTGTTGTTTTGTTTGTTCTTTTTTGTGTGAGTTTTATTGGGTTTTGATGATAAAGACAAGGTCAATTCAGTCCTTATAAATTTTTATGCATGAATTTTTTCCCCCCTATTTGCGATAGTTATGTTGATATATTTTGAAAGATTGTTGGGTTTGGTTCTTTCTTGCTTATAGTTATGCCAATTGGTTCTATGGTAGTAGACCAGTTCTTAATTTTTGTTTCTTTGGTTTTCTATCCAAAGTTCTTTTGGCATATAGAAACAATGAAGTTTGGTTAACTTTGTTTTAATATTTTTAATGCGTATTTGTCGGGGTTTGTAGTAATTAATGCCATCTTTGTGATAAAACGAGGTCAGCTCAAGTCATTTCTAATCTTTCCTTTCTATTGAGTGCGTGTGTTTCAGAAATTAATATTTTAGGAATCCTAAAACCAATTCTTTGGTGGGGTTAAATGAAACCAAGGGGATCTAGCATTCGTATTCCAGTGTTTGAAATGCGGGGAATAGAACTGTGTTTATAAAGATACCGTGGAGCTTGAAGAAGCGAGCCCCTTTCAGACAGCAGTGTTTTACTTTTTGGAAAAACAAATAGAAGGGCATAATTGTTATTTTGATTTGTGGTTAACACCAGGGATGGGTTTAGGAAATTAACCCCTTCCCTTGGGAACGAATAACCTTCATTTTTGGGTCTTGGATACCTATGTAAAAAGTCAAATGCAGAGTAATTTGCACTTACAAAACATGCAATGCATTATTAGAAAATGCTAAAGCTCATTCTTAGCCTTAATTCCATGCAACAGACACAACCTCATTATCAGATTTTTCTTCTTGTTGAAAATTGGACTTTTGTTGTTGCTGTTGTTTAGCATTATTATCTAATTTCTGCATTTATGGTCATCATTGTCCTTTATGCAAAGTCAGTAAGAGTCTGGGAAATACGTTATTGAGTTTGTGGATAAATCATGAATAAAGAATTTAGTAATTCCCTTCATGTAATAACTGCTTTTGGAGTCCTTTTTTTAATAGTTACCCTATTTTCCAAAAAAAACAAAAACAAAACAGAAGGAAGTATACCATATGAAGTAGCATTAACCCCACGAGAGTAGCTCCTGAAATTGTGGGTGATAAGAATTGTTCTTGACAAACAACAAAATTGGAAACCAAGTCTGCCTTCCTACACTTGTTGCGGTTACCGTTAGATTCTGTGTGGTGCGGAAGGGCTAATTATTAATCTAAAGAAATCTTTTGAGGGTTACTTATGTTGATCATGAGGTGGTGAGCGACCAAAATGATATTTTGTCTATCTTAGTTGTATACATGCTGTCTTCACACATTGTTGTTGGGCATCCATTAATGTCACAAGATGCATTTTCATATGCAGCCTGTTTCCTTGAATAATTTTTAACTTGTTTGACATGCAGTTCTGCACTTATTTTGTAGATCCAGTTGAAAGGAGATCTTCAAAACAGTTCTGCATATTTAATCAAGGTATAGCATGATTGATTCTGGGGTTGTTGCTTGAATAGATGAAGACCTGGATATAATAATTGGTGTTGTTTCCTTATTTATGTATTTTGTTGTTTGCATAGTGTTATTTATTTATTTATTATGAGATGGTGCACTACTTTCCAGCTGGAACTGTTGGCTGCTAAGAATCTCATTGGTGCAAACTTAAATGGCACGTCGGATCCCTATGCTATGATCACTTGTGGAACAGAAAAGCGATTCAGGTTACCTGATTCTGGTTCTCTTTGTTTGCCACTTTTTACTTAATTATGGTTAAAAATAGACAGATAAATGTATGCGTGTGTATATTTCTTACATTTCATGAGAAGGTTTTATGTACTTTTGTTGCTGGTGCAGTTCAATGGTCCCTGGTTCAAGAAATCCTATGTGGGGAGAGGAGTTTAATTTTTCTGTTGATGAGCTTCCCGTCAAGGTACCTATCATGTTTTGTAATTTTTATGGGTTGGCACTGTCAAGAATGTAATTGTGAAGTTCAATAATGACAAATTTTTTCATTTATAAATAAATTTTTTTTTTTTTTTTTTTTTTTTTTTTTTTTTTTTATTCAATCTGAAGTTTAAAGTTCTACATCTTGTGTTGGTTTCCTTTTTTCTTTTATTTATTATTATTTTATTGATAAACTAGGTTCAACCTTACATATAATATATCTTTATTTTTCCAATAAGCTATACAGGAAACCTGGTTGTAATTTGTAAGGCTTACCTGGTGCTGTAATTTCTGTGCTCCCTGCATTTCTGTTAAAACTAATGAACCAATGTTTCTTGTCCTTTTGAGGCCTTATACTTTAATTGTATGTTGTGTCTGCAGATTAATGACCTAGTTGATTTCTTTATGTAGGATTGGTTTATTAAACTGATGTATTTTCCGTTTGCCCTTGCAGATTAATGTGACAATATATGACTGGGATATAATATGGAAAAGCACTGTTCTTGGTTCAGTGACTGTTCCAGTTGAAAGTGAGGGTCAAACAGGTGCAGTATGGTATACGTTGGATAGCCCATCGGGGCAGGTAGTTCTTTCTGGATATTACCTTTTCGGGTTTAGTTTTATCATTTGTATGGTTATTTTTATTATCACTATCCTTGTACAAATCATTTAGAATCTTGTTTTGTCTTGTCAGGTGTGTCTCCATATAAAAACAATAAAACTGCCTGTGAATTCTTCAAGGTAGTCATTTTAGTTTATATCTTTCTAACATTTTCTTTCAGTTTATCTTTGGAGCCATTATCCTATGCCTGCAAAGTCATAAGTTGAAGTCATCACTAGCGATTGCTTGTGCGGATTTCATAATCATATATTTTTCCTTTTTATATCAATCCTAGAAATAAATATATTTTACTGTGTTTCATTTCATGTGATTTTCTGTTTGTATGATATGATGATATTAAATATTTGATTCCAACCATGCTTTCACAGTTTTACTTTTCCCTTCGCTGCACATGATGGGACTACAGCCTTCTTACACTAAGACAGCTCTCTTTCTTTTTCTTTCTCCTTTTTTCTATGCATGCCTGGTTGAGTAACTAGAGTAGGCACTGGATTAAAATATATATATATATATATTTTTTAATGTTATGGTTGCTATTGTTAATATATTTTCTTTAATTGGTATTATTAATGGGAGCTGATTTTCCCACTCCTTTTTGTTTTTTAATACTTTTGTAATTACCATTAAAAGGAAGTGCAAAAGGACAAAAGGGGAGTGGGAAAGTCAAAAGGGAGTGTAAGTATACAAAAGGGGAGTGGGAAAGTCAAAAGGGAGTGTAAGTATACAAAAAGGGAGTGGGAAAATCAGCACCCTTATTAATATGTCCTAATTACCATGCAATTAGTGGTAGGGCTATGAATGGCTATGCTGGAGCTAATCCTCGAAGAAGGGTACCTTCAGATAAACAAGGGCCTACAGTGGTTCATCAAAAGCCAGGCCCTCTCCAAACTATATTTAATCTACTTCCAGATGAGGTGAGTTGAGTGGAACGTGTTTGGCAATGTTTATATGTGAAACTCTTAATGACATATATCTATTGTACATGTACATGATTGTTCGTTTAATTATGTCTAGTTGTTCCAGTCGTGGGATTAATATAGTATCTGTTTCAGGTTGTGGAACATAGTTATTCATGTGCACTTGAGAGGTCATTCTTGTATCATGGCCGTATGTATGTCTCTGCATGGCACATTTGCTTCCACTCTAATGTGTTTTCTAAGCAAATGAAGGTTAGGCTATCGTTCTTTTCTATCAAGTTTAAGCCAATATCATAAGACATTGTTTCTTTTTGAATCATGAGAGACTAATTTAAAAAGTTGACAGTGCACCTAATTGATTATAGTTTTCACTGTTTTTTCATACTCATATCTTCATATTACCGTCCTTGTCTTTAACATTCGTTAGCAGTTCAACATATTGGATGATAAAGTAATTTTGGCTCTTAACAACCATCTTACATGAGTGCTTTAGATTTCACAGGATCTTATTAGTCTTTAAATTTGGGAAAATATAATAAGGAATTAGGATTAGGGTCTGCAACAGTTTGGTCCGTATCTTTTAAAAATTGGGAAAATAACCTTAAATTTACGAATTGTTATGCCATTAGTCAGTTCGTCTGTCAAACAATCAGGTTAGCCCCTATTTTTGTGGGGCAATCGGTGGCATGATTTTTTGGTTATATGGATGTTAGATTGATGCCACCACGTCCACGTGAGCCATTTTTCATCCCTTTCTGTGTCTAGAAGGTTAAGTTTTCTTTGAGAAACGTTTGTATTTGTTGTCCAATGGCGTCCCTTAATCCATGTTTCGTTGATCTGGCGTTCAAATAAGCAAAAAAATGGGTTGAGTGCTAAGTCAAAAAACAAAGGTTGGCTTGACGGTTTGACTGTAAAAGGGCCTAGTGTATGGATTTGTAGGGTTATTGTCAATTTTAAAAGACAAAGACCAAACTGTCACTTACCCCAAACCACAGGGGTGCAAAGCATCATTGACGCCTTTAAATTCATCATGGATATTGTTTTACTTATCTCAACAAGTGCTTTCCAACTTCAAAATTTATGGAAAGTTAGACGTTTAGAAAGAAAGTTATGATATTTTAAAGTTGCTTAAAAAAATCAGTGGCGTATTTATAATTTTTGTTTTTAATCAACTTTGAGATATCATAACTTTAATATTACTATTTGATTTTTTTGTAATAGACTATGTTCTTTGGATTTCTTGACTCACAATCTCAAAAAGGTATACCCCTTAAAAAAATAAGTGGCATATTGTTTTATTGCATGTCATTGGATTGATTTATTGTTTTTTTTTTTGGGGTAGATGTATGATGGTAACCTTTAAATGTCAATTAGAATGATTTCTAATATCATGTGCTTTTTTTCACTTTTGACAGGTCATCATACCATTTGGTGATATTGATGAGGTGCTCTCTCTCTCTCTCTCTCTCTATGTATATATATATATATATTCTCTCTCTAAGGTGACAGGGTTGATTAATTTGCAATGCTTAATCCTGTGGAATTTATTGTTAAAGATTCGGAGGAGTCAGCATGCATTCATTAATCCTGCTATAACAATTATACTTCGCATGGGTGCTGGTGGGCATGGTGTGCCTCCTTTGGGAAGTCCAGACGGTCAGTGATTAGTTCTAAACACTTTTAATAGGGACTTTTTTACTTTTAGTCTTTTGTTTTAGACGCGCTTCAAAATGCGAGCTTACGTTTAACAGCATTTTCAAACTTTGTTTCTGTTATTCTATAGACTATGTGCTGTATCTGTACTGTTTTACCAAAATAGAATATAGAGCTCTTCACAAACAAACAACTAGGATATAGAGCTTCAGTGCTGCATTTCATTTTATTTCTTCTTGTTTGTCTTTTTTCCGGATCCGTAAGGTTGAATTGGGCCGGCTAGCTAGGTTGAGTTTAGAGCCTGTTGGAGCTCAGCCTGCTTTGTATAGCTCTATTTCCAACTTAATCGGGGTATCGTATCAGATCTTTTAGCACAAGCTCACAATGTCTTTTATGATTGTCTACGGGCTGAGTTTGGGCCAACCTAAGGTGGAAAGGTTATCTTAAGTTTCTCCAACAATTTGTTCTCTTTTGACTCTTAACTTATTAGCCATAGGCACTGGACCACTAAAACCTACAGGTACTATGTGGATGACTGGACCACTTTCCTCTTCTATTCCTGGTAGATTACTTGTCCACTTTGCTGTACAGCACCTCTTATGAAATAAAATTTAATCTTATCGTTTAACAAAAAAACAAAAACAACTTGTGCTAATTACCAGTTGCACAACGGTGGGTGGGTTTGTTACAGAGCTGAATATTGCCAAGCATTTTGTGCTGGTGGCGTAGGACCACTCACAGAGGTATTTAGGGGCTTTGGGAAGGCTACTTGATACATAGAGAGCAAAAGAGGAAGATAACCTAAAAGGCCATAATATAGACATAGTAATCGAACAAAACCAACGTCCAAAACTATAGCCAATTAACAAATGTGGATAGTACAAAAATTCCCTTTTCGAGTTATAGTGAATATAGCTTGTAAAATATAAACCTGACCACTTACTAATATAGATAAACCAAAATAAGGACTCAATAGTGACTGAAGTGGACTGTGAACAAGATGATCTTTAAGCTAGCTTTTCTTTTTTCTTTTTTTCTTTTTTTTTAAAAAAACAAACTTTTAGTTGTCTGCATAAGTTGGTATATGGGTGTTGCATTAATTTGAATTACTCAAGAGCGTTTTTTATTTCTCATACAAATGCTAAATTTTGTTTCGTTCTGTATGTCCTGACAGTAAGTTGGCTTTTCGATGGTGAATTCTTCTTGTTATTTTTCTTGTGCAATTTAATTCTAGTGCTGGTTTCAAGTTTTAATGTTGTTTTTTGAATCTATTGTGGATTCTTTTTTATTCTGACCATTGATCATTTAAAATGAGCTTAGGTAATGTACTTGTTCAGAGTGCAGATGTGAGGACAGTGCTTTGATTTATTGGTCGTGTCTAAATTGTGAATTTTGTTTCTAATCTTCAATATTTCTCATTTCAGCTTCTTATAAATATTGAATCATATCATAAGATCCTCTCATTAGACCTGAGTTGCATGAAGCTTCTGTAAAAGTGCCTCTTCCAGTTTCTTGATTGCATGTAAGCTTTGCAGTGTATTCTAATTTTGTTCATCTTTTTTCTTGTTTTTCCCCATTGGTGTCTGTCCTGGATAAATTTTTGTTCGTATGACTTGCATTCAATCAGACTTATTCACAAGTGTTTTGTTTGGTGTCTCTAGTACAAAGTAAATGCACATTCTATGGTTGATGTCTTATGTACGGGCTTTTATATTGACTTGTTTTTCCATATGAGTTATGGTTTTTATGTTCTTTGGTCTTTCGTTTGATTTTTTTTTACTGTAGGAGCATATTTTTTTAGAGTACTCTTGGGAAAAATCATTAAGATGAATTTACCTGTTAATGTGTGTTTTGTGGTTTTATCACCTTGCCATTTTCAGGTAGAGTGAGATATAAATTTGCATCATTTTGGAACAGGAATCATGCATTTAGAGGTCTCCATCGCACAGAAAAGAATTACCATGCAATGTTAGAAGCTGAAAAGAAGGTTGATACCGTGTATTTCATGAGTTTTGTTGTCTACCTGGGTTAATGTTTTTGAAGTTCACTCATGTTTTATCTACTAGAGAGAGCTGGAGCCTGATCTAGCTTTGACAGAACTGAAATTTATAACTCAATCATGTTAATTTTATATCACCAATGTTTATAATCACGAAAATGTTGATGTAGTAAAAAACAAGGATCTTTCTTGTGTTCTTTTGATATAGTGTGACAGAAGCATCCTGATGGGGCCACTGAAATTCTGTGGCTTTAGCATTCACAAGATCAATTTCAGTGGCTTCAGCATTTACAATATCAAGTTTGCACATGCATTCTTTCAACATGTGTATTTAAATCTTAGAAGCAATTCCACTCTCATTGAATCCTGGCTTTGCCTGTTTTACATCTGTTATTGATTTTTAAAATGTGAATCTTCCCCTTTTATTTATCCATCATGTGTTAACTTGCCGATCCTTTCCCCCTACATTGCTTGAAATGGTTGGATGGAGAATTTTTTATTTTTATTTTCTTATGGTATGTTCTCTCCGGTATATAGGAAAAGGCAGCGTCAGCACTGCGTGCACATAGCAGTTCTGTAAAAGGAAGTCAGGCTAAGATTCCTGAAGATATCATCCCCAAAACTGGAAAGCTTCCAGCTTTTATCAAGGAAGAAGTGATAACTAGTATATATAATGTATGCATCATTTTAGTTTGTTTTCCAGCATGATATTAGGTATGTTAATCAGTTATTAATAAACAGCGTTTCTTCCAGGATGTTTTCCCATGCACAGCTGAGAAGTTTTTCAATTTGTTGTTGAGTGATGGTTCAAATTATTTATATGAGTATCGTTCAGCACGAAAAGACACTAATCTTGTTGTAAGTACCTTTTATTTTTAAATAGTGCATGTTGCTTACATATCGGAATTTTGAGAATTTATGTGCGGGGTCTTGGTTGCAAGCTTTTCTTTCCTAATCCCAATATTTGATTCTGATGGTTTCCTGGCCGGTAATCATGTAGGATAATTAGTGGTACTGTGTAGTTCTTTCAACCTAGGAGAATAGTGTTTTTTGACTTCTAATCTGAAATTTCATTTATTGATAAAATCTTAATAAAATACTGTTGTTCTATTTCCTAAGAATCTAAGATGGGCATCTTGTCTGTCCTGTGTACTTTTCACTATTAAAATCTTGTTTATCGAAATAAAATAAAATTTCTTGTTTGTTATATTTTCAGATTGGACAGTGGCATCCCGCAGATGAATATGATGGTCAACTCAGAGAAATAACATTCAGGTGCATTTGTAACAGTCCCATGTGCCCTCCAGATACAGCCATGACAGAATGGCAGCATGCCGTTTTATCACCAGACAAGAAAACACTGGTGCAGTGACTTTTGCCTGCCCCTTCTTTCATTGTGTTGTTCCTAGTGTTAGATTTTCGAAATGTAGTAATATTCTTTGTAGTAACATTATTTGTTCTTTCATTAGTTATTTTAAATTTCCTTTTATTTTTTTGTTCTGAAGTTCTTTGCTGTTTTTTATGTTTTATATTTCTTATTTCGTCAGATTTTGCTCATTGTTTTAGGTGTTTGAGACAGTGCAGCAGGCTCATGATGTTCCATTCGGGTCTTACTTCGAGGTATGCAATACATTGATGATGCTTTTTTGCTTTTCGGATGTAATATTTTCTGGATCCTGATTTGAGATTGGTATGTGTTAGAATTTGTGATATGATTTTATCCTTCTTATTTGACAAAATAACGATGTCTTCAGTTTATTGTTAAACCAAGGAAGAAAAACCTAATGAGTTACATTACTAGCACTCAGAAGTGACTTAGATGATAATTTTGTGAACTTCCTTTATTTTCTGTCCATGTTCCTTAGTTAAGGTAAGGTGCTCAACCTATATTCTAGAAACCTGCACTTTCTTTTTTTTTAGAAGAAAGGAAATTTTATTGCAGAGAACAATAAAAACAAGAGTGGTCAAGGAGACCACTACAAACAGCACAGAAAAAGAAGAAACAACATAAATCCCTAAGGCACCAACACAGTAAGCCTGAAAGGAGACTTAGCCTGGAAAGCAAAAGAAGTGCAGCTTTCCAATCATGCCAAATAAACCTAAAACAAAGATCTCTAAATTCTGACGAAGTCGAAGCCCAAAGTGAAGACCATACTCTGACTTTCTCCCGTAACTCCTCACCTTCACGATGAGCATGGTTATCAAAATTAGATATATTACGTTCCAACCAAACCACCCATAAGACAGCCAAAACAGAGCAGCCCCAAAGCACCTTAGCTTTCTGTCCTTTTCCTGGAAGTTTATGTCTCTCCGATAAAAAGGATGAGCAGTCTTTGGATAGCACCCAACTGATATCAAACTCCCTAAACAAACGCAACCACAGATTAAAGGTTACCGGGCAATGTAGGAAAAGATGGCCAACTGACTCTGAGCTGCTTTTGCAGAGAGAGCACCACTGAAGGGGCAAAGGCAGGACCTAGGCCTCCTCTGAATCATGTCACATGTGTTAACCTTCCCATGGCTCACAATCCAAGCAAAAACTTTCACTTTTGGGGGGCTTCTCAATTATATGGAGCATGTGGATCCTAATTAAATTGTATTTCGTTTCCTGGTTTCATTACAAATTCAGTTCATTGAATTGGAATCATTTTTTTGACTGTCAGCCATCTAAAAATTTACGTTTGGCTATAAGAAAATTGGATGAAAATCATGAAATAAGTAGTCGTATCAGATTTCATCTGGTGCAATTTCATGGCAATTCTTTGTGTCAGCTTAATCCAGTATTAACTTGTGAGCCAAAATTTTCTGATTGATAGTGTTGTCATTAATATCTAAACTTTTGTTAATGATTCGCTGCATCAGGTCCATGTCAGGTGGAGGTTGGATAGTAACGATGAAAACTCATGTACTATAGACATAAAAGTTGGTAAGTTTTTAAATTTGCCCTTCTGGTTTTGACCCCCATTAGTCAGCAGTTCTAATGCGTATAATCGCGAACCAAACTTGTGAAGTGAGATTGTCTTTTCGTTGCTCTTGATGTAGTGGGGGTGGTGTATGAACTTGTCATGCAAGGCTGTGGAAGCTGTGTAACATGTGACAGCTACACCGCTATATGAAACATTTGTTTGTTTCATTTTTGAATGTTTTGAACAAATTGATCATGTTTTGCAATTTGTTACAGGTGTACATTTTAAGAAATGGTGTGTGATGCAATCCAAAATAAGGGCAGGGGCTATTAACGAGGTTTGTGCTATGCTTTGTTGTGGTTTCATTTGTTATTTTTGGTACATAATTAGGCACAATGCCTCAACAATTGAATGTTCAATAATAATTGTTGTCTCTCAATGTAGTACAAGAAAGAGATCGAGCTGATGTTGGAAGTTGCCCGTTCATATATCATCAAGTCAACGAGTAATTTGAGCGGTGAGACTGACAAAGCCACTTCACCCTCTGTAACTCAAGATAGCAGCTAATTTTTCCGATAAGGGCAGATTGTTTGGTTTATCTGTGCAATATGATTGTACCATATTTTCCTACTATTTGTATGTATATTGAGCGACAGTTAATTGTATACGGAGAGGTTTGTCTTCTATATTCCAGTATAACTTCACCCTGTCTCCTTCCTAGAAAACGAGTGGTGTGTGTTCTAGTTCATTGTGAAATAAGTTTTTCTTTTGTTTTTTGTTTTTGAGTATACACATTAGTAAAAGATCCTCAGTTTTGTGTTCATTTTGTCTTGTATTTATATTGACATGGCTACCCTATAATGGAAATTTGGTTATTTTCATGCGCTTGGAGTATGACCTAACCCTAACCAAGAGATTGTTCTAAGGGTGGGCATGGATTGGGTTGGGTTGGTTTTAGTCCCAACCTATAACCTAACCTGATATATAGCTGTTTATGATTTCTTGAACTAAAGACCCGCTCATTATTAGGCAAACCCAATTCAACTCAAACTCTTTGTGATCGGTTGAGCGGTTTAGTTAGGTTAACTCAAAATTAAACTTATTTTTAAGTTTTGGTTTCAACTCGTAACCTAACCCGTACATAGCGATTTATGATTTTTTGAACATAAGGTCACTCATTTTAAGGCCATCCCAATTCAACCCAACCCACTATGATTGAGTTGGGTGGTTCGGTCAGGTTGACTCAAAATTATGCCCACCCCTTAGATCGTTCGACTGAGCAAAGAACCCCTTGACCTACACTTCCTCAGGTCAAGGATGCTTAAGCTTTAGATTTGTATTTTTAGGGGTATATGTTATGATAAATACAAGTACAATAAACTAAATAACAAGAATTTAGATATACTTAATCGAATAAAACATATAAATAAACTAAAGTAAACTTAGAATGAATAACCAATACGAATAATAATAAGCACCATAAGGGCTCGTTTGGTCGGACTATACTAACTAATTTCCATTGGTGTGTGGGTTGTATTAGTTAGTCAGGTCAGAAGAATATTAAAAGCCCAACTCGTATAAAATATTCATGTAATTAAATAATACAAGTTGACACCAAACACCTGACATAGACTATTTATTCATATCCAGAGTCTAATACGGTGTACCAAACGAGCCCTAAGAGTATACAAAAGATAGTACTGAAATAGCCAATATTATCCAAAATCCAACCATGTAGCACTCTTGTGGTGCTTATTATTTTTTAATAAAGCATCTTTTCCAAAATTAAAAATTAAAAATTACAAAGAATAATAGCTTAAACGACTTGAAATAACAATCTAGTTGAAAGTACTTTGATTCTCATTGTTAAAGTGTGTGTTTAGGCGGCCCTAAATATTTGGGGTTGATGTATGTAGGGGTGGAATTAGTTCGGAAACAACAATAAGAGCCCAATGCCGCCAACCGAACCAACCAAGTTGGTTGTCCAAAATCCTAAACGGCCACTCACCAATTTGGTTCGCCGTCTGAGAGACATGGGAGAGAGAAGAGTAGTTGTTGCTTGCGGCTGCCACGAGAGTTAGAAGACCAGATCTGTGGGAGAGAAGGTGAGGTACGTAGTGGGAGGGAGAGAGAAGATGTTTTATGGATTTAACCTTAAGGGCCCGTTTGGCTCAAGGTTTAGGAGTTTGGGAATGAGTTTTAAATTGCATTCCCATGTTTGGTAAGTGCACTCTTGAGAATGCAATTATGCACTCATGAGTATAAACTTCTCATATACGGAGGAATTCCATACCCTTGACTGAGCTTGGGAAATTTCCTCACCCCCCCCTCCCGTCCTCCTCCCAAACCCATCCCCATTTAATAAGTTTTGGGGAATCTCCGTCCCCATTCCCGCTGCTATACCCCATGCCCACCCCTAATTCTCAATTTTTTTAACATAAAAATATATTTATCATACATTTTAACATTAAGTTTCATATTAAATTATCATTCAACATATCCAAATTAACTATAAAGTTTAACTCAACTATTCAAAATCACATCAATATGAAATTTCAGAAAAGATTAGGAAGAATTAGTTGAGGGAGGTTAACTTAGGGTTAAACATAAATATTATAATTATATATTTATTTATTTAAATATAAACATATATATTTTTGGGTCGGGTTCAAGGATGGAGATGCCAATGCCATCCCCTCCCTATACTCATCGGGGATTTTTCAAGTTCGGAAATCTCCGTACTCGATCCTTGCCATCCCTACCCCCTAATTGGGAAATCAATTAATGCAAATTTTTATGACTAACCTACCCCTATTCAATTTTTAAAGTACCATGTTTTACCCTTAGATTACTCTTTGTATTTCTTTCTTTCTAATAACAAAAGTTAAAGGTATTGTTGAAAAATTGAACAATTTTTCATTCCTAATACTGCATAAACCAAATTTGGGAGTGAGATAAAATGACCTTTCTTGATCATCATTTCCCAACGTTTCTAAACATGAGAATGAACATCCTCTATTCCCATGTCATAAGATTAGATATGGAAAGTTCATTCCCAAAAAGTTCAATCCGCAAACCAAATGACCCCTAACAATTTTGTAATACTTTTTAAATTCCTTTTGTAAGCCCTTCAATATATTTCTTGTACATGTTTAACACATGATCGTTACTTCAATGGTATGATGAATTACTTTTAAGTTGGTGGTCAGAAGTTTGACTCCTCTTGTCACTAACTTTTGAAATTCTCAGGCCTAGTTTGATGTGACGAAGATATGTTTTGATTCAAGATTTGATTGGTGGCGTATACAAAGTTTTTATTTGAAGATTTTTGGTCTTAAAAAACATCAGACCAACTAGCCTTATATTAATCGACCATATGATCTAAATACAATTTAATATTTAAATTAAAATATAAAATTAATACCCTATTTAATTAATATAAAATTCAAACAGAGCAAGCATTAGCAGACAAGCCAACTCCACAGATAAAACCTTCAATTTAGCAAGATTTTATTTATAACTCAAAAGACTTATCTAAGCATAAGATAATTTGTAGACCGCAAAATCAATGAATGCCAACCCGAATCCAAAAACCAGAGTCCATAAAATGCATAAAAACCATTAGGATCACCACAGAAATTCAACAATTTAGAAAAAAAAACACACACACACACACACACACTTTTTTCTCATAGAATGCCAACCTCGGCAGCCATGGCGTCTTCTGAATCTCTCAATGGGTCTTAGTGGTTGGGTGGTTCTTGGTGATCGGGCTGGGGCTGATGGAGTTTTTTATTTATTTTTATATATATATAATATTTTTCTTATTTTTAATTAGAATTTTAATTTTGGGCCTGATGGTTGTCATAATTCAATATATCTTTTCTTGTCATTTTATATTAAGATAAATTTGTAATTCAATAAATAATTTAGTAGTATGGGATACTCAGTTAATTCTAGGGTTCATTTAACAGCACCTTTACTAATATGGAAGATAAGAATCTAATTTCACATAATTTACAGAAAGTCAATGTCTAGAAAATAGGATAATTTTACGATCATGCACTAAAAAACCTCAAAATTACAAAAGATGCCATTATTAAATATTGCCAAATTTTACTATTTCATTTAAACTCAACAACAGCTGTCCACAGTCAATACTGGAATGTTCAAAACAATAGCAACCCAACCAAAATTCCCACGTGAAATGATAATAACGCCCACAATAGCTACGAAATTCATGCCCACGACATTCCCAACCGCTCCATCTTCCAATAAATGTCCAACTCCTTCATCCCACACTTCAAGCAAAAATACTCACAGACTCAAACCTCACGGATTCACTCTTTGAAAATCGAAGAGCACCTCAAAACAGATTGGTTAAGTTATGATCTCAAAACAGATTGGTTAGAACAAGATGCTAATATCTACAGTTACATAAATAGCAACTCTAATTAAATGAAAACTGCAATGCAGCACTTGTCTAAAAATTTATAGAACTATCTCTACATAAGAAATCATAAACTGAAAAGGGATGTTCATGGCCTTGCAAGTCTTCTTGTTGTGGCCTGCAACACTTCACCGACTGCATTTTAATGGCTACCTTCCGCAAAAGACTTGATTCTCTTCATTGGCGGTCTTCAAGCTGGTCTCTTCGTAATCAGAGGAAGCACAACTGCACCAACTACACCACCTAGTAAGCAACATCCTAAAACAACTAAAAATCAACTACATAACAACAACTAGTAAGGAGAGACCTAAACCAATCAAATCAACAACTTAAAAACCAAAACTTTCATGCCAACAGCTTGTAAGAAACAGCCAAAATCAATAAAATCATAAAATCAAATTTGAAATTTTAATGCAACACCTAGTAAGCAACATCCTAAAACAACTAAAAACCAAAAACTACATGACTGCAACTAGTAAGAAAAGACCTAAACCAATCCAATAAACAACTCAAAACCAAAAACTACATGCCAACAACAAGTAAGAAACAACATAAACCCATCAAATTATAAACTCAATACAGAAATTGGAATGCAACACCTAGAAAGCAAGAAATCAAAACAACAAGTCGAACCAAACCAGACTTAATCAACAACGAAAAATAAACAAAATAATACCAGAATTATAAAGGAATAACAGATTCCAAGTACTCGTACCTCAACAAAAAATTCTTAAAAAATCCCCAACAAAATAGCACCTCTAAACTCAAATCTTATCATACAAGGCAAAAATGAAAACAAAATCTGCATCAAAGATTTCAAAAATCAACTTCTCAAACTAAAACATAAATACAAAATTGAAGTACGAATTTGATATAGAAAATATATACCTCACCAGAAGAAAGACAGAGATTCACATGAGAAGATGAAATCACACCGTAACAAATACAATTGCACCACACAATCTCAACAGAACGAAGAAAAACGAAAAAAAAAGAAAGGGAATTGAACATGATCGCACAAGACCAATGCACATCAGAGATCGCTTCACAAAATCGAGATTGATTCTCGATGAAACTACAACATCATGAAGAAAACTTAAAAATCAGTACAGAACGACAAAAGAGGATGAAAATCAAACAGAAAAAAGAAGAAAAATGGGCAAAATTGAACAAGCCTCATAATAGAGCTCAGATCGCAGCTCCAGAACCAGAGCTTCTCCACGTAAAAAAAAGCAAGCAAATTTAAAAGTAAATCTCAAATCTTGCATTTGGATTGAGTTTTTCTCTTTTTGTAATGTTTCCCATTATGAATGAATAGAGTTTCCCTCAAAAAAAAAAAAAAAAAAAAAAAAAAAAAAAAAAAAAAAATTTAATACAAATGGGGGCAAAATGGTAATTTTTCGTACTAATTTGAACACACCCAACGAATATGGGCCTCCTGATTGAGCTTATCCAAAATCAAATTTAAAAGAGATATTTAGTGATATACCCATTCTTAGCATTAATATTATAGATAAACCCTCCATCATTGAATTTCTATAAACAAACCCAAAAAAAACCCCAAAAATAATAGCTGGCCTTATTGAATTTAATATTGATTATTAAATTACTTTAATGCCCTATTGAGTGTTTTGAGTATTTTTATGAGATTTTGGGGTTGGGCTTGTTTTAAGAAATTTTTGGTAGTTTTGTAATTTATAAGAAGTTAAAGCCTTTTTGTTATGTTGTAAATGAGTTTTGGGTGTGTTTATAAAGTTCATTTCATATGGGGTATTTTTATAATTTGGGCTCCCATATTGGGTATATTAGTGAATCTCCCAATTTAAAACCCATTCACCAAGACCCTGAAAGAATACTCTATTTTTCTAATCATTATTGGTAAAGATTAGACAAGTTGCAACTCCAAACTTATTCTTATCACTACTACCTAATTTTTCTTAAATTAATTTGGTCATGAGATCATTTTGTAGTCAAGTTGCAAGTCCAACTATAGATTAGACAGCACGAAGTCTTTTTAATACACAAATTTCACACTTTGGTAATTGGATGGAGTCGAATTGAGGTATATTTGTTATGATTTTTTTCCACATATTTTCATTATTTAATAATTATATGCAAATATCTTGGATGGTTTGGAATGAAGAGAAATCTCTTGGAGAAATTAGGAAGATATTTTATTTACTGCTCAAAGCAAGATTTTATTTATATCGAAAAGCACATGTATAGAAAACTAGAGTTTCATTTGTACATCTACACGAATATTAAACTATCATGGCAACCAAAGCTCATACATTCATGGTTTCAAAAATCAAAACCTTTTCCTAGTATCTTCAAAGCCAAGTGATTATGTGCCTTACAAAACCTAGAGCATAGTTCCTAGAGGAAGATGAGATGAGATTATATCTTTGGAGTGCCTCTAAGTAGAGCTGGGCATTTTAGACCGAAAACTAGCCAATCCGACCAAACCAAGCTAGGCCAAACCGGTCAGATCGGTTTATTAATTTTTTATTTTGAATTTTCAATGATGAATCGATCCAATTCACAGTTTGAGGAATGCTAAATTGTTTTTAAAAGTATAGTTTTCCTCTTTTCATAAAAGTCAAAAGCAAAACCCTTTATAATATAAATAATATATAAAACAAATTGAAAAATCTTTTAATGTAAAGTAAAACTAAATAAACAAATAATAGGTAAATAAAAGTAAAATAAATTAATATTATGAAAGCAAGTCTGGAATGGTAAAGAACGTTAAAGATGTTGTACTAAAGCCTTTTTAGCCTCCTTACGTGCAGGTACTGACGGTCTACAAGACTCCAAGATACGACCCTCAATACACAGACTCATGGTCCGCTATGAGCACATTCACAGTCGGATATAGGTCTCCAAGTCACAAAACCATTGCATAAAAATAATAATATAAGTTGAGAATCATATTGTGGTGTATAGTGTGGTTGTGGTATTGTGGTAGTATTTGTGTTGTGTGGTCATATCTCAAATGTGGAAGAGTGGCCTTTTATAGACATCCAAGAACATGTAACCTCCACCACATTAAACTAGAAAACCTCCACCACATTAAACTAGAAAATTAAGACATTAAATATAGAAATAAAACCTGAAAATAATTAACCAAATTAAAACGGTAAAAATTTTAAAACCTTTTCAAAATTGCAACAATCCCCCACAAGGTTTTCAAAATTTTACCATGACAAAAAATAGTGAAAATATATATATTTATATATGTGGACAACATAATACTATGCAACAGATGTAGGTGCCTTAAGGGCTTGAACCTTCACTTAGTGATGATAGTCTCCATTTGAGGAACCTAAGTGTACAAAATATTGAACTCGGCACCTTTGACCAAACTCAACACGTCCCACACATAGTATTGGTTGAGACTTGGATGTGGGTTAGCACTATTTATAGCCATGTGCCAATCTTGACTCTCATGAGAATTACTAGAGAATAGCCCAATTATCACAGTCACGGCCTCACGACGTCTCTCACTTAGGTGAGTTCTCCAAAAGTTCGCGCACCTGTTTGAGTAGGAGACTCCTTGGCCTTCTTAGCTATAGCTTCCTTCGTCTCCAAGGGAGTCAATGAAGTTGGGTTCGTTCCATGCATGACCGCTCATGATTCGGCAGATGGCACACTCTTGCCAGATGAAGGAGCAACCCTTTCAGTTCGATCCTCGTCCTTTGACTGATGCAAATGACTCGAACTCCTGAAAGGAAAGTTAGCAACCCTCTATTTCTCAGTAGACGAACCAAGTCAGGAGCAGACGTCCTTGTAGGGAAAATCTCGGGGTTTGAGCCTTTCAGTAGAAGATTTAAGCAGAATAACCCGGATATTATGTGTGCCATGCACCTTCTTACTATCAACGCCTAGAGTGTGCTTGATCCTGGCAGACGAAACCACCTTCGAAGAAGACTTACAACAGAAGGAATTCTCGGCTTCTTTCTTAACGGAGACACATCCCTTGCTCGTAAGGTTATGGCTTCATCTTTCAAAAGCTTGGGGCTGAGGGTGAGGTTGAGGCTGTCAAATAGTTTATCCTTGCACAAGCACCCCATGGTATGGAACACTCTCTTGAAGAACCGCGATATAGAGAATCGGAAGCCCGTAGATAAGTAGAATGGGCGGAATGTGATGATCTTGGCATCTGGCATGCACATTTTTCAGTGTGGTAGAAGTAAAAGTGGTGCATGACTTTTAAAACTAGGACTCAATTGTGATACGATGCAAGTTCACTGCGAATCTCCTCTTAGGCACCTTGGAGCCACCCTACAAATACATGGGCACTTGCGAACTGAAAGATTGGCTTCCCTCATTAGACGACATGATGGGTAGGATTGCAAAAAAAGGCAAAAAGAAAGAAAACAGATTAATTCAACTAGAAAACAAAAAAAAAAAACAAAACAACAAAAAAAAAAAAAAAAAAAAAAAAAAAAAAAAAAGCTGATAGCAGCATACCACAGCTACGACAACAGCCAATAGCCAACTAGCAAGTGACAACCACAGTCGACGATAACCGCCAGCAGTTTCTTCCAAATGTGGCCTCAGCAGCTAAGCCGGGAAGAAGCCACAATCTAGCAGTCGAGCGTGATACCTGCTCTAGCATAATCGGACCTAGGCACAACAAAAAAAAAGAAAATGCAACGACAGCCTCCAGCACAACTTGCAACCACCATTGCACGAGCCATTGTTGCTGGGCATGTCGCTCCAATCGCCATGTCACGATGACAGCCAGCCAGTCATGACTAGCCGGTCCTCACTGCATAAAAAGAAAAAATATATATTGAAAAACCCAAGCGTGACTTGCCTTGGTGTGCACGGCAACTCCTCTCCTTGACAAGCTAGAGGAAACAAGTTTTCAATATGAAGAGGAGTGAAGAGAAGCCTTGTATTTATAATAGTTGGGTATCCTTGACCACCAAGGAGTCACAAACCTATTCCAATTAGGAGCCCAATTCCAAAAAGAAGTCAAAGGCCTAATCCAACTAGGAGCCGAGCTCACAATTAGAAGCCCAAATGCAGTTGGAAAGCCCGAAGATTATTTTACATCTCCTCCTTGCCACATACGCGTCATGCAAAAGTTTGGGGGCATTTGTGGGAGCATATATTTCGGCGATCAATGAGTAGTGGACACGTGGAAAAGGGAAATTCCCTAGGTCAATTATTTAATTAGGGAAATTATAATTGATTTGAGATGGGAATATCTCCCTAAATCAAGGATGAGATTTCCACCAAATCTCCTTCATTAATTCCAATCTCCTATTTTTGGGTAAGAATAATCCTAATTAAATAAGGATTATTCTTCAAACCCTATCTGACAAGGAGCACTATAAACACATGCTACATCACACATATGAGGTAATCTGATTTTACTCGCGAAATCCCCCTATCTCACGCCACTCTCTTACATCTCTCTCTCACGGCTCCAACCTCCACCACACACGGCGCCGGCCAACTGGTTCTCTCGTATCATAGATAAAACTCTGACCTTCTCTGTTTATTTCGTATCTTCCTAAAGATCATCTAATTGACTTAGGTATCAGAGGGCCTTTGGCCAGCACCCCCAGGGTGTGGTCTATTTACTCCAACCTTTTTCACAGGGATCGAGGGAGAACAAAGACAACGAAGTTCAAGGGTCAAAGGATTTGTGTACGAATAGTCCCCTTTCTTTCTTTGTATCTTTTCTTTTGTCATTATCATTGCTACCTTTTCAAATCTCTTATTGTCATACTTCAAGTCTAAATTCTGTAGTGATAAATTACTAGCGATGTTTTTGGTGCAATAACCTCACTGATGGTTGCTAACCAATTACCGTTCGAGACTGATCGGCAAGCACTAGATGGGGACCATTATTGTCACCCCGGGTTGCAGTTTACCGCAAGTTGTAGTCGACCCGGTTCTGTAGTTAGCTTACCATGACTTATAAAATGTCCAGAAACAGAACACTAAGAAATACAGAGAGAAAGGAAAATAGTGAAGAAGAAGAGAAGAAATACAAAGAGAGAGAAAGAGAGAGAGAGAGAGAGAGAGAGAGAGAGAGAGAGAGAGAGAGAGAGAAGAAAAATAGAGAGAGATAGAAGAAAGGAGAAAGAAGTCACGATCAATGGAAGTGTAGTGGCACAATCGTAAATATTTCGAAGTCATATATATATATATATATATATATATTTTTAAACCAGATCAAATTCTTCCAGATTATTTTATCTCTTCTCTTTAATTGAGTGCTACAGTAACCCGAGAGCCACAGTACCAGCGATTGCTACAATAACTTCAATCTTCCCGTTAGTCGTTCCTTGTCAATTTGTACAAAAGTTTCGGCTCGACGTCCTCTTTCTACTCCACCCATTTTCCCTCTTCGAAAACTAGAGGATTGATGGCTGTAACAGCGAGAAGTTCCACCGGTTTTCCTCCTCCATTTTCTGGCGACTCTGGCCACCAATTCCAATGAGTGAGGTATGATTTTTCATCCTCTCGAAGTGCTCTATCTATTTATGTAGGTAGTTTCGATCGATTTCGTGATTTGGAAGTTTGATTTAAACACCCATTTGCTCCGATGGTTTCACCATGAATTGGGTTGTTTCCGGCCACTTTTTGGCCAGGGCCCAAGAGTTAAAAACACTCCATTTAAGGTGCTTAACAAATTGGCATAGGTATTGGCAGGAGATTTTGAGATTTTCGGGTCACCAGAAATTACTCAACACACCCACCTTCGGCGGCGTCGTGTGGCGGCTCGTCAGTGGGGGTCACCTGCGTATTTTTAGCCTAAAATTATCCCTAGGTCGTCCCGAGCATGGTGGTATGCTCGGAGTTAATTTTGTTATTGTTTGAGTATAAAACCAATTCTTACCTATTAGACATAGTTCGGATTTTCATCAACCTATAGGAAATTTTGAATTATTACTCGAAGGTTGTGGATCCCAAGGGGTACTGGGTTGACCAATATGAGAATTTAATCGCATATTTAACCTTGGGTCTTTTCAAACCATTCCACCTTTTTGAAATGTTGAAAATGGGCCTAGCAACCTTCTTAAGTTACGTACACGCATTTTTGAGGCCGGGGGTCAGGGTTTTGATTAAATATTTGTGGTTGAGCTATTTTAATTGCTTAAATAGGTACTCGGGCTTCATTGAACCTGCAGGAAGGACCCTCAAAGGGTCAAGCTAGGTCAGACGCACTGTGAGTGGACATTTGTTTTCTAAATAGTTTTAAGAAATTCTTGAACTGTGGTTATTAATCGTTGTACTTATGGAATTGATAATTTATGATTTCCAATTTTCTAAATAGTATTTTATGCATATTTGAATTTAGTTTGAGAACGATTCTGAAGGATTTTTCATGATTTAGTTAAGTTAAGGAATGATGGCTTTGAAGGTAGAAAAGAAAATGGCAACAGGATTTAAGGATTGAATGAGAAATAGTTTTATAATTTTCCAAGAAAGGCTTGTGTTTTTTTAAACCACCATAGGTACCCAAATGTTGCCTTCGGATAAACTGCTACCGTCAGATATAATGATGTCCACTAACATCCTAGTTGCCTTCGGTTGAGTCAGCATGCATTTGACAGTTGCCCCACGAGTCTTAAGGATATCCGGACCGTGAGGAGCAAGGAATGCGGCTCAGGTTGAGCAAGTGTCCCCTGAGTCTTGTGAGGAATGCGACTCGAGTTGACTTTGTGTTACCAAGGCCTACGAGGATATGTCGCTTATGTGACACTTGGAATTGACGGTATAATGTGGGAAATAAATATAAAATCATGAAATTGACGGATATATGATGAATACACCTAGGTGGAAAGGAATTATTTCTTTATAGTGTTTTCAAATTGTTTTAATGATTTGTTTAAATGCATGATCAGTTATATGTATTTTATATATGCATGCCTTAATTCTTGTACGAATATAGAACATGGATATAAATAAATTTTAAATGTTTCGACAGTGGGGTTAGTATGTTGATATTCTATTTTCCAAAACTTTCTTTTGTCCACTCACATTTTTAATGTTTTGTGCCCCCAAGCAGTAAGAGTGTACCAGAGCACCACCATCGGGCGATCATCACTCACCACTCATCCTTTTTCCACTATGTAGGATATTCTCATGTATCCGTACTACTTTTGTAAATTAACTGAATTAGCATGATCTGTAATTGCCCTAGGGTTTTCTATAAGGCCTGAGGCCACAAAGATTTGATGTTGGATTGCGTGAATTCTAACATTGTGCATGCTGAACGATTGAGAATATATGAATTGAGTTTTGTACAGGTGAAATTTTTTGGGAAACGAGCAATTTACAGAGGAGATTTTGCCAAATTTTCAACACAAGTCAAGCCTAAAAAGAAATTTTGGGTTTTAGAAGCGCAATTTGGTCAAGTGTGCCCGGCACTTGCCAAGTGTCAGACATGCGCAGGGTTCAGCACAAATTCCAAAGTGGAATTTGGGTCGAGTCCTGTCAAAACAATCGAGAGAAGAAGCAATAGAAAGTGAGAAAAGAGAAGAAGTCGAATTCGAAGGAATAAGGAGAGAGAAGAAAAAAAAAAAAAAAAAAAAAAATTATATGTATGTCTATATCTGCAATGGTTAGGATCAATGCAATTTTATTGCATGAAATTGAACTAAAACAGTCAAATCTCACTTGCAATGGTGTGATTTAGTTCATTGCAATAGATGAAATGCAATAGAGGGTGCTATGTGATGAACCTAGGGGCGGATCTTAAGCCAGGGCAGGGTAGGCTACCGCCTACCCAAAAATATTTCACTAAAAAAAAAAACCTATATGTAAGCTATGTAATTGATATACATTCCATGTGTTGGTATACACTCTTGCCTACCCAATCCATATAAAACTCACAGCACAAGCCCACTCAAACTTTAAAAAACTGAAGAAAAAAAATTATAACCAGCCAGCCCATGTTATGAATGGCCCAGTCAAACTTTAATAAAAGAAAGAATATAACTTAAGCAGCCAAATAGTGGCTGTGCAGTGCAATTCCAGACAGAGTCGGGAGAGCTTCTTCTCAACGCAAGTCTTGTGCTGTGCAATCGTGGACACTGGACAACCTCTTCTCTTCTCTTCTCATATACAAGGAAACATGTATTCTTCTTAATCTCTTCTCTTTAATTATCTTCTTCTATTGGGTTATTCCTAAAATAAATGTATGCATCTTAGTTTTAATTTTAATTTGAAATTGAGTTTTCTAGGGTTTAATTAGGAATGAAATATAATTTGGGGATTTTGTTGAAATTAATTAGGTCTTTGATTTTAAGAATTTTGTTGAGATGTTTGATTTGATGTTGGCATTGTTGAGATGTTTGATTTGTTGTTGGTATGTTAATGTTTGACTAAATTCATTGCTTTACAGATTGATTCAGTTGGTGTTGACTCTTCCTGTTTCTACAGCAACAACGAAACGAGCTTTTTCATGTATGAGAATTATTAAGAATAGACTTCGAAGCACCATAGCTGATGAATTCCTTGCTGATTGCATGATTCTCCACATTGAAAGAGAGTTTGCTAATAGTATCGATAATGAAGAGATAATTGAAGAATTTAAGATTTCTAAGCCTCGTAGGGTACAATTTTAGATTAAAATAGTTTAGTTTTTGTGTTGCATTGCATTTACTTCTTGTTTTTTTTGTTAAGCTTTTATTTATGTATAGATATGCATATTTGAGGGTAAGGCTCATTACGTCCTCCCTGACTAGGTGTAACTTTTTATTTT